CACGACACCACGACGACACCACGACACCACGACGACACCACGACGACACCACGACGACACCGACGACGACGACACCACGACGACACCACGACGACACCACGACGACACCACGACGACACCACGACGACACCACGACGACACCACGACGACACCACGACGACACCACGACGACACCACGACGACACCGCGACGACACCGCGACGACACCGCGACGACACGACGACGCGACGACACCACGACACCACGACACCACGACGACACCACGACACCACGACGACACCACGACGACACCACGACACCACGACGACACCCACGACGACACCGACGACGACACCACGACGGACACCCGACACCACGACCCAGCAGACCACCACGACACCACGACACCCACCACACACCACACCACCCACACCCCCACACCACCACACCACCACACCCCACCCACCACCCACACAAACCACCACCAACCACACACCACACCACCACACCAGCACACCACCACCCAACCCACCAACGCCACCACGGCCATCCACGCCACCAACGCCAACACGCCGACCCCACGCCGCCACCACGCCACACACGCCACCACGCCACCCCGCCACCACGCCACCACGCCCAGCCGACGGCCACCGACGCACCACGCCACCACGCACCACCAACGACACCACGACCACCCACGCCACCACCCAAACAACGCCACCACGCCCACACCCCACGCCACCAACGCCACCACGCCACCACTCCACCTTACACGCCCACCACGCACCCACCACGCACACCACGCACACCACGCCACCCACAACACGCCACCACGCCACCACGCCACCACGCCACCACGCCACCACGCCACCACGCCACCACGACGGCGACGCGACGACGACGACGACGACGACGACGACGACGGCGGCGCTGCTGCTCCTCCCCTCCTCTCCTCCTCCTCCTCCTCCTCCTCCTCCTCCTCCTCCTCCTCCTCCTCCTCCTGCTGCTGTTCTCCTCCGCCACTATTGCCATGTTTCTACTGCTGCGACCACGAATGCTATGACTACGGCATCGGCGAGTGCTTCTACTAGCCTAGCTACCACGTACTTCTGCCACGGACGACACCCGCCACCAGAACCACCACCAATACCAGAAACATGAACCCACGTACCAATGCTACGAGTTGTCACTGTCACTACTGTTGCGGGTCACAATATAACTTTACAATTGCCCAACATCCTCCTGTCGCCACGAGCTCTTGGAAACTAGAGAATACATGGGAACGGTATTGGCTGTTGTTCAACTTTTCAGGTTCCTACTTGGTTTCATGTTCCAACGGCCTTCCAACAAGTAAGTGCTTTGACTTGGAGGCAAGTCCTTCGCCGGCAGCTCGAAACTCTGCAAGACGGCTGTGAACTGCTGCACAATGCTGGTCCAGGCCTCCGGAATCCAACGCAAAACGACAGAACAGCTGGCCTAGGCGGTTCTAAATCTGCACCCGGCCACACCTGCGAGATCATCCCGGCTGACTGCAAACCTCGCAAGCAACGCTCCGGGTGCACATATGCCAAGGCAAACCCAAGGCATGTTCTACTATGGCTTGGTCAGGGACATCCGGGGAACGGCAGTTGATGGTATACGTGATTGATTGTCTCACTTCTTTGGTTCATGTTCACAGCTGTTCACACACCTGTGAATACGTGAAGCGCTCTTCCAAATATCGCAGCGTAGCACCTGTGCTGACAAATTCATGACGCGCCATTTGCCCTTCTGCGTGCTGCACGTGTGCACACCACGATCAGTCATGGCGTGCACATACCTGTACAGTACTCATGCTTTTCTCTCGTTTTCTTGATTCTTTGCTTTCACTTACAAAACCCGCACGCAACGTCAATAAACTACCTGACAGATAGAAGTAGCAAAACAATGAAACAATAATGAATCCAGCACGACCTCTAGGTTCTTCCCAGAATTTATGAGGGGTTATAGCTTTCACGTAAGGTTCTACTAGTTTTGGCATCCTGGTTTTCCTCCCTGACTTCATTCCTGGTTGTGGGTTGCCGAGCACAAAACATGGCCCAATGTCGCTGATCGCTTGCTATGTTGCAGCACCCTTATGCGCGCAGATTCATTTGACCAAGCAGCGCGGATGCATATTTTCGACTTTCGATCGAAACGAGCCTTGTAGAGTTGTGTGGAAACCTAAGTCTTCCGAGTACAACTTCTATCGAACTAGGACTCGTCGCTGCAAGCACCATTCGGAGAAAGTCTATCGTTTTTGAGAAGCTCCTGAAGGAGGCAAAGCTGGATCAGAACAAGGTCTTTCGCTGTCCGGTCCACCCGGGGTGCAGACCTCGGGCTGCCTCTGCTGCAGCGGCACGCAGCCGAGCATTTCAACTGCAAGGCGATACGGAGCCTGGCCAACCAGAAAATCAGACTTCGATAGACGTCGAACCGGCACGTTGGTCAGAGCTCCACAACAGCTGGACCATGGGTCGCACAGAAACCGGGGCACAAGGCCCGCGGACAGCCGGAAAGCGAATGCACAAGAATCGGCCGGAAGCCCGAGTCGCAATACATTCAAAACGTGTGCTACTGCGACACGCTATACTAGGTCGGGGGCTCATGTAACGATTGTCCCCTGCGGCAGCACCACACATCCATCTAAACCGTGGAAGATCCCGGCCTGTGGCAGCACTTGGTGCATGCTTCTTGATGATCATCCTTGGCTTGTCTGAAGACTTGGCCATAACTCCGTGAGTTAATTGTTTTGTTGTGCCACACACTGCCGCATGTTCAGGGCCTGGTGTGGTTCGTGTTGATGCTATAGCTGCTATGTATGGCACGGCGTAAGTGGAGTAACAGTGAATCGACAATAGTGAGGTCCATCAGGTATGCTGCAGAGCGTGACTACCATGTCATGTTGTTCACGGCGTGTTCTATACGCAACGGCATGCTGATAAGACAATGCTATGCTAGTAGGTGTGTTCTGCGTATTGCTGCGCGATACAGTCTTCCGGTGTAGAAACGAGAATAGTGAGTATCCAGTATCCCCCCTCGATCGGGCTCAAACGGTCCGATTTTGGGATGTGCGCCCGTGGATGCTGAACCCTAGAAGCCGATATTCACAAGCAGGCTACCAAGTCGGCCGAGGCAGGCTCACGTAGCGATGCAAAAACTACATGTCGTGTCTTGCTTTGCCGAGCCGGCTCACATGCTCGCACACGTTCGGGAATTCGGGAAGGCTCCGTTTACGCACGCAGGGATTGGCTACCCGATTTGCCTGGACCGACTTGGACCCACCCCGGACCCCTGCGAGCCCTCCTGATCTCCGCACGCTACGTACGCCCTTGGACTCGCAGGGCACTTCCATTTCGCAGGTGGGATTACACCAGCCCCGACCCCAAAAAGCACAAACAACAAAAAGGAGGACATTAGACACCAGAAACGCGACATGAGGGGAGACAATAGCACGTTGTGAAGGGAAACCAATCCTGGCCCTCCCCCAGGAGCGCGTCACAGCATCCGGTTCCCCGTTTCGGACACCAGAAAACGAGATATTATGAGGGGAGACAATAGCACGTTATGAAGGGAGACATTTCCTGCCCCTCCCCGGAAGCGCGTCACAGCATCCGGCTCCCAGGGAAACCGGCACGGATCCCGGACATTGCGTCACACTATCCCTTTGTTGACTCAAATCTAGAACCCCATAGCTGTTTTGGGGAAAACCTCCTCAGCCTCCCTGCAAAATCAGTTTTCCTGTCTGTCGGCTCCCTTCTAGGGATCTTCGTCATGGCACGTTCTTGCTGTAAGAGTTCCTTGCTTTCGAGGAACTTGACTTGACGGCTAGTCACTGGCTTGCGCGGCTCATTGCTGCTCGCAGTCAAGCATCTGCGTCAGGCGTAGCAGCTCCTGGGAGCGATCGACCTGCCTCGACCTTGCCAGACACGCAGTTGGAAATTCTAATGCGCAAGCGCACGCGCTTGCGCACGCGCACGCGCCCGCGCGCGCGCGCGCACGCGCACGCGCACGCGCACGCGCACGTGCACGTGCACCCACGCAGGCACGCACGCACAAACGCACACGCACACACACACGCACACACATGCACACACACTCATGACACACACGCACACACACACACACGCACACAAGTGCGTGCGCGCGTGCGCGTGCGCGTGCGCCGTGTGCAAGCGTGCGTGAGTGCGTGACACGAGTGAGCGCGTGAGCGCATGAGTGCGTGCGTGCGTGAGTGCGTGCGTGAGTGCGTGAGTGCGTGAGTGCGTGAGTGCGTGAGTGCGTGAGTGCGTGCGTGAGTGCGTGCGTGCGTGCGTGCGTGCGTGCGTGCGTGCGTGCGTGCGTGCGTGCGTGCGTGCGTGCGTGCGTGCGTGCGTGCGTGCGTGTGTGTGTGTGTGTGTGTGTGTGTGTGTGTGTGTGTGTGTGTGTGTGTGCGCGTGGGCGCGCGCGCGCGCCCAATTCTTCTCGAAATCCTCAGGTATGTCTATGTATGTGTATTTATGTATACATATGTATATTTATGTATATGGATGCATATGTATGTATAAGTATGCATATGGAAGTATATGTATGTATATGTACGTATATATGGATATGTATGTGTATATGTATGTATATGTATGTAGATGTATGTGCATGTATGCATATGTTTGTATATGAGTGTAGATGTATGTATATGTGTGTGAATGTATGTATATGTATGTGAGTGTATGTGTATTTGTTCGTTAATATGTATATCTATAAATGTAATTAGTGGTGTGTATACGTTTGTATATGTTTGTTGTGCTGCCACAGATACGAGCTGTGTCTTTCCATGAACCATCTTTTCCAGTCCAGGCTGAGAGAGGGAACTTAATAGTGGGAACCTCTACCCCTTCGAAAGATAGAATGGATGATCATCATGTCACTTGCTGGAAGCTTCGCAAGGTACGACATAGTATGACAGAGTACGACACTCTGGCCCCAGATTTGTGGAGATTTTGTGGGGTGCGTGTTTCACGCGCCTCTTCCAGTCGGAACTCAAGCTCTGGAAGGCTATCCCGGAAGAAGTCGTCCGTGAAACGCTCTGGAAAAGGCCTGGAAATTTGAGAAGAGATCAAGTGAGATCACATGATATCCAGGTTGGTTCCGATGGTGTTCGGAGACACTCTGCTGAACCGGCGCACCTTTCATCCAAGGGGGGATATTCGGACTGCGGATCTGGCAGGGAATTGAAGAGCTCCGCCCAAACCTCAGCATGTCTCTGGGATACTCTGAGCAACAAAGAAGCGAAAAGCTGGCCGACATCATCCGCTCCAAGCAGGCGACACTTGAGCCCGCCATGTGTTGAGTCGAGGCCTGACGTCAACAACTGACAGTTGCGAGAGCATTCTGTTTGGACCAGACTAAACACAGAAAGCCTTTTTGTGCTTCAAAATAATATCCCCACATTCATGCCGCCAGTCCGGGGCTGCAGCTTAATGTACTTCAGGCGCGTCGGTTCGCGAGGACTACATGCCCTGTGCTGGTCATTTGAGCCAGCGCTTGCATGTGCATGCAACGTGTATGCAAGTGCAACACAAAGGAAAGCGCATCTGCATACAGGACACGACTCGACCCTGCTTGCACTCTTCACTGTCTGGCTGGCTCAGCATCTGCTGAATGTCACGGTTGTCAAGTGGACATGTCGTCTTAATCCTCAACCAGGCATCTATGCAGCCCACATGGTAGGCATGGGCACAAGGCAAGGAGCACACCATCTCCCCCTGTGACATCACTTGGTGGCAGATGGTGCAAGCCTCTATGGAGGCTCTCAGCTGAGAGCACGGAAGTGCTGAAAGAATAGCAGCGATTGCCTGCTCAGAGTGTGAGTTAACTCCATGGTTGCCTCCCTCGATCTCAGGTTCTCGAACAGCACGAACAAGCTGGTTGGGCCACTGGCGCACAGATGCGGGCAAGTAGCTCCAGCATACGAGATTGTGTGACGATTCTCGAGTACGCCCCAGATCCGTCAGGGCTCCTTGCAGAGCGGCTTCAGAAATTGTGGGGCTGTGGGCAAGGCGTTGCCCAATGGCCTGAAGTCGTGCCCGCCGAGCGCAGTTGACATGAATCCACTTCGGGCGCAACGTCAAATCTTCGAGCATGTAACCCAATCGCAGCTCTCCGATTACGAATGTCTGCCTGCAGATGCTGCAGTGTCTTGGCATGTCGCCATGAAAGGGTTCCAAATACAGGGACGAGAGAAAAGGTTCGAAACGTGCAGCTCGCATGGCTCTGGAACTGGCCCGTCGGTACCTACTCACACGCGTCGCCCGCATGTCCTGAGCGTCGGGAAGGATCATCTCCAGATCATCTGAAATTTTGATGGTCCTGGAATTTGGTGGTGACCTCGGTCTTCCCAAGTCCCGGCTGCCTTGAGCGCTGGCGCACAGCTTTCTGTACTTGCTCGGAAAAGCAGTTCGTGCGCGGGCACGCGAGGGCACTGCATCGTTCACTTCGCATGCGTCTTCAACGATGACGGGAAGCAGGTCGAAGTCAACACAATCAACACCTTCATAAGGTGACTGGCTTCGATGTTCAATTGCCGCAGCTGACGGCATCAGTCTGTCAAGACTGTCAAGCCATGGTCCGACACGGTAGATGAGCTTGTCTAAAGTGATGTGAATAGCAACAAGAAAGTGACGGCCTTGAAGCCTACAGTGGCAACTGCTGAATTTATTTAAGCTTCTTCACCCCAGGAGCCGATACCCTCCAGGACAGGCAAAAGAGCAAGCCGAACTGAGCAACACCACAAAGCTCAGGCTTGTGCGATGTCGATAGGTGACTGGTCCTTTCAGTCTGGAGGCTCGACAGTGCAGAATCAAGGCAATGCTATATAAGATGTCCGAGTGGCTCCGAAACCGCCGCAGTGTGAACCGCCTTTCAGACAAACCGCTGTGGAAGGACGCAACTGGCCAATTGGAACTGGCACTTGACATTGGCATTGCAGCATATTGCAACCAGGAGACTGAGCTTCGCCCACTGGCCCTGGTTTGCGTACGTCCAAGGCGGCGGGCCACTCGAGCCCTTCATAGTCACTCTGCGCGTACACGAGGAGATCTACAAACTGCTCTTGGCAACCTCTGCAGCTTGTCTGCGAGCTGGCGCTGATGATGCACTCGAGCCCGCAGCATGCGCAGCCTCCGGCAACACTACGGCAACAACAGCCAAACATTCCATGACAAGTAATTTAAAAACGTGGCTCACTTGCGACTGAGAGATCTGCCACACCAACTGCAAATAGCACGAACACTCTCGACACGGCCTGTGCACTGACTGTAACTGCAAGTTGCTGTGCGTACCCAACGACATCAACACAACTCACTGCCATTAGATCTGCTTGTAAGCAATGCGCCGCTGAAAGGCAGCCCATCAGGCATCAGGCATATAACACTGTCACATGCCAACACAACATGCCAATACTAAAGCAAGATACTGTCCAGAGTCTTTGCCTGTCCTTTGAATGAAGTGAGTGCGAGTACGATGCGGTGCCTTGAACAACATGTGTCCCGCATTGCTGGTGCTCTATACTTGGCCGTCCAATAGGATGGATTGCTCAGCTGACTGGCACAGGTCAGGCCACGGGCATGGTTTTCTGTTGTAAACCCTTCCGGGAGCGGCACGCTGCTACAGGGCATGACTTGCTGAAGTGCTAAAGTGACATGATATGCTCCAGAAGCTTGCTTGCTGGCCGCATGTCAGCGATGCTCCAAGCCAATGGCTTGCGGGACCGTGAAACACTACTACAGTACTACTACACGACTGAACTACACGACTGAACGGAATCGATTATGCGGGTCCACGCATCTGAAGCAAAACCATGAGGCTCGGAAGCTGCTGCAGTAATCGGCCTTTGTTCCACGGATCAAGCCTTTCTGCAATGGCCGACGAACTTCCCTTCTGTCCGACTCAATGACGCAGCCCTTGCATCAGACCTCGGCGGATCGGTGCTCTACTCACTATGATTGTGGCCAAGAGGTCTGTTCCAAATCGGGGCAGAATTGGCGAAGAAACAACCATGGGGTGAACATTTCATTCCCAGGGACCTGCAGCCGCCACACACACACACACACACACACACACACACACCCACGCACGCACGCACGCACGCACGCACGCACGCACGCACGCACGCACGCACACATACATACATACATACATACATACATACATACAGACACACACACACACACCCATTGCGGGACAGTTCTGCTCGTGCAGCTGGAGACTGCTTGATCTGTGTTGGATCTCCTCAATCTGTCTCTCCAGGAACCCCAGCTCTGAACCATAAACTTTCGTGCCTGAAACCCTGTGAAACCCTAGACCCTCAACTGTTCAACCTTGTACCCCCACGATACCCTCAACCCCTAGTTCCACTGTACAGTTTGCCATGCCTGGCTATATCCGGATCTTCCAAAATAGACTTGCTTCTAGATGAAGCGCTAGGCTTTGTGGCATCAGTTGCTGCATCATGAGCATCTTACTCGGTTTTACATGCACTTCTTACTGACATGATTTTGCTTCTGTATTGCTTGGCCATGATGTGTCATATGTGACAATGACTTGGCTCATTGGTAATACTACTGCGAAGCAGCAGCCTGGGCCCAAGGAAAAATCTCGGAGCGCGACGACAGGCTTCATGCGCATGGCCAGCGGGAGGCAGCACTCCAAGAACTTGTTCCTTTGCAGGGCTGACAGCACGTTGCCAATTCCATCAAACCGGCCGATCTTTTCATCAACATGTCCAGATCCATCCCATGCTGACTACATAAGTCTCATTCTCGCAGGCCTCTGGCCCGGGTCAGCCAGAGGCTTGCGGAACTCGTGACTGGTTCGTGCTTGGGCGTAGGAGGTGGATGCACGCCAGCATTCATGTCAGTTCCCCGGACGAGACCCCAGCCTTTGGAGGAACTTGGCCAGGTTGTGAATCCTTGTCAACCAAGATTGAATCCGACAGTTGAGCTTGAGATCATCTCTAGCAATATGTACGGAAGTGTCCAAGCTTGGCCACCTTGTTTGAACACTGTGCATCCGAGATTCTGAAAAGCAGCCACGCCCGTAATGAGCAGTATCTTGCGCGGAGGGCTGCTGCTTTTACTGTCACTCCGCTCTTCACTCCCATTGATCCTTCGTGTGGTGCTCGCACTATAGCATACTCTTGCGCTGGAAGCGCAGGCCTGCAAAAACTTGAAGGCTGCCACATCCATATTGACGGCTTCTGATGCCTTGACGAACTTGGCCTCTTGGCAGCCACACTGATTCGGCCAAGAATGGCTTCAAGCAATAATGTCAGGAGTGGTAACTAGAGACAGCAGAGGAAAAAGGGTTGTATTCAGGGGCGAGATCATGCCGAGGATTCTTGCCGCAGTTCGGCCTCGAAGCTTTTCTCGTAGTCGTTCTCCGTACTTATTGCCTGACTGCACTGAGGATCACTGAGGATCACTGAGGATCACTGAAGTCTTGAAGTTTGTGGGAACACGGGGAACACGGGGAACACGCTGAGCGACGCTCGTTTATTCTTTCCAAGATCAGGTCCACCTGGGCCTGCGAGGTTCTGGCGCAAGAATCACAGAACAGTGCACACAGAGTCCTGCAGAAACAGCAGAAATGGCCTGTGTGCCTTTCAATAGCGAGAGGCTGGCTGCATTCTTGGGGTCCTCTTGGCTGTATGCTTGAACATGAGACACTCACGAGACACATGAGACGAGCCAGTCCGGAAGCAGACCCATGCTGGAAGCGCCTGGCAGCTACCAAGGAGAGCTGTCGCTCGAAGGCAATGGCTTTAAGCATGACAGGTTTGGCCCAGTACGTCGAAAGCGATGGACCTCACCCCACATTCTTACGAAGCTGGACTTTGCATTGTCTGACACAGCGGCATGCTTGCCGGCTCTCCAACATGTCAGGCAGGCCATCGCAACTTCCTGCATGCATTCAGGACAGTTTTGACAGAAGTACATGCCCCCACCAAGTCCTTCCGTGACCGAAGTCGAAAAGTGAGGAACCAGAGGAGCCCTGACATGCATCAAAGCATCATTTGCGAAGCGTCGAAGCATGCTCTCCATGAGCATACGGCTATCCTACCGATCCTACCGATCCTTGCCTTTGCTGCGCAGTGCACGCAGATGCTGTGAGTGCCGGTGAGTTTGGGAAGCAGCGCCAAAGCCTCAGATTGAGGCAGCAGGAACTTCATCGCCTCCTTTATCGTTTCCCTCTATCTCTTTCTATCTCTTGCTGACTCCATCTCCTTAGATCTCTTTATGTCTCTCTATATGTCTTTATGCCTTTATCACTTTATACTTTACTTTCTGGGAGCTTTGTTTCGTTCTCAGAGGAGCCCCGGAGTGTTCGACGAGAGCGTGGTCCTTGACCACCTCGAATCGAAGTCTCTCTAAGTCTCTCATTTATCTACTTCTCTTCTTGCAACTGTTGATTGAGAAAACTGTTGCCTCCTCAGAAGGGTTCTTCACCAGAATCCGACACTCCGCGACGGGCAATGCCTGCACTGCTCATTACAATCGAGAGGTCACGAAGCACAAGTGCGCCAGCCTCCTTGTCGTTCATGTTGTAGGTGACTCGCAAGATCTCCCAGCAGCATGAGCTTTGAACGGGCAGCGGATTTGATGAATTCTGGCCTGGCCTGGTTGTCTAGGACCTCAGCAGGCAGAATGATCAACAACACACAGTGTGCACTTGTAAACAGGCTGTTCTACCACACCACATTAAGTACATGTTCTCCTATTGGTAAATTGAAGCGCTCAAAGGCGAAGGGGACCTGAGGAGAGCTCTAAGACTGCAAGCGAGGGCTGTGAAACTGTTGTGAAAGCGTCAGCTGCGCGAGGCCCTGGCCTCCTGCTGGAAGCATCTCTCGGATCCTTCCTCAGTGAGATAGAAAAGTGGTCTTTCGTTTGATCTTACAAGAATGGGAGTTTAGCCTGCTCTCGTCTGGCCTGCTGCTTGCCTGCTTGCTCTCTCTCTCGCTCTCTCTTTCTATCTTTCTTTCCTTCTTTTGTCTTTCTGTCTTTCTTTCTTTCTTTCCTTCCTTCCTTCTTTCTTTCTTTCTCTTCTTCTTCTGCTGGGCATGAGGGACAGGGCAGAAGTCCCTGAACCCCCTCTTTCTTTCATTCTTTCTCTCTCTCTCTCCCTCTCTCTCTCTCCCTGTCTGTCTTCTTCCTCCTCTGCCGGGAATGGAGAGTGGCCCGCCTCTTTCTCTCTTCTTCTGCCGGGCGTGAGGAGACCCTAGCCCGCATAGCGTGCCCGAAGTCCAATGTCTCTGTGATACCTTCTTTTTCACCCGACCGACGACTCAGACTAGGGTTACGAACCAAACACCTTCTTCTACACAGCGAAGGCACCCCCCCCCCCCCGAAGAGAGGGCACCGGCCACGACGGCCAGGGTTCATGGGTACGTTTCCCCCGTTTTGGGGTTGAGTCGTTTCACGACCCAAACACCTCTCTCTCTCTGTCTCCCTCCCTCTCTCTCTGTCTCTCTCTCTCTCTCTCTCTCTCTTGCTCGTCTTGAAGTCCCTCCTCTCCTCTCTCACTCAGAGCCTCCACAAAGAAGTATGCGGCCCGCACAGGTACCGTCAACCTTTGCGTGACACTCACATACTCGTCACGCGGCACCCATGCCAACAGTGTGCCAAAATGTGCCGGGGCCAGCGCCCAAGAAGAAGCCAAAGCATGGCTTGGCATTGGCTGAGGCCCGGCTTGGGCGATTGATAGGTCGCTCGGCCGCTAGCAGGCTAGACTGCTAGGCTGCTAGGTGTAAATTTATTTTGTGGCTGCTTTCACCTATCTTCAGCTCCGAGTGTAGCGTATCCAAGTAAGTTAACAAATCCTTGGGTAGATGGTGATTGCGGCATTGTGTACCAGTGTGCGCAAAGGTGCAGCAACTGATCAAGCAGACTCAGACTGGCCTCGCCAACTCGAACTGCTCTCTTGAGCACCACCAACGAACACTGAATTGCTGCAGGTAACATGTTAAAGCTTGAAGGTATCCATGCAGTACCGACATGCACTTTGAGACTTCTGAGTGACTAGCATTGTGCAACAAGCCAGATGTGAAGCCGGGATGCGAAGCCAGATGTGAAGCCAGGACTTGGGATCTGTGTTGCAAAAACACACCCCCATGCTTTTTTCGCACGCTCTTTCTGCGACGCTTGGAGAGACCTGAGTACTCACCAGAGCCGCCAGAGCCCTTCCGGGAGTCGCTCTTGGCATCTTTGGCAGAGCCGTGCTCTTCGTGCTCTTCGCGCTCTTCTCCTTGACAACCGGCACAATGCCGAGAGCCTGCCGCAACTTGACAAGCGCCTTCATGAGCCGGGCACTGTTTGAGCAATCGCAATCCACCTGAGTATTCGCGTTCACATGGGTTGCAGCAGAATTTACCCGGCAGTGCTTTTGCATGGCAGTCATCATTTGCACAGAGACTGTGCCGAATCGGCCAGGGCGTCCGCAAAGAAGGCTGGAGCAGTGTTCGCTGGTGCTGAAAAGGGCATCCCTTCAAGATGCAGGCATGAAGGTATGGGCACGGAGGCGGGTCATGGAAGATCACCTTGCGTTTGAGAATACGCTCATCGGGAACGGGCTCTGCCACATCGGCCGATCCAATTTGCGACTGAGACTGCACTGCGCTGTTGCCGTCTGCAGCAGACATGGAGAGGCATCTGAGAAGGAATACCAAACATCCAATGATCAGGTGATCTTTCGAGATGCTAGCCTGGTACGCTACGTAGGCAAGAATTGCTCTCAGCAATGGTAGGAGTAGCAGCATGCAGCCCATCCTGGTGGCTAAGACGACTCTTTGATGTGACCGTGAATATGCTTGGCATCTTTGGTCCCAGTCCTGCACGCAGAGCCCTGTACGGCAATACCTCATACAACTTACTCCCTTCCCCGAATATTAGAACACCCCTAGTACTAAAAAACCCCTGACCCCAAAACCCGATCCCGCACCCGCCCCTCTTTTTCCTCTACCGAACTACGGGGGGGGGGGGGGGGGGGGGGGTGGTAAGATGGACACTTAAAGGCTATGCTGCACGTGCGTGCCTTGTAAACAATTACTTTACAAAGGAAACGCCCGCAGAATAGACGCAACGCACCCGCAGAATAGACGCAATGCGCCCTTAGCATCAGCACACTGTGTCCTGGGAGGGCGCGGAGGGCGCGGAGGGCGCGGAGAGAGGGCGCGGAGGGCGCGGAGAGAGGGCGCGGAGGGCGCGGAGAGAGGGCGCGGAGGGCGCGGAGAGAGGGCGCGGAGAGAGGGCGCGGAGAGGGGTAGGGGTATAGGGGTAGGGGGTTGGGAGGGCAGCCCCTGCAAACAGGCAGGGAAAGGTAGCGTGAGAGCGGTGAGGGCGGTGGGGGCGGTGGGGGCGGTGAGGGTGGGCATGCGCGGGAGCCCCTTAAAACACTTTGTAGGAGGTGAGAAGGGGTGGGTGAGAGCGGTGGGGGCGGTGGAGGCGGTGAGGGCGGCGCTCCTGAAAACACTTTGTCGCAGCCCCTCCAAACAGGCAGAGAAGGGGGTAGGGGGTAGCGGGTACGGGGGGTAGGGAGGTGAGGGTGGTGAGAGCGTGAGGGCGGTGGGTGCGGGCTTGCGCTGGAGCCGCCCCTTAAAACACTTTGTGAAGAGAAGGTGTGGAGGGGCGTCCGCGTGTCCCCTCTCCCCTGCCATGAACCGAATGTCACGCTCCCCATCCGCGCTCCCCCCCCCCCCCCCGAACCCGTCCGTCAACCTCCATGCATGGTCCCTCCCTTGACCGTGTCGTCTCCGCGGCCTCCCGTCAAAATTCATTCCGTCCGACCCTCCTCCGTTGACCGCCTCCTCTTCGTGGCCTCTTTCGCCAAAAAGCGATCCGATAGAACGCCTTCCGCGTTCAAACGCCAAACGAGAACCCAATTTCAGAATTGGTTTTCGGGAAGAATCCAAGAACAAAGAGCACGCGCAGAATAGACGTTAAGCGTCCAAGGCACGGTTGGGGGGGGGGGGGGGGGGGCTGCAGCCCTTGGAATTAGGGTCTCCGAGCAAGCTACAATAAGGACGGGCTGTTTGTTCGGACATTCCGAGAAGAACCCCCCCCCCCGATACTAAAAACCCTTTGAGGTTTTGCGTCTTAGTGCTACCGGGGCGGGGGTGGACTTTAACATTAGGGGGAAGGGATTGTGGGACAACTCGGAAACAGTGGCCGCCGGGTGAGCATCGGATGCCCTGCAGAAACGGAAGCGCTCACAACTTGCTTTTGGCCTGCATGCCTTCCTCTTCTGTTGCTTGACAATTAAGATGACTTCCAGTATCTTCCAGGCAAGACGTGCATTGACGATGGCATTTGCATCCACGGCAGCTAGGCATTGCTAGCCTCAGAAGGATTTGAGACACAGGGATGCGGCTACCACAGGTTGTGATAACTGTGAAAAGAGATCACGGCAAAATGGCCTGCTTTTCAGGCTCTGAATTCTCAGCCTGTTTCAGCGACGACGGGCAGGCTTGGCTGGACAGGACAACATCAACGTTCCAGGGCCTGCACACACAACTGAAGCCCAATCTACGCATCACCGCAGCGGCCAGAACATGAAAGGAACTTTCTTTTTGCAGCATGGAGCTTGATCAGGTTGATGATGAAGCCGTCCTGGTCCGGGCCTGAGAAATCATCTTGCGAAGCCCGATCTGCACGCCCATGCTGCGCTCATGCTGCATCCATCCCAAAGCAAGATGCGAAGGATGGCTACTGGGTACCCATTCACACCACAGCTCACTCTTTCGGACAATCCCCAACCAAGCGCAAACATGTCTGTCCTGCCATGAAGCTAACCATGCAGAGATGGAGACGTCTAAGACTGAGGTCCGAGCAGTAACGAACGGTGTACTCTGAGCCTGATAGATTGCACCTGCAGGGAAGCGCACGTTTCCCATTGAGATGTTAGGGCACGCTTGGGCCTCCTTGTTCTGGAGAAAGGCTTCATTTTTTGAAAGATTTTAAGCGATGCAACTTGAAGGAGCTTTGCGGGGCCTTTGCGGGGCCTTTGCGGGGACTTTGCGGGGACTTTGGGGGCTTTGCTTTGCTGGGCACCCGGAGCCATCTGCAATCGTAATGACATTGTCGTTGTTGTGGAAGGCTGCACCGGAGCACTGCCCAGTCTGCGGGCCATTCATTTCCATGTCAACCTTCGCGCACATCTTCGCACACATCTTCGCGTAACTGCATGTCAACACCAATGTCAACACCCATGTCAACACCCATGTCAACACCCATGTCAACACCCATGTCAACACCAATGTGAACACCCTTGTCAACGCCATACAACACACGCACCTCTTCTGGAAGTATCAGCGCTCTCACAAGAAGACGGAAGAGACAGAGACAACAGCAGACTATGGCAGAACATGGCGTGCCATCCAGCGACCCGAACAGCATGGAAATGAAAGGTCTGAAACACTGACAGAGCAAATCAGATCAAAAGGCACATTGGAAGCAGCAAGTAAGTGACTAAGTTGGAGTTCCTTCTATGCAGAAGCTGAACCATGCTGCATGTACTGCAGTGCTAAACAAGCATTAACCAGGATCCTGTAGCCCCAAGAAGATAGAAGCGATTCCAGCTCGAAACAAGGCATACTACAGCAAAGCAAGCTAGCAAGGGTCAGAGAGGCTTTGCAGTCCTTGACTTGGCTATATGCCAAGGGGACAGCCAGAGATTCAGCGAAAATAGAGCACGTGATTCTTATCGTTCTGGCAGTGAAAAGAGGGAAAGCAATGAGAAGCCAAGTGGCCACACCGGAGGCTCCGTCATAGCTCACCACCTTGATTGCAAACGTCTCCACCAAGAGCTGGCCGCCGTAGCCTTCAGATCACTCGATCCCTTGAGATGTGCGAAAGGGATTATCTTGTCCTTTTTCCTGCCTTGCTCTGCTCCAACTCCATCAAACCCACCCCGGCTTGGAGCTGCATGCGAACTGCGCAGCTTCGCTTATGAGATCCGTAGTTTCTGACAAAGTTTCTGATGTCCCATGAGAGTCTGGTAAGGCCTGACGGCCGATTGCATTGGCAGGGGAAGGGTTAGAACATTCGCAGCGTTCTTCTGGTCCTTACTTACCTAGCCGAACATGATCTCATGGAAAACAAGACTGTTTTCAATGTCGTGCTAATACAAGGGCCGGCATTAAGCGACCTGGCTACGACAACAATAAAGTAACACAAAAAAGACGCATGACTGTGCAGTCCTCTGCCCACAGAAGTCACAGAAGGTTGCGAAGGAAAGTACACTCAGTGCAGTCAGGCGGCAGAGGGGAGCACCACTTGGAAAGTCTCCAGTACCAGTGCACTCCGGAACGTCACCAGACTTGCTCTGTGCCCCGAGAAGTGAAGGCAACTCAGGCCTGGGAATCTCAATCAACGCTCTGAGAATTGCTCTGAAATTCTCTGAACAATCAAGCTCTATTCGCAAAAAGAAGACTCCCCCAAGCCTCTGCGGCTCTGCTGCGGCGAAGGCGGCAAAGGCAAATGCGAGAATCACACGAGTCATTGCGAAACTGGAAACGTGCCCTCCTATACTGCAAAAGGTATACTCGAGTCCCGCTAAAAGGCTTCGAGCTGCAGTCCTCGTTGCCACGCCTCAAAGTTGTGAAGGTCTGGAAGGTCTGATCTACTCTGCTACTCTGACTCAGGCTCCTCATTTTCGACTGACATCGTCGCGTAGAACCCTGGGTGAAACCAATGAGGAGCAATTCGACTAAACTCCTCAGGGCTGCTTGAACGAAGATCCACCTGAACAACATGATGGTTCAAGACTTCTCTAAGAAGCCAGCCATATATCAAGTCATGCCACACAGTGTACGCAGGCCATTTACCGCGCACACACACCCACACATGTGCGCGCAAAATGCACATGTGCTCTTTGCAGCAAGCTTTTCTCGGCAGTCTGCCAACATCGTCCGTGCGATATTGCTTGCCAAATATGCAGCTCGTGATGTAGGATGCAAGACGATGAGACCCATCGCAGTAAATCGCGTTGATGCACGCGCATTGCTCATTCCTATTCCTTCGAGAAGGCAGCAAGTACGCCGATCAGCATGAAGCGCCACGAAATTGTCCCTGGGTTTGTCGTATCTACCCCCGTGGGCTAGCACCATTTGGCTTGTGTCTATCTACGATATCTCCACGCGAATGGGCAGGTCGACCCACACAAAATGTTGGATTTTGACATGGTATTCAGCACGGTTTCACTCAGTTGTTGGTAAGAAGTCAAGAGACTGTAATTTTGGCGCATTGCGATTGATTTTCGTCGTGTTGGCACGTCAATGCTTGGAAGTCGCTTGAAGCGTTTGGTAGCAGCAAAGAGACGGAGCAGCAGACCACAGAAAGACAAAGCAGAGACGAGACACGTCGCTTTGAGAGTGAAGAACTAAAGTGCTGGGCAAGTCCTGCGTTGTGCGCGCGCAGAGTGACACTACGAGTTTTATAGGCATTGCTTCTCCCGACTCGCGGCGGCGCCGGGTTTCCCTGACTCGTGCCTCATGCTTTCTGGCTCATCTACCTGACTGGTGCATCCATAAAGCTCTTGCAGACCTTACAGTACCCTGCATGGCTCAGGATCACGAGCTAACAGCCGTGGATCCGTCAAGCATCAAACAGCCCTGCACTATTACAACGTGTGAGAACACAGGGCTTTTGGTCCACACTTTTCGTAATGAAGGGCAACTTAGCATGACATCACCAAAAGTACTTGTGAATGCCAAAAACCTACAGTTTTCCGCGGAACTTCAAGAAGTTCTTTTGCTCTCACTGCCGCTAGCAACAGCAATGGGCCTGCTGATGGATGTAGCAACGGCGCAACTTCTGCAAGCAGCACCTCTTTCAAACTGGTACTGCCGAATGACAACTGCATTGATCTACTGTGTACTCTACAACCAATGAGCAATGTGCGGATTATTACCCGGTCAGCACCTTCTGCGGCTCGCTGGCCCAACCTCGGTTCGCAGCTGGCTTCACGCATTTACAATGTTACGACCCACTCCACATGCAGTGCATCTGCCCAGAGTTTGGACACCAAGTCGTAAGAAAGAAGCCATCCACAAAGCAAAGTAGGAAAGCAAGAAAGTCGATCAAACCTAAGTCTGCTCTCAAGATGCAAGACAGCACAGAGACGGCAAGTGCCTATATGCCCAAAACTGATTCCACTGAGTTCCACAGAGTTTCACACCAATGATGGTGGCCAGAATAAATGTGAGGACAACCTCAAGCGCGCTGCAAGAATTGAAAATCGGAAGACTTTCAGACGGGAGCCTCTTCAATCAAACATGCAATAGGATCAATAGGCCTGCTTCGGGCTGTGGTCGCCATTGTACCAACCTCAACACCAACTGTCGGTGCATGTTAGCTCCTGTCGGTGCGGATCAGCTTGTCACCTGAGCGTTGCGCGGGCCCAAGGCATCATGGGCATCAGCAGCAGCAGCACAATGGCTGCCTGAATACCAGCGAAAACGCAAGATCATGAGATGTAAAGCACTGATTCGCCCATTCAATGACGCAACGGCATAGCTTCAGCTGCATAGTTGGTAATGTCCGATTTGCCAGCCAATGGAACTTTGTTCGGGCCCTACTGAAGCCAAAAAGCATGTATTGTTTGGATGGAACGGAGCACTGAACGCTGAGATGAAAGCCGCCAGCATATGATGTCGGACCGCCTGAAACGGGCAAGAAGTAGCGTGTGTTTTCCAGGCCCTCACTTCAATCAACTGCTATGGTTGGTTCTCACTAAGTCACTAAGCGTCTACGGCTCGCTGCTGCCACCTCAGAACTAGACACAAACGGACAACAAGATGCCTCCAGCATGTAGAACGTCAAGAGGCATTGGCATATCCTTGCCCGCATCACCAGTTTGCATCGCAGATATGCCGTGGCCTACGGTTCAGCGTTGAGGAAAGCGCAGCACGTGGCCCGAAGGCATGCCGGGAAGTAGCTTGCCACCATCCGTCCTCAAGCAAGCAGGGGTGCGTTGCACTTGAGCCACAAGTGGCCAATTGGCTTTGTCGGCAGAAAACATGAAAAAGCGTCGTTCAGGGCCAGAAGAGCAGAGGTGCAAAGAGAGAGCGAGAGAGCAGAGATTGAGAGAAAGAGACAGAGAGCGAGAGAGAGCGCACCGAGTGAGTGAAGGCAAGGAAGAGGAAGAGGGAGAGGCAGAGGGAGAATGCGAAGCAGCGCTAAGAGCAACATGAAACTGAATGTAAGAGCCCGAAACAAGAGCAACCAACAGCATGAACAACCACATGGTCAGTCGATTATAAAACGACAGCAGAGAGCAAACGCTCCTGCACGCGGATGTTGCCGGCCGTGGGTCGTTGACGAGAGGCTTGAGGATGAACTCGGGTAAATACAGAAAAGCCAAAAATACTTCTGCGAATTTCAGTCGTACTGGCAACTTTCCGCTGCCTCGGACAGGAGGGAGGTGACAATTACCTCGAAATTCTCCGGAAGGCATCTGCTCTGTAGCAGATGAATCAACTCTATTGAAGATTGAAGAGCTCCGTCTGCTTTAAGCCACGAGCAGATGAGAGCATGAATGCACTGGAGAGCCTCCTGAAGGCGCAGGCCGAGACCCCATACAAGCCTCATACAAGCCCTTCTCTCTTTTCCGATGTCTCTGGGAGTCCCGCTTTTGCAGCACGGCATCTGCCAAAAGGAGAATGGGCAGGCCCCAAGCGGCGAAGCTGGCACGATCACAGGCCGCATATGTGCAAGAAGTCTCAGTTGCTGATTCATTCGGCGAGCGCCTGAGTAGAAGGGCCAGCATAGGCAGCGGTCTGAAATCCAGCCTCAGTTCAGATTCTGCTGGCATGGCTGGCTGCATAGACACCAACCCAGAGCAGGTCCAAGCGGCGGCAGCCGAACTGTCACTTGACCGACCTGAGCTGTCTCAAAGGTCTTGCGCGGGTCGCCAAACGAAATGGACAAGGAGTCCGAGAAATAGGAATGGGGACGAGGTTTTTTTGAAATTCTGTTCATAGTATACCTCTTACATACCTATTTCGAGCCCCCAACAGTTTTGACCTCCATGTGCCTGGACATTCTCCTTCCAGTATTGTTGAATCCAGATACTTGAGAGATGGATTACAACCACTTCAAAACGGCCGCTCTGATTTTTTCAACTCCTCCCAATCTTGTGGACAGTTGGGCGATGCATTTGGCAGAACATGACAGCACTTGCCGTAAAGTCTGCCAGCCAGGGGCCAGGCTGCAAAGAAATCTTCCTCATCCAGACTTTGGCTTTCTACATCTCCACTTTGCCTCAGAGAATTCACAGGGAAGCCGTAGGACTCAGAGTCAAATGCAAAGGGTTGCAAAGAGTCAGCTGCAGCTTTGGCAACAAGGCTTCTGCGACGATCTGCGAAGCGCCATGAGTATGACACTATGGTGCTCTGAGTCAGAGATTGACTACTTTGCAATGATTCGGGCAGCATATGGCAAGAACCCTATTCCATGCATCGTTTGGGGCCTGTCGCTGTCGCTGGCTCTCAAGTCATGAGGGCCTGTCTGCCCTGAAAGCTTGAGAAGGTCATCTGGGCTCACACGGCATATGCAACGTTGCAGTGCAATTTCGAAGCTCTCTGAAAACACCCGGGAGATTCACAACTCACTACAAGACCCTATTGACAGTGTGAAGTGCTCGTTGTCAACCGATGTGTCGAGGCCAAATAAATACCCACAAACTTCCCTCCGAGTCGTCTCTTGTCAATGAGATGAACTTGAAAGGAACTGGACACCTGCTGACTGCTGCAGTGCAAGGTCTGCCCTTCTTGAGAACTTCTTTGCTTCGCATTTTTCGCCAGGTCTAAACAGCAGGTGCCCAGTCAAGCCGGCATGGCTTCTAATCTGCTTCACAGACGCCAGCACAGGGGTAATGATCAGCTTCCATCCTGAACTTGGGAACTAGCTGACCTTCTCGTGTCTGCGTCCGTGTTTCCGTCCACCTTGGGCAACTTGCCAGCGGCAATTGGCGATCGAGGAAATGTGGCTGCACCCTCTTGTCTCAGCAATGTCATGCCGAAGCCTGCACGGTCTGCACGTTGCTCCCCTCCGACCACAATGGTTTTGCGGCCGATCCGCTCTGGCCTGTACAGTCTCACGAAACCTCACGACAAGCGTCGAATCCAACCCAACCTGGACAGGTACTCCCGCAGACGAGAACGAGGTGTCGCACCTGGCAACGGGACATCTGAGATGAGAGAGGTCCGGAGGAGGTCTCATGCCAGAAGCACGCATGCACAAGTCTGATTGGATGCCCAGTCTGTGATAAAAACAAGAAGTAACATTGAACTGAATATTCTGAGCTGCTTTCCGCGGCAGTTTCCATGTCTGTTCAGCCGCCATGTCACGCCCCCTTCTCACTGCCTTACGTGTTCCGAGCACCACTCTCGTCCACAGGGGAAATTTTGCCCCAGCCCCAGCCCCGCCCTGCAAGCGCGTCAATTGTGATCCTCGGCTGTTGCCCGTGCGAGTCTCCGCAGTCCTCGGTGCCCACTTCTTCCTCCACCATTCTGCTGGCCCTCGCAGTGTGCGGGCATGTCGTCGTCCTCATCGTTCTCCGTTTGCCGATCAGTCTGGTTCCGGCCTTGATCCGACACATATATGTATACACATGTCTTTCGTATCGGCCTTTGAGGTGTTCCCAAATCCTTTGCAAATTGTGCTACTCTGATTCCCTTGCAAGGCACGGTGCGACACCTGGAACATTGAGCCATGTTGAGCTTCGTGTGTTCAGAGTTTGTGGCACTGCGGCATGGGCTTTGGAGTCCTGTATGCTCGTGCTCCGGGGAGGCCGTGTGTCATCTATCACTTGGAGATCCAGCAGAACCTTTTGGTCCAGAGTCGACGCGAAGGCTTGCTGAAACGAAGGTGCTACTCACTCAACAACACTTCAGATGAGGTGCTTCTAGGGGGGAACTTGCTCCTCACAAGAAAAAGAGATGGAACTTCGCGCGCAAAGGAACTCAACATAATAAGGCCCAAATAAGTGTTGAAAGTTCTTGGGTCTTTGTATCCTGCATTCATGTGTAAACGGACTAGAGAGTACCTATGGCTCTTGAGGTCCGCATCATTACACTGACCTGCCTGTGGACGTCTCAGACTCGCCCGAGGTCAGACTGTCTCCTGCCAGCGAGGATTGTTTTGTGGCTTCACAAAAAACGTAGGTGGTGCAAGGTAGTGCTGACTGTCCTTCTGCCGTGTCAGATGGCTCGTGCGACCTTGCACGGATGGTTCGGAAATGTTCGGCATAAGCGCACTCTGTTCCGCAGGTAGGCCGCAACCACATGGTCCAGAGGTCTGCTGGTGACTCACGCGCAGACCTTCGTGAAGGCATCTCTCTCAACTCACTGTGCAGAAGCAGGAAGCTATAGAAAGCTAAAGATCGCAAAATTAGGCGCTTGGCTCGAGAGACTCGGCCGGCTCTGCTTGCTCTTTGGGCTGCTCGTGCTTGCTGGATGTACCACTGTAGTCACCAGACTCAGTGGACACAGCTTGCATCGGCCCAGCCTGACAGATTTGCCGAGGAAGCCGAGCAAAGGATGAGTGCACAGTCAGAAGCAACAATGGTCGGCTGACCTGGCCAGCCTCTGACAGCCTCTGTAGCAAACTTTCGGCAGATGCTTCCCAGGGGTCATCCTCTGGAGAATAGGCCTGGGTTGCGAGTCTCAAGGATAGTCGATGAGAGCAACGACATCCAGGAACATCTGGAACAACGACGGAGCGACTGGAGCTGCAGGCTGTGACTATTTACACCTCTTGCTGTGGCCCGGGCCGCCTGCATCATGAGCTTTCGTCGCAAGCTGCGCAGAAGTGCATCCGTTGAACCATCCAGCCTTGGAAAATAGACAGAGGCGGATGAGAGCAAAGTGCAAGCCACTGCTAGTCCTGAGCTTGGAGCGCTTCGAGTTGCCGCAGGCTTTTCTCTATGGCATCAACCTTGCAGAGCGTCCCTCTGTGCACGGATGCAGCCGGAAAGGTTGCGAAATACCGGAGCCTCATGAAGAGTGAGCTCCTCTGAGAGTGCTCGCACATGCTTGATGCCTGACGTCTACTCGGCACAGGTCTTCCTGACTTTGTGTCGCCCTAGGCACTGGCATGCTCGAACCAGCTTCTGGTTGTTGATCTGCAACCTCGGGTTTGGACTTTTGAGGGTCGCAACCTGCGTCCTGCTTGTGGACCATTCTGAATTCGATGACCGACTTGCCATATTTTGCCATGCTTTAGTTGCCGGCGTTGCAAAGGACTGCAAGGTCATGCCCACGCCCTGACCTGTGCAAGGTCATCCTCGAAGGCCCTCTCTCTCTTGGCAAGCTGAGGTATCTGCCAGAGAAAAGAGGCATTTTCTGCACAATCTCCTCCGCCATGAGATAAAACAAGATCTCGGATCCTTGGCTCTTGGCCATTTTGTCCCGAACCCTGTCCCTCCGATCCAAGGTAGACACTAGGCCTCCGGCGCACCTCAATCTTTGCATATCCATGAGCTGTCAGTGCCAAAGCCTATCAAGGACTGTGGGCACTTTGCCGACAAGATGGTTCAGCTACGTACGGCCTGCGGAGTGAACTGCGGCAGCTGCGGCCTAGGCAAACCGGGCTTGCCAATCTGTGCAGAATGCTATCAGGATGACATCAATCACAATGCAAATCTGGGAGGCAAGATAAGATGAGCTGGGATGAATCTGACCACGAATTGTGCACAACCTTCGAGATATCAGGGTTCTGGCACAATTGCTTTTGCAACCTGCGTGAAGAGCGCCACCTCACCGGCTTGAAAGCGGAGAAAACATGGGAGAACTTCAATTGAACGTGAGCAAGCTTCCAGCTTCCAGGAGCTGGGATGGCTGCATCCCGTTGCTGGAGCCGTGCGCTGGAGTGCACCAGGAGACATAGTGAACTTAGCATGACTTAGCATTACTTCGCAGAACTTCGCAGAACTTCGCATAACTTTCCGACTTCTGTTTTTAACATAGCGCTCTCGGAGCCAAAAGTCTGCCGAGGCTCCTGCTGCGCCTGGAACTCTGAAAGCCTTTGGCGGACTTTGCGCAGGATGCCCTCGCACAGCGTGCCGTGCAGTTGAACAGAAGTTGAACTGAAGTTGAACTGAAGAACAAGGAAAAGCCTATAGCCGCCTCTGTCAGATCTGCTGACTGCAGGGGCTTCCACCTCGTTGGAGCCAGCGCATCTACTACACTTCCTACACGATGCTAAGTGGTGCAAATATCTATCATTCTCCAAGTCCGATCGGTCAAGGCGATCTGTTGCCTGGCGCAGGCGTGGAGAAGCTGCATCAAACCGGGTGGTCCCAGGCTGTCCAGCCTTCAGCCAAAAATGCCGGTGGTGGATGCTGAAACACTCTTCACGTGGGAGATGCTGAGGACCCAGCCCAGCTGAAGCTTGCTTAGACAGCACGGCAACAGCCTGCACTGCCTCACCAAGGATCACGTTTTGCCACTGGCAGCTTGATTGACGACGAATGACGCCCGTCCGGTTGAAATTCAGGTATGTGAGACGGCCACTTCCGCAGCACGCGACAGTTTGCTGCATGTTGCTTCCCTTTCACACAACAGAGAGAGAGAGAGACACACACACACACAGAGGCAGTGCGACACAAGCATGCACACATACAATCTCAGAGGTAAATGCAGTCACATTTCGAGTGGGAAGACCGTCAGCCTTAGACGAAACACGACAAAGGGTCGTTCTTCGTTCTGGTCGGAGTTGCCTCGTCATCAGCGGACTGTGGCCGCCGGAGACGGCCCTTAGATGCATTTCACATTGTACATGGCTGTACATGGCTGTACTCAGTCTGTACTCGGACTGTACTCGGACCGTACCCCTTTGGCGTCTGAGGGTCCAATGCATTGAAGACAAGGCCTCAGCTTCCATCTCATTCAAGCCCGCTCACCCAGAACCAGTCCCCAGTACAACAAAGCTGTTGCTAACGTTTGCTAACACCCTCAGGCCGTCTCAGAGTGTTGCTGCACTGGCTTCTGAGAGGAGTGGCTCCTTCGCGCGCACATAGCAAGCTCAAGCAGCACATGCCAGTCTGGGAACACACCTCCGACAGGACCAGAAGAAGAGTTCGAACGAGCGCCTGGTGAAGGAAAACTGTGTGAAAACACATCGGCACAGCTTGGAGAGCAAGCGATGCCTCGTGCTGGAAGTCGACCGCGCTCAGGGCATTCAGCACGGTGCCAACATCCTTGGGCCAGCTGTCTCTCATCAGCGCAGGTCTCCTTGATTCTGTGCGGATGATTCCGGCCTGGGCCTGGAAGTCCAGATGTGCTTGTAGCAGCCTGGGTTGAGTCGCGATTCGCTGACAGCCTCGCTTCAATATTGTTACTCGTGCCGTTACTCGCGCTTGCTCAGCTGGGCCACCATTCTGCCAGAACTGGCCACAAGCGGCGGTGCCCTGCCATCTTTGTCGCTGGTAAGTCGCCATAGTTCGGCACATTATCTGTACAGTGTCCACAAGTCTGAGCAGCTGGCCCATCTTGAAGCGGGCAAATGCATTTGCCACAAGTAGCAAGGTCACCTATCGACTCAAGTTGCACAGGTGCAGACGGTGAAGGTCACAGCTGAGAGAACTGTCAGGTTTCAGCTTCACGCGTGGTTCAATTCATGCGGTCGGCGAAGAACCTCCGGGGCTAGCTCAAAGCTATCGAGGCGAGATCGAGGCGAGATCGAGGCGAGGTTGTTGAGTTGTTGAAGGGCAGAGCATGACACGGCTGAGACCTCTAAGCGGAGCTTCCATGTATGAACCTCGTCAGCGATGTCATCAAAGAGAAGGTCATCCCGGATGTCCATCCGCGCATAAGCGTTTGCAACCTTGCAGCTTCGCGGGCAAAGGGCAGTACTGGTGCAGGACAAGGCATGAGCGGACATATGGGGCTGCCATGCATCCTGGCTCCGGACTGCACCCAGCTGATATCCTTCGAAAAGAGGAAGCTTGTGCGGCCTCAGAATCTCAAAACAAAGGCAAACAGGAAGGCAAGGATGGGGAGCATGGCCAAGTCTCGCTAAGAGCAGCACATCTCCGTGGCCATTCGTCGGAACAGCGCCTGATGAAAAGCGAAGCCCAAGACTCGAGATGCTGCAGGCACAGAAGGCCTCAAACGGTTGGGGCTTCCCCGGCTCCATGGTAGTCACGGTGCTTGGGCGAGTTCGTGCCATACTAAAGTGGAGATGCCTATCTTCCAAGCGTGAACGCCAAGCTGAGTGGAACTCCCAATCCGAAGCCACCATCCTAAACTCCACCTACGAGTAGGGCCTTTCAGGGACCGCGCTTTTCGACGCTTACAGTACTTAGCCTCTTGGGGCCTCTTGGGCCTCTTGGACTCTTCGACTCTTCGACTCCTCGACTTTTAGAGTTGCATGCAGAGAAGGGTTGCTGAGCACGATGTCTGTTGCCAAGCTTGGAGAATTGAATGCTTCAACCTTTGCAGAGTCATCCGCCCAGTCTGAAGGGCTGAAGATATTCGAGAGAACCACAACGGGACTGCCCGGCTCGAGAAACTTAGCAAAACTCACTTGAGATAGCTTGAGATAATGCCTCGTCACGCTCCTGCAGCTTTGCATAGGCGCTGCATGTCCGGCTGATGTCAGCGGGCACAAACCTAACCCAAGAAGCCCGGAACTGAGACGTTCGGCGGCGACAATCACACGATTCACACAGCGCTGGGAGCCCAGCTGTGGCAAGCGAGGCATCATTCGCTTGCTGAAGACTTTCAGCATCTGCGAAGTGCGGTTCACACAAAGACACTCAGGCTGGCATCTTTGTCAGGGTTCCATGGGTATCCTGTCCCTTGCTTCTTCCTTTGCGCTGATCGGCGGACACCCCTCCGTGACTTTTCAGTATGACAGCTTGGCCTTGTCATGTCGGTGGGATGCTCGAGCGAAAGAACTCAAAATGAGACCGAACCTGCACCGCGGATGCACAATGCAAGCAGGGTCGTGATGCAGCAACGGATGCTAAGTTCGTCACTGGCTTGGCTGCAGCTGCGCAGCGAGCTCCTCGGCCCTCTCTGCATATCTATCTAACCTGGCTTCTTGGGCACTACAGGCAACTCTTCGATGCATGCGATAGTAGCCAAATCTGCCAAGCCACAACTCCGGCATGTGCAGACCATACGCCTTAACAGGGCTCGCGCTGCCAACACACGAGACCTTCCAAGCAGCTTCAGGTCCTGGCAACCAAGCGGATGCAGTATCGCGTCAGGTTGTCTGTCTTGAGAATCTGGTCCAAAAGTCATCGGGGCACTGATGTAAAGAAGAACATTGCCAACGGTACACTGCCAACATCTGCCAACCTCCGGTGTGTACATCTCAGACTCGATAATCGGTTGAGCCGCGGTCTCGAAGGCCTGCGGGAGCATGGCAGAGCATGGCAGAGCATGGCAGAGCCCTGTAAATTTTCTCAAGATCCTAAAGGAGCAGTGATGAGCAGTGTCGAAGCCGGTGTAGCAATGCAGCAGTGCAGCGTCGACGCCACCTCGCGGTGCGCCCGCTGCTTATTCTGTCTGTCATAGATGCTCTGCACCTGCAGTGCATGGGCTATAAGTGTTCCGTGGCTTCTGAACAGCATTCCTCACGGGACTTGGGTTGGCACAGACTTTTTGCCCTGAAAAGAAGCAACAGCATACGAAACGAAGCATAAAATGGCGATTCAAAAGAAAGACGAGGCAGGCAGTCCTTGACCTTAAATGAGAAGCTGCGTGCACTGCGTGCACCAAGATCGCAGAGGCCCAGCCTTTCAGAGTCTGTCAGCACAGTTGAAAATCATGCGGCTAGCCTCGTTTGATACCGCCTCGTTTTGTATTTGTAATAATTGTAACAACTCGCCTGTTGGCACTATGGCATGTCACCCTGACCATGTACCGACATCAACCAGACGCATAAACATCGCAAGCAAAGTTGGCGCCCAGGGCAAGAAAACCCACTATGTGGAGGAAACTTGGGAACATGTGGAGGGGGTGGGGGGAGGGGGACTCTCTCAGAAGGTCTAGCCCTTGACACGCCTTGATACTTTGGCAATCCTTGGATAAATTGGGCCAGGAAGGGTTTGGACATGGTTCTCAACTGACCGAGCATCAACAGCATCATTTCGGGCAATATCTGCGCAAAAGGCTTTCCACTCACAAATTTCGGCAAAGTTTGTCACAGCTTGCACAATAAAGGAGGCAGACTCCGGCAGAAAGCGTTCGGGACAAGAATGTAAAGGGCGCACATAAAATTTAGCCAACGTTGTTGTCGTTTTTGATTTGTTTGTTGCGGTTGTCGCTTAAGTTACAACATTCGTGGGTGCTCGTCATTTATCTGCTGTAAATCGCATCCTTGTGTTGTGTTTGGATGCCACAATCTGCACACACACACACACACACACATGCACGCCCGCGCGCACATCAACATTTCGCCGTGTTCGGGAGCCTCACCGGCTGCAAATTACAGCGTTTCTTTCTGCATATTTGGACGCTCCCACCACCGCAAAATGCACCCTCGCCAAGCCTCTGACAGATTCAAACGCTGTAAAGTACATTCTGCCATTTAACAGCACTTCGCAGCGTCTAACATGTTTGCATAAACCGCCATTCTTCGCGAGAAGTGAATTCTCGCGGAGCCCATCTTAGACACGAACGGGTGCTGGCTACAAGAGCGACATGTATCCAAAGGCTTGACACAAGTCCTGATCCCCAGCTGTCGGTTTGTGTAGTGAGCAGAGAGCACACGGCAACAGAGCAAAAACGAAGGCAAAAAAAGGACGAGCATACAGAGCATGGCAACACGAAACGCAAAAAACAGGATAGACAGACTCAGCGATACAGGAGCCATGCTCTATGAAAAGCAGGCGCCCCAGCATTATTTGCATCTGTTCTGTCTTCCATGCACATGGACGAACTTACATTATATGCATATTTGGTACCCCCCCCCCCCACTCTTATCACGATGTTTTAAGATTTGCCTACACAAGCCGGAACAATGATTCAATTCCATGAATAGCACGACTGGAGAATGATACATACATACATACATACATACATACATACATACATACATACATACATACATACGTACCACAGGCAGACATACATACATACATACATACATACAATACATACATACATACAATACATACAATACATACAATACATACAATAATACATACATACATACATACATACATACATACATACATACATACATACATACATACATACATACATACATACATACATACATACATACATACATACATACATACATACATACATACATACATATATGTGTGCCTGTCGACTGGGATTGACTTCTGTTCCTCTGGATCAGTCAAACAGTGATTTTCCCCCGTTTCCTGGCTCCTCGACCATGCGGCGGTTTTGAAGGGACTTCCTACACACGTGGAGTGAGGTATGCCTGTTGTTTCGGTCAGATGATCATGCATGTCGTTGAATGGCCGTTTTGTGATGTATGTAAAGAACGAAACCGCAAGACAAAGCTTCAGACTGTCACATCTTGATTTCTGATACCCTTCTCGAGGGCGACTTCTTAAGCATATGTAAAATTCGCAGAGCGCAGCAAATCTACCAACATGAACCCGGAAACGAAAGCCCGCTCACTTCTTCTTCAGGAAGCTCTACAAAAACGCATTCCAATGCCAAGTTCCAACTTGAATCTCGTGATAGAATTCTAGTGCTCTGGCTCTGACTGCGGCTCCTGCCTCTGGAACACTGCTCGGGTTGCTGCGCAGCACCCTCAGGATACACTAGACCCTCACTAGACCGGCCAGGCCCACATTCAGAACCGGAGGTTGAATCGAGAAGTTGAAACATACTTGTTCATCTGCGACGTTGAACCCAAGCTGCGGAGCTTGCGCAGCATCGCGGAAAGTGCGACGCGCGGCTAATTGAGCACCACATGGCACTGAATGCGGCAAAACTGCAACTGCGATGATGTCAAGATCAAGACGCGAACGTGCTGGCGATTCAGAGTTACCGAGTTAGCTGTTTTGTAGCTCCACGTGTGCTTGGTCGTAGTTTCATGCAGGCTGCTCTGATACAAGCGTGAATTGAACCAGGACCATCAAGCTAACAAGCACAACTCTCCAAGTGCATGCAAATGAGTACAATTCGAGAGCACACCGGGTGCAGATACCTGTTTGGTCGGTCTCTAGCCATCTTAGGGTGCATAGCGCCGTCTGCAAAGAAGCCTCCAAGCCTGCGTATGGAATGTCATGAACTAGCACGAAGAACACCCAGGCTTGCCATGTGAACATATCGCTCTGGCTGACTCTGCCAGCAAAAGCGTGCTGCGACAGTTCCGCTTGGTGGTGTGGATGGAGGCTGGTTTGTGATTTGTGGCCATGCCTCTGCCACAACTGACGCAAGAAGAGACTCAGACCTGAATTTCGGACGAACTTTTGCACTCAAAGCTCTGGTGCATGGCCCTCGAGTTTGCAGAACTTGTATGACCCCGACTGGGCTTGAAGTATGGACAAACGTCGCTCGACCTGCGCAGGTGCCAGCGTCGTGAGTGGGGTTCAGGCTTGAACGGGCCTCATCACGAGTCGCGGCCTCTACCTTGGAGTAGAGCACACCAATACACACTCACTTCACCATCAAAGGGTCAGGGCGTCAGGGCATGCCACAGCTGTCAAGGATTGGAGAAAGGTGAGGACACTGCCGTACCGCTGATCGCCAGGTCGTCTTCGAACATTACGGTGCCTGTAGCCACTGTGTGGTCCTCACAGGGAGCGAGAAGCCATGCATGAGGCTCAAGTAAGCATAAGCCTGTTTACAGTGTGAAGTGGCTTTAGAGCTGCAAGCTCGCATTGCTCCTGGAAAGGGCGATCAAGGCTTTCTTGCACGCAGAAGCGCCGAGGATACTGCGGGACTCTGCCAATCCGATCTCATGCCCTCATACTCACGTAAAGCCGTAAAGCACACTGCAATAAAGTAGTAGAACGGCCTCTCCAAAAGACCTGGCCATCTTCCAAGGCTTCCGAGAGCAGGACCACCGAGAGAGTTGCTATAGCATAGGAGCTATGCAAAGCATGCCAGCTTTGCGGCACCATGGGCCAAGAATGTGGGCAACTACAGGTATGCTATTGGTATGCTCCTGTGAAAAGTCTATAGACCTTGGGGGAATACGCGCCTGTTGGAGGGCTTGCATCTGGGCTTGTTATCCTGCCGGCATGCAGAATGCATGTTTCCGCTCATGCATGTGACATGCCTAAGAGGTGTCGAAGATGTGTCTACGCCCATGCAACGTGTACGAACAGTTCTTTCAATCAGCTGGCGGCATGCTGCTCGCGTAACTACACTCAGTATCTGAAATTGGACCCGAATGTCCATCGATTTGAGCATAGATCAAATGGAACGACTTCGTGGAAGCTGCAAGGTGTCTGCTGACAGTCGCCGGTTTTGCTGTCAGTTGTTTTCCGAGCAGCACGAAGACCAAAAGCCAGCCTGAAAACAGGCGTAAGCTTGAACGAAACTCTAGGACATCGTAACCCAGACTTCCGAGCAATGAGCATCAAACATCACAGCAAGTTGTCTGTGGAGTCGTTCTCCTCTTCGGTGGAAAGGAAGGCGCAGGCGAACTCAGGTCAGGGGAAGATGACCATTTTGAGGGACACCCCGTGCCACAAAGCGGTAGTCATGCTGTGCTCGCCGCCATACCCAACGAAATAAGGAGCAGCACGACACCTACACCTTGTCACAGCTGGCAGAGGCTAAAACGAACTTGTCGCTGTTGTTGCACAACACCGGAGAACTTGGAACATAAAAGCTTGGCTGCAAACAGCCTAGCACCAAGCCAAGGTGACGCATGCCGCCCTCCGGCATGCAAAAGCAGAGATCAGCAAAACGCATCAAGATATCAAAGCCTGTTGAAGGTGTTCTTCAACAGCGGGATTGTCGTTACCTCAGGCAGAGCTCTGCGAAGCTGAGAGCCCTTGGAAGTCGAAGTGCTGAGGATACGACTCGAAAATGTCTCCATCCCAACTTGTGCGGAGTGGTGGTGCTGTGGGCCTTGCTGTGACCAAGTGCGCTTCGTAAGGCAATTCAATATGCCAAGCTAATATGCCAAGCCCAGAGCAATTCGCATCTTCCACTCCGAGCTTTGAGGAGGTGGTGTCGAAAACCAAATTCTTGTACATGAAAAAGGATATCTGGCATTGCTTTGCTGGTACAGAATGGAAACTCTCCGCTACACTCTGCGTTGGCTCACATTCCAAACATTGCTCACCACAAACATCTAGGACACTGTCGATGAGTGTCGCATCGCTTTTGCCACAGGGGGCTGCATGCTATTGCAGCTTTGTAGTGCTATTCCAGATACCAGCAAAAGCAACAGCGACAGCAACAGCGACAGCAACAGCGACAGCGACAGCAATAGCAACAAAAAGAAATAAGAACAGGAACTGAAATTGGAACTAGTACTAGCAGTAGCAGTTGCAGAAGAAAGGGTAGTAGTAGTAGTCGTCGTCGTCGTCGTCGTCGTCATCGTCGACGTCGTCGTCGTCGTCATCGTAGTCGTAGTCGTAGTAATAGTAGTAGTAGTAGTAGTAGTAGTAGTAGTAGTAGTAGTAGTAGTAGTAGTAGTAGTAGTAGTAGTGGCAGTAGTAGTCGTCGTCGTCGTCGTAGTCGTCGTCGTCGTCGTCGTAGTCGTAGTAGTCGTGGTCGTAGTCGCAGTCGCAGTAGCAGCAGCAGCAGCAGTAGGAGTAGTAGTAGTAGTAGTAGTCGTCGTCGTCGTCCTCCTCCTCCTCCTCCTCCTCCTCCTCCTCCTCCTCCTCCTCCTCCTCCTCCTCCTCCTCCTCCTCCTCCTCCTGCTCCTGCTGCTGCTCCTGCTCCTGCTACTGCTCCTGCTCCGACTGCTCCTGCTACTGCTACTGCTACTGCTACTTAATACTTGTCATCTAATGCCGTTTTTGAATGCTGTTGCTCTTGTTGTTGCAAGTTTCCCACTTGGACCTTCAAGCCCCATGGCTCTTAGCACAGTGGTTTTTGGTGGATGGAGGGCGTTGTGGAATACACGCGTTCGACTGTGGCAACTTCTATTTGCTCAGTCTTGGCCCTGCTTCAATGTTGGCGGTCTTGAGATTGGGAGTCGCGGTTTGGAGAGCTCGGCTTTTGGCACAATACTGTTGGATTCTCTGCCTTACACGATATCTGGGAGAGCATCCGGCATGGAGAACTTTCAGCTGACGGCATTCCATGCTTTGAGCCTGCGCCGTGGACAAGGCATGTAAACACAGTTTGGTGCCGAGTCGAATCTTCGGATGAAATGCGTAGAAAAACGGACTGTGGAGTTGGTTGTCCATTAGCGAACCGCCGAACCAATGTATGCTATAAGGGCCTAGTGGTCGAGTGGACAGCTTAACCTAGGTGCGGCTCTTCAGCCATCTGAAGACTGCAGCATGGCTTACTCGCGCTGACAGCAGCTTTGACTCAGCTTTGCAGCGCTACTGTCTTCTTTACAACCTGAAACCAGCCGCCATGACCCCCAGCACCGTCTCCGGTGAAGCTCCATTGCTGGCAAAAGCCATACACCTGACATTTTGATCATTTGCAACCAAGAACATCATGCTGGACATCATGCTGGGTCGTGCAAGGTGCAGCAAGGGGCACCATGCTTCGAACCCGTCGACGCCACGCATGCCGCGTCGGAACAAGTAGGACTGCGCAGGCCAGCCTGAGCGAAGGCAAGAATGATACTAAGAAAGGCAGCCACGAACGACTCTCAAGCACATAACTTGTCCATATTTGTCCATGGTGCAGCTTTTCTGGGGCGTAAGCGGACTGAAATATCATCTTGCCCGCTTCCGCCAGAGAATGTCTGAACATCGAAAGATGTTCATGTGCCGTGCATGTCTGAAGAGTCTCTCTACAGCGGCCACACCAGAAAGATGGGTGCGAACTTTGCAGGACCTGATCAACGTGGACGTATTTCGGACGTATCCAGCAAATTTTCGTTCGCAGCGACTTCTAGCTCATTGGTGAGGCTCGCTCGGCTTCCTGTAGGCAGCAACCAGCAGTCATTTCCTGTCGCACCATGTTCGCAAGCACACATTTGTGAACTAGCTGGTGTAGTGCAAGTAAAGCAAGACACGTAGACATAGGCAGTCCTACCGGTTTTGCCCCGCACCGTGAACCTCAACTTGGGTGAAATGGCAATCTTGCAAAACTGGTTTGACATGAGATGACATGTGCGATTGCGGCCAGCCACCAGCTAGCTGTGTGGGCTTTATGAGTCAGGACGCCTTGACACGTTGCTATGATGGATTCGCGCAGTGCATGAAACACCTCAGCTTCTGCGTTTGGGAAACAGGTCTCAAACACTGCACACAAGCTGCGTCTCTCGCAACTGCTTACCTTGGCAGGGAAGTAGGTGAACGTCGTGCCGCTGTCGACGACCGTGCGTCCTTTGAATTCCTGCGCAAAAACGTCGATCTGTGCACATCTCAAAAAGCCTGCCACGAAACGTGCCTCCGAGCTACCCACAACATGTGTGTCAAACCTGCGGAGATTGTTGGGCATCCAGAAGAACAGACGTTGCAGACAATCCCCACTGCAGGACACCGATGTTTAAACATGGGAGCAGGACATGATGGATTTCAGTTCCACACCGTAATACCTGCGAATTGGCAGGAGCGGAACTATGAAGCCGGCCAAGCACGCCGCAAGCCAAGCATTGATTGATGCCTACAACTCCACCCAACTTGGAATGCAGTCTACGAGCGACGTAAGCATCCAACACACATGCATCCCTTCTGGCCCCGGCAAAAACCTTGCCAGGACAAGATGCTAACCTCGGCCTCCGGCCTGCACCTGGAACAAAACCAGGATCTGCAGGATCTGGTCTCTTGCCAAACCCCCAAACATCGCCACCCCTGCCCTGAGAGAACTGCTAACTTTAGCCCTTGAATCTGCTCTTGCAAATAGCCCGGCAATGTCGTTGCGTCGCTGCACTACTCACTTCCATGGCTGATACCCAATCAAACCCACACGCGTCTGGGTCTGACGCTCGACACCTGCCTGGAACCCTGAGACTTCTCTGTCGATGTCTGACGTCTTCCTCCAGCTGTTCTTCTCGCCTGTTTCTCGAAGGAAACTCTCCTGCTGCATCTTCTTCCTGCCTGCACACACACACACATGCCTTCTTTTTGGCAGCCTTGGAAGCGTTGGTCGCTTCTTGGTTGGACAGAGAGTCTGAGAGTAAGCATTGGGGGACCTCGGCTTTCTTGTTGGTCGCTACGGCACAGCAAAATGGTTGCTGAGCGTTGCTGATCATCGCTGGTGGCTGTCTTTCTCAAAACCCCTTGCGTCCCATCACCCACCCTGGACCGTGAACGTACGTCACATAGCAACACGACGAGCAGCCGCAGTAACTCCGGCGTGGATGCCCCGGCACGGCTGCAGAAGCTTCGCTCGCAAGCATATTCTTGTTCTGATCTTGTTTCATAGAGGTTAAAGTTCAAGCAAATTTGCTGCGGTTGCTCAGCTCGGCTCAAGAGTTTGTTTGCCGGACTGGCTGCCACAACCTCCTGCCTGTGGTACGTGCCGTGGCTGGGCCACCGTGTGTGTGAAGAATGCTGGGCCGGCCTCAAAGCCCTGTCAAGCCCTCAGCATAATTTCCCAATGCAGTGTTTGCTTCTTTTCTAAGGTGCCAGCAGCCAACAAGTGCCAACAGTGTGCTAGGCATCTGCTGCAGCAGAACGCAGACTGCAGAGCGCGCACCCGGTATGGTGCAAGGGCAACCATTGCATGTGGCTGCCAAGAGCTGCATATCTGCTGTCATAGCCTGGCCATGGCAAGCTAACATGATGCCTGTCCTTGCCGCCCGACTGCCATGTGGTTTGACTCTACCAGGAGCCGCGCCACCCACACTCAACTCTCCACCCCATTCTGCCAGGCAAATTGCAAAGACCTGACATGTTGCAGCAAGCACGACACTTCTGATGCACGATAAGACGTGTTCTTGGAACTGAATGGTTCATTCCAAAGGCATGAACTGCAGTGTTGACGTGGGCTTTGTCTTTGAAGAGATCCTGGAGGCAGACAGCAGCTTACAGTGCTTACAGACAACAGCACCCATGAAGACGATGCCTTCAGCACATTGGACCGTCCCGTGATGCCATGCGGCGCCAAGCCGAAAATACCGTTTACCTGCACTTTGCGATGTCAAGCGCAGGAAATTCTGATTGGAAGTGACGACGTGACATCCAGGGAGACACACTGCATTCCCGCCTTCTGAGTGTAGAAAAGCTTTCGCCTGGGCTGGAGCGAGTGGTGAACACACGTCTATAGAAAGGAAGCTGTCTGCACTCTGTTACACTCCGACTTCTCAGGAGTGCAACACTATCTTATCTGTGTGAAGAAATCACGCACTTATGAGATACTGGGAGGTAACGTTACTTCAGAGTCTGCTGAGTATCGGAACGATCAGATAGCAAGATAGCGAAGCACATGGCCAAGAATGGCGACGAAGAATGGCAAAGAATGGCAAACAATGCAAAGGATGGCAAAGAATGGCAACGAATGGCAAAGAAACCAACTCGTCAAGACATGACAGGTAGTGCACCAAGTCTATCCGAGTGCGCGGCTCGTCCATATGGCAGCCCAAAGAGGCTTCCACTGGGTGGTTGTCGGCGTCCGACTCAGCAAAAGACTTGATTTACTGGTGAGGTCCAGCTGCTATCAGCAGTTGCGGTTCTTGCGGCAAGTGTGCAGCTGGGTGTGAGAGATGAAAGAGCGCTGATATCTGGCAGGTAGCGAGCCGTTTTGGAACGTCTCAGAACTCTGCTTGAAGAGAGATGCATCCCTCGAAATGTAGGGCACAGCTCGCCATGTTCAAGCAACAAGATCTTGCTGAAGGTATCGCTGGCTGATGATGCTGTCTAGATTGCACGGCTAAGATGCTGAGCAAGAGCGAAGGGAAAACTGTTGGAGGGGTGCATCGGCTCCAGTCAAGCTACCTGCTACCTGAAATCCATAATCTGCTGCGCACACACCCTCAGCACAAAATTCAAGATCATCTCGCGACGGTCTCTTGGGCATCTATGGCGCGTCATCCACATCCTTGCCAGCTTCCAAGGCCAAGCGTTCGCTGCCTGCTTCAATTGCCTTCATATTTGCTAGGTCCTCCTGAGACACAAAGTAGTCCTCGCCCTCATCGTCCTCAACTACTTCGTCTTCAATTGGAGGAAGGTCTTTCACCATGTGCGTCACACCTTCAGAGTCCGTTGGGCCAACTGCGACATACCCTTCAGACTCGTAGAGCTTTCTTGCAGGCTCGTACTCGTCAATGTGCAAATACATCTTGCTATCCTTCCAAATGTACCTGACTATGTCCTCTGCAACTTTGAGCAAAGATCTTCCAATGCCTGACCTTCGGTATGGGGGAGCTACGCAGAGATTGCTCAAGTATGGCTGTTTGGTGACTCCTTCCGGCAAGCTATCCTCATCATCTTCGGGTCGACGGCCGTCGTCTGGAAGAACGCAAAGTTCCACATATGCAACCAAGGGGCCCTGCTTAGCACGGGCCACAAGCGCCATGCTCTCATCCTGCTTGACTGGCCGGCGCAGGGATTGGAATTGCAAGGAGACATCAAGTCGCATCTGGATGCCTTTGGCAATCTTCTCGGTCTCATCCTTGTCAATGAAGGCATTGGCATACTCCGCAAAGCTGCCAAAAGGACCGAGCTTGGACTCGTCCCAGCGTTTCTTGGCTAACATGCGGTCGAACGCGTCGGTCATCAAGGGGGTTATCTCTTCCAGGTCGTTCACGTCGGGCATGCCAACCTCGAGATCAGCCTCCTCCAGACGCTGCAGCGTCTCCTTGTCAATCTTCTTCATGATACCTTCACCTGTAGGTATGCGGGAGAGTGTCAACGCCGACACGGAGATGCGCCCCAGCTTCCGCCGTGGTGACCTCGCCGCATCAAGCGGCCCAACGAAGCCCAGTGGCAAGCAAGTCAAGCAAGCTAAGCCTAGCAGGGTGATCCCGTGGACATGCCGCCTGCGCCGACATTCCATAGCGTTCAAGAAGAGTTCCTGTGTGCTTCCTGCGACAAGCCCTCCGGGCTGCTTGATGGTATATACTTTATTTGCATGTGCCATGATGTTTACCGCAGGCTCGTCTAGATGAGGTACTGCCGCACTACTGCCGCACTGCATCATGAAGGCTCCGTGACACATTAACCGCGATCTAGTGATCATCATGCCTGCTGTTGAATAGAAAATGGACAGGCCTCAACGCAGGGTTCAACAAGGTCTTCAGTCAAAGAAGGGGCAATGCCCCACCTCTTACACGATCTCTTACACTCTGAGAGGCGATCACCATTGAGCATCACCAGGTCACGGAACCAAAGGCCAGAAATGCTGCTTCCTGAACAAGAAGCACTGAATGCAAACAATCTAAGAAACATTTTCCAGGCTTTGCGCCTTCTGAATAGGATTCCAGATAACCACACCCCGCCGCATCACAACGAGTGCAGTCGGGACCTGCAGACTGAGCCACAGAAGCCAAACGAAGAAATGGGGCGGAGAAATGTCCTAACAAACCCAAGCACATCCCAGAATTGCCCACCGCATGGCAGAGTTCGGGATGTGCTTGAGGCCTGAAAGGTGCACAGCTGTAGCTGCATGCGGCGTGTAGCGACATCCAGCGCGGCCTTCATATCGAACAGGGGATCAAGATGATTCCCACAGTGGCCTGGCATAAGGCATCATAAGGCTCAAGGTATTCTCAGAGTCCAACAGCTTCAACAGCGGCAGGTCGGCTGCAGCCAACACATGGGAAGCCTCAGCTTTGCAAGCCATGGTACGTTATATCCGAGCGAGATGTGAGCCACAATTTCGCGAGGGAAGGCTATGCTGTCATGCGGCATGTGTTGGGCCCTCCAGGCCTCCGTGCCCAAAAAGACTGTACTCCCGTAGGGCCAAAGAAAACTTGAGGGCCCTCTCTAGCCAATCCACGGATCTGCTGATGATCATGACAATCCAACTTGGTCAGTAGCTTATCAATGCTGGTTGGTGTAGCGGTCCGAGAATTTTCGTATCATTTTTTCCGATGAGCTTTGAACCCTCCAAGCAAGCGCCTTCCCAGCACCCACCCACCCACCCACCCCTCCCCTCGAGCTGGGATAGTTTCTATGTTAGGTTCCTTGTCAAGAGAGTTCCTGTCACGTAGAAAGACTCATGATGGTACGGTTTGTAGAACAGATTGGTGGTTTCCTGAAGGGCGTGAGTTAGGGTCTCAAGGTGTGATGGGTGCTCTCTTTGTCTGTTAGTACCAGAAGGGAAGAGTCCTTTAAAGGGTTATAGCTGGAGAACCTGATGTTCCCGAGGGTGGGTTCCTTGTCAAGAGAGTTCCTGTCACGTAGAAAGACTCATGATGGTACGGTTTCTAAGTCAAGATGGTACGGCCCGTGGGACAGGTTAATAGTATTAGAATTCTGACGAAGAGAAAATGCAAAGAAATGTAATGCATGCGCGATTAAATATTAAATTATGAACGAAGTTTGGGGCGCTCTTTGTATTCTCTTTTTATGCCCCCCCTTAAACACTATTATCTTCTTTCAACTAATCTCAACAGATACAAGTGAACGAAATGAATGCGTGATCTGTGAAAAATATGCATGTGTACTTTGTTTAAGAAGGAAAACCTCAAATTTTATTGAGATGAAAATTTCAAGAAGAAACCTCGATTTTGCCTCTATTTTGCTTGAATACAAAGCCGCAAGTTCCCTGTGCACTAACTGAAAAAGTCCAATTATCTGCTGCATCTCCTATATCTGTACTTAAAGCCTCATCTTACACCTTTATTCCCAAGTGGTATGATGGATCCTCTTTCAGAGACCTCTCTCTCTTGGGTGACTGGGTTCGTTCGGATTGCAAGCAAGTTCAGTACGATCCTCCTGACGGTGCTTGTCGATGCTGCCTCGCAACCTCCCACTGGCCTCCCACCGGCACTCCCAACCACCTGCAGTATCAGCCCCTGAATATCTTTGATTGGAAGACTGGAAGTGAGTTCACAAGTTCACAACTCAGAAGCAAGATCTGAGGCTGTCACCACAGAGTGCGCTGCCAGTGTCAACTATCACCGATGCAGCTTGAGGCGGTGTCCCCACCAGCAGCTCCTGCTATCAAAGCGACAAGCAGTTACGTGCAACCACAAACGTCGTTGGACACACTGAGGTCATAGCTGCAAAATAATATGCATAGGCGTTGAGATTGCCGAAGAGTCGCGTCCGCTCAACCTGGCATAGAAGCATTGCCATGCAGCAGCAGGGTGTCCAATGTGTCTAACACCCAACGAAAAAGAACATTATGAGATATCAGCAAGGCAGAAGGGGTACCCCATTGTCAGGAGCTGTCGCTGCGCTCAAAGTCCTGAAAGCAAAGAGCTGCTCGACTTGCCGAAGCTCTGGGCCGTAGGTGTCTAGGGAGCATTAAGCACCCCCACCCCTCCCCACCCCTCCCCACCCCTCCCCACCCTCCCCCCTCCCCACCCCTCCCACCCCCCCACCCCTCCCCCCCCTCCCCACCCCTCCCCACCCCTCCCCACCCCTCCCCACCCACTGTTTTGCCTGGAAAGGGTACCCCCCCCCCCTGCCCCCCCTCCTGGCCGACAGGTGTGAGGAGCGGACAGTGCATCAGGACCAGGGCGCCCCCTCTCCACCCCACTCCCCCCCCCCCACCCCTTTTCCCGCTCAACCATGCATCGTGCTGAACCCTTCACGTGTATCCCACCCACCCCACCCCCCACAACCCACACGAGGCGAGGCCCACGGCCCTGGCATTGGTCAGCTCCTCGCTCACAAGCAGGACTATGTGGAATCTGTAGGCCTGGTCTTCACGTGCGGCTGCGCAGGTTCTGGCCGAGGCGGGTCGCGTGCGTTAAAGTCAACGAAGAGATTTCTGCGTGGAGTACCTGATGCCCGCAAGCAACAGGAAGCAGACCTGTCAATATTGAAAGGCTTTTAGCACTTACCATCTCTCTGAATTCCTGGTTTTCAGAAAGTTGATGAGCTCAGGGCGGCTTGATTTGATGTGCCATCCCATCCCATGACCCTTCCACAACTACAGCGCAAGACTCGCCGGCATGAGACTCCTTGGCTGTGTTTGCTGCAAAAACGTCCCTGTTCGAATGCGTATGGGGGCTTGGAGGTTGATTGGTGCGCAAGGAAGTGCTATGAGTCGCCTGTACAGTGGTGTCCCAGCAATTCGACCTAGTTTGTCTGAGGTGGTTCTCAAGAGCTGCGATCCGTTCACGTGAATCTGGATCTATCTCCATGCATAAGGCTCAAAAGCACATCGTGGGACCAAGCTTTGTCACTCGCAGATACGGCTGTACATCGGCTGCCCATGCCCTCCAGGCAGGTCAACCCGCTGGATCTTGAGCTTCTCAGACTCCCGGCTGAAGAAATCATTGGCCAGAGAGGCAGCGGCGTGGCACACGCGAGGAAGGTCTCGAGACTGGCAAGAGATGGCAAGAGCAACTACAAATCATGCAGGCTCAAGGGTGGCATCTCTACTGTGACCCTCCTTTGCTTAGGCATCAACACAGGTCTCATTGCACGTCCAAGTCTTCAGCAGAAAGATATATTCTCTTAAATCCAGTTTCTGACACGGATCTGGACGTGCCAGGAAAATCACTGTCAAAACATGTTATCACGCAATCTGGATGATGCCACCGGGTGAGAAGCGCAATGCTCCAGCATCAAAATGCGACTACCACAGGTGTTGATGTCGGTCCTGAGACCTCAAGAGAAGTGTTGCCGCGGTGGAGATGCGTCTCCTGCAGTATTGAGCAAGGATTTAAGAGTAGTAGACCCCACGTAGGCCAAGCTACACTGCCTTTTTTTGTTGCCCCAGCAAAGCGTCTTGCAAGCAACAGTCGATGACCATGCCATTCGGCACCTGTTGCCCTGGGGCCCTAGACCTGGCTGCAGCTTTGAGACGTAGCAACCTGTGTGATAAGATGAGAGATATTATGAGGATCCTTGACATAGTTTTGCCAATTCCTGGAAAGCTGCACGGCGATCCAGGCATCGCAGTGACCCAAGCTTTCAGGCTCTCAAGGCGAAGCATCTCCTTCGGGAAGCTCGTGCACATGCACTCACAAAGAAAAGCATCACGCGCGGGTTTACTCACAAGTGCGCACAGCCTCGCAGAAGTCGATCATGAACCTTTCTGGCCTGAGCGTCATTGAATGTGTCTTGAATTCCAGGTTCAGCTTCTCTCTTCATCCTGCATCTCCCAGCCTTGATGCTCAAGATCAAGGATTTGCCTCAAGCAGTCTTGAAGAGTCTTGATGAGTCTTGAGTCTTGAGGAGTCTTGAGGAGATGCTGAATGCCGCAGCTCTAGATGATGCCGTTGAGAAAGAATCGCCAGGCGAACAAGACGTGAGGCAGAGAATTCGAGCAGTCCGAGCAGGTCAAGCAAGTTCAAGTTCTTAGTTGTGCCTTGATTGCCTTCCTGGTGGCTCAACTGTTTTGTTTACGGTCGCACGATCGGCGCAAGTTGGCACAAATAATCCGTCCAGTTCCTGCTCCCGCCATTTACGGAGGAACCTTGCAATGAGCTGAGATCTCAAGGGACTTTGCGAGGTATTTGCGTATTTGCGAGGCGAAGACTGTGGCCAAGTACGAGCTACGTGCATGTTGACGATGCTGCAGTAAGTCTCATGCGCTGGCTGGTGTTCAACTCGAACTGCGCCCATCGCCTGTCATGTCGGGGTGATGCAATGATGAGCTACGAGAGGCTTCTAAACGGATTGCTGTACTTGTGGCAGTTCCTAGCATACACTTGTAGCATTGCTGGCACCGTCAAGACGTGTTACAACACGGCAATCTTCAACTCTACAGACCGCTGCCACTCGCAAAACATATCAAAACATTCCGCATCTGTTTTGGATGCACACGCTGGTCGGATTTGAGCAATAGCTTTCTAGATGACAGCCGTACGTGCCCAGCCTCGGAAAAGATTCGGTGGATTTCACCATGTCTTCGAGGATTTCAGTCTGATGGCCCACACAGAGGTACTCAATGTCACAGCTCGATACATTCCCGTTACATCGATGAAGACTGCGACCTCGACATGATAAAGGCCTGTCTCTTCAGCACTTCGTCGATTTCGACCCTCATCTTCTCGGTCCTCGGAACAGGAGAACAGTCACCGCACTGTTCTCGAGAGCATGTGAAAGCATGTGGTGCCTGATGCTCACTGAGGTTTTGGCTCGGGTTCTCCAGTAAGGTCATCTGCGTTCTTGACTTGCTCCTTCAGAGCAGCCTCCGGCTCCGAGGCGAGCACACTTGAGCACACAGGTGCGAACCACACATCAAAGAGAGGCACTGGGCTTCTGTCCAGCCCACGCAGTACCGTCACAACTTCTTCTTTCAATCTGTGGGCTTGTGCCTGAAGTCACATGCAGTCTTTGATGCTCAGCGAAGTCAAAATTCACAAAGCTGCGAGAGGCCTCCGTACGAGTGATTCGACCCTCCAAAGAACTCAGCGAGAGGTCAGTGAAAGGGGTTTGATCTGAGGATGAAAGGTTGTCACCAAAAATGAAACTACACTTCGCTACACCTCACTACACCTGTCTCCAGAGCACAGACATGTGCAGACATCTCTTAGAGCTGGACTCGGGCTCTTTCGCCCAACCATCAGCCGACAATGCCATTGCGCAAGCACAGATGCCACAAGTTTGAGATGTCACAAGTTTGAGAACTGCAGTTCCTCAAGAATACCACTGCAATTCTCAGCTTCAGATGTTGGAGTGCAAGTTGAGCCAAAAGCTACAGGCAGCATAAAGTGACACAGCATTATCAGCGACTCCGCTTTGCAGAAGGAGGCAGAAGCACGCAGAAGCTTCCTTGTTGGTCTTCCAAGAGATGTGGAGGTCACAGAGCTTGCGATTCCTTAGAAGATTCTAGCCCCGCCCTCTGCATGAACTTTACATCCAGCCTTCATGGATCCGACTGGGCTGGACAATGCTCCGCTAGCGCCGCCAAGGTACAGCTGGTGCGCGCCTAGCTGACTCATACTACCGCACGGAGGACAAATGCACCACCGCATGTGTTGAAGTACGGCATAGCACGGATTAGCGCGGCCTTCTTTGCATCGGGCTCCCCATTTGCAGTTGCGCCTGACCTTTCGCACAGGATCATACTTGCAGGAATGCCTCACAGATTCAGCATGTGCAGCGCAAGAGACGTGGAGCCGTTGCGAAAGACGAACATTGCACCACTTTGTCTACTCCACGTTGTCATCACTGCCGCTTTCATTGCCACCAGATGCACTCCCTCCCGCACCCCGACAGACAGACGAAAAGGCAGGGCAAAGGCAGACGCTGACAGAGAAACAGATGGTAAAACGGACAGCCATACACAGCCACCCTGGCCCAACTCTGGCCTGATGTCTTTGGACATCTTGTGTCAAGTACTAGGGTTCAGGCACACAACTGACTAAGTCGTTAGGTTCGGGGCCTTTGGGTAAAGTCAGAAAGTGGCAAGTCGTGGCGCAAGGACGGCCACTACTCATCGTGGTAAATGCCTAGATACTGTGCGTCTGCCCACCTTCACTGGCTTCTTGGGTGCGGGCGATTGGGATGCCGTTTGGTAGCTCTTGTCATAAGCCTGCATTGGACAGCAGTTCTTGTGTTACCTCCTCATAGAGCTCGATCAGCCTGCACGTGAACGCCGGCCACGGCCTCAAGCCAAGTTTGCAGGACGACGACAAAACAACGTAAGTCATTCAACCTCTCCCACTTGCGGAATGGTCGGGGCTTGGCACGGCCAGATGCGTCCGCACGGCCCTGGAATGCTTTGTCCCACTTCAGCGCAACCTGCCAAGGCACGGAAAAGCCTGTGCACAAACCATCTTGCCAGTTTAAATCCACCCAAGAAAAGCTTTTTTGCAACTCTACAAGCCTTCCAGGGTTTGTGCTGGAGTGCGCTTGCAGCTAGCGGCTCATTAGATGGCTAGATCCGCTTGGGCTTCCAATTGTTCTCTCGGCCAGGGATGGTCCTGAAGCAAACTCAACTTCGCACAGCCGCGCTTTGTCGGAGACCCAATGCAGAAAACAGATGCGTTTCTGTAGCCTACTTCTTGCCCTGAGATCTGGCTAATCAGTGGCTAGATGCTGCTGTCGCATGCTGCCGTTTGGGATGTCATCCGCAAGTTCTGCAGCTGCGCCTCACTTGAGCACGCGATTGAGTCTTGCCACCCCACCTGCAAAGCCACTTCCGTCAACACATGCGCGTGAATCCAGCTGTAATCTACTGACACATGTGCTGAGTCCAACACGCATCCAGCCGCCGCTGAGTTCTCGCCGAAGTGCTTAGCGAAGAATTGTCGGAACATATACGCCTCTTGGAGTCTTGCCATGTGTTGCCATTATACTGGTACCGAGAGAGCGAAGTGAAACAGCTCGCTCCGAGATGCCTCCTTGGTACGAGGCGTCTTCACAGGAAATCCTCAGTTTTTGCATGCCAGAAGAATGTCGCCCCAGAATCAAACGGCGGCTTTTGCCAACAGCTTGCCCCTGCTCGCCCGTGCACATGGAAAAACATGGTCAAGCGTCTGTGGGGCGCGGTTGACATCTGCCTAGGCTGCTCCAAAGCAGGACACAGACATTCATTAAACTGCTTCCGCAACCAACAGGTGTTCAGGAGAGATGCTGATCACTGACGACCTTCTCGGCGTGAGCCTCTGGCAAGCAACCCTGCTCGGCACAAGGCACTGTTGACTGTGTTGCCACCCACCTTGATGGAGTCAATCCAGCTGTAGCCGACACCATCGCTAAACTGCTCCTGTGTTTGTGGCGAATGAGGCTCGAGCTGCTCCAACAGTCATGCACGAAAGACCCAACCAAATTTATCCGCTACAAGTCCTTCTGTCGCCAGAGGACTTCTTGCGGCAAGTATGACCGCTCACTTGGCAAATCGAATGCCTGACCCGCCATCCAACCATTGACCAGTTGAGCTACCAGTTACCAGTAGCTCATTAGAGGACATCTGTGGAATCAAGCCTTTCGAAGGATCCACTTCTCCGTGCGCGGGTTTCCGGCCTTGGCCAGAAACAGTCCCGAAGATCAACGAAGAGCTCAAACTCAGCTCTCACGCGGCAGCCCAGAGGGCCTCATCTCTGCACATCTTCTGAACGGGGTTGAAGCCCATAGCAACCTTTCACAAACTGCGCGAGCCAAAGCTGGCTCACAGAGTGGGCGGTGTCGATGCGCTGGCCATGGCCTCCATGAACTTCCTATCCAGGAAAGGCACTCGGGCCTGTCAAGTCTGAGCAAAGATACGCAAAGCGTAGCTGACGTCGAAGGATTGTGGGAATTGTGGGGGCCAGTCGCTCTTGCAGCAAGAGGCTCATAAGGCCTTTTCTCTCCATGACGTGTGCATCTCCGCGCCTCCACACCCCACGCCATCATGGCCTTGTTGGCTCGAAGGCAGTCGTACAGGTGAAGCTGCTCGATCTCAGGAAGTCATTCGCCATTGGTATCCGGTGAGTGGGTCTTGTGGCGGGTGCTGTTGTCACGCTCTAGGGCCTCTAGGGGGCAATTCATTACTGACCTTTAGGCCCGACTTGAGCGCCCGCAATGCCCGTAGCTCATACTACAGGAACCCCATCCCCTGGCTTCAAACTCCAAAGGGTCCCCCTCCGGCTGCCTCGGAAACCCACCGAATGTGAGGGGGATGGCGGGTTGATGGTTGGGAAGGAGCGGGAAGGAGTGGGAAGGAGCTGGAAGAGGCAGAAAATGGCAGAGGTGCGCTTCTCTTCCACACCCGAACGAGGCCCTGAGAGGCGAGATGGGCCGAAGTGTGGTGTGAAATGGTGTGAATATCTTTTGTGTGGTGTGTACCTGACTTCCCCAAAATGCCCCGCAGGTCCATCTCCAGCCCTTAGCCTCACAAGGCCCCAGAGCGGCTTCGTTTCAGCTACAGCAAAGCCACAGGGCTTTTTGAATGATGGTGAGACACTCCCTGTTGCTTGTCCCTCTCGTGTGAACTCACGAGTTACCCATGGTGTCTCATGGCCACGCACGACCTCCGCCCCGTGCCCGACAGTTGCTCGTAGTCTTCACACAGCGGCGCGCAATCAGAGGGCACTTCACAACTGGCATCAACTGGCTCTCTATTGCACGTTCACGCTGGAGTGCCTCCTACAAACTGTGGCAACTCGTTGGCCAAGCCTTTCTGCAGTTCTCTGCATGGAACTCCGCCGCATTGGGTGCCTTGTGGAAGTAGAGATATCCTGCACACTTGGACGAGCAATGACCCATAACACTCCCCTGGAAGCTGCGCAGCACAGAAACGAGCAGAAAGGAGCAAAAGGGCCAACCTCCAAAAATCTCATCTGCTCCCTCTCCACTGAGAACCATTTTCACGCCAGAAGCCCTGCTCAAATCATGAAATCACTCATCTAACTTCAAGATGCCTGACCGGCTGTCAGCTGTGCCTAATCCTGCGAGCCATGAGGTACATGGGCGTGGATGCTCGCACGGTAGTGACGTCAAAGGTCTCCAAGTGATAGATGACCTGTGCTTGGGGACATTGAACTATCTTGAACCGTCCTTTGTGCTCGCTCTTGAGCTCCGGACATCTGGCAGTGCATCCAGGGCTTCCTCGACTGTGAAGACGTATTCGTGATGCACCGTGCCAAGGAAGGAAGCAACCTGCAAAAGCTTTTCAATCTCACCCCCTTGCCGGCGCTAGTACTTCAACAACTTCACGTCGTGCCTCTTTTGCAGCTTTCAGATCCGGGCCTGGGCACGGGCACAAGTCAACATACTCCTACCAGGGCCATGGGCCACAAGTCATTGAGGCTCCCACTGCCTTGCAGACCGGTGCTGAATGAGTGCAGCTGAGGCCAAGATGCAGGTCCATGTTCACACTTCCTGACAAGGTGCAGCAGTTCTTTGCCAAATCGCGCCCCTGAATGAGCAACTGTATGTGATTTTGCAGTTGTATGCAGCTCGAAAGTCCTATGGCAGTTCTTCGACATGATGGAGGCCACCAAAGAGGAGTCGAGCCCACCACTCAGCAGCACGCCGTAGGGCACGTCAGACTGGCACGGATGGCAACAGGTTGGCACAAATACGGCACACATTCCGAACATTGAAGAGTCGAAGAGCACATCCCAGACCAAATTTCAGCACAGTCTGAGAACACCAGTCTGATTTCTACTCTTAAGGAGATTTGATCGGGGCACCATCATGTGCGAGATGACGGCGTTCTCAAAGGCGGTTCGAAGCACCGACAGCGTCATTTCCTTTTCGAGAAGAATCTGCAGAACACCCGAGCCAACAAGTCACTGAAGGCAACGTGTCCTCCGTCGGCACAGGTGTGGGTTGACGCCAGACAGGTGTGTAAAACGCCCGCCTCTGGCCCTGGCAAGGCTTCAAGGGTGCTGCCAGACGAAAGCCCTAAGAAAAAGACAGATATCCAGCGGGCATCTCAGCCACATGGTCAGGAAAACGACACAAGCTGCTCAACAAAGCTCAGCACAGTTGCATAACTTGCAGGGCAGCTGGTCCACACAGTATCTCGTAAGCATGCTAGCTGCACCGACTTGGAATCAAAAACATGGCCGGGCGGGAACTCTTCATATCGCTCACAGGCCTGAAAAAGAGTTGCAACCGCCACTCTCCCCCGCACCAATAAAATTAGCACGATACGTGAAGACAAGCTGCATATAGCTGCATACATGTATGCACTAATGGCAACGCGCACTTTGTTAGCTCAGTCAGCACGAAATGCGTCAGTTGTCTTCTTTGTGACGCAACAGTGCACATCTGTGCACCTATGGGCCCTTGTCGTTTGACAACAGCGCCATCCCCAAATTTGCACGCCTTGTTCGAAAAGGATGTTCAGCAACCAGCATCTGTCATAAAAATTTCGGAGTTCTTCTGAGAGCCAAGCCCTAAGGCAGCGTAGTGCTGGCGTCCACCAGTGCGAAGTGCGCGATTGGTACGTTTGCTAAACATCTGAAGGGCCCGCTCTGGAAACACAATCAAATGCAACAAGGCCGAGTCTGAAAGAATGTCTTCTTATGCGTCATAATACAGGACGGTGTTAACCGGTGTGTCAAAACGGGCGCGACGGCGTGCCATGCAGAGAGTTACGACCTAGACTTGTGCTGCTGGCAGCCATCGGTTCGCTTTGCGAACCAATCCGCTGCCTCTGGCTGCGGCCACTTTCCTGCAAGAAATGTGGTACTCCCCTGCTGTCCAGCACTGCATGCGACAAGATTGAGTACTTGGCTAGATCTGCACCAGTAAATATTCAAGAGCAGAATTACGATTAACAAGCCGAGACAAGCACTAAATCTCATGGTATGATAAAGCATGAGTGGGGTCGCGTCACACATTGCTTCCTATGCGATCACTGTGGATTGCCTTCAAGTTGACAGGTGTAGGAGCCAGCGCATCACTGTAGCAAGTGCTCGTGTTTCTTGGCACTGGCGCCTTAAAGGCCTTCGTGTCAGACATTGGAGTGGTCCCCTCGGAGTAGCCTGCCCGCGCACCGTGCTGCAAAATACGCAGGGATCTAGCTTGGCTACACATCATGAGTGATGATGGCATGCTTGCTTGCTGACGACCCGCGCACGGCGGTTAGGCAAGAGAAAAGACAAGCCAGCAGCACACACCAAACACTGATGCGGCCATCATAGCACCTGAGTCTGCTGGTGTTTCCGCCTCCAAAAATGAACCCGCTGCCAAGGGTCGCACGGTCACGTGTTGCTGCCGAGATTTCCTGGCGTGATCACGTCAGATGGGGAGAACCAGGACTGGGAACCCAATATCTTGACCGAGCAGCTGAAACGACTTGGGAAGTTCGCGAGGCACGACCAGGATGAAGTGGCATCATCGGACCTTAAGTCGCCATGGCTGCAGAGATGGCATATTACAGAACGAAGCAGGCGAACGGCGAGATTCTCAACCGTGCAGCTTGGGCACTGCTACTTGTTCCGTGATCTGAGTGGGGAATGACCTTGTTGACCCATTCATCATCAGCTTGGTAAGAGGCTGGAACATTCGGACAGAAAACATCACGTTACTTCTACCTCAAGCCCGCGGCGATGTTGCCATGAAGAAGTGAGGACAAAACATCATCAAATCGACCAGGCTCCACAACGGTGCTAACCTGGAACTGACCCGATATGTCGCAAAGGCTTGACATGAGAGGCCTCGTCAAACACAAGGGTCTGACGGCATCAGCTGATCGTTGAGTTTGAAAGACCTGTCCTACAAACACGCGAAGTCCACAAGATGTTCCATTCGCACAATGCTGCCTGACTTGCATGCACAAGCGCCAGCTACCTTTGCTTGTGATTCCTTTAGAGGTTCCTCCAGGTGATCCATCGAAGCAGCTCATCCGACGTTTACGATCATACTGCACCTTGCCACCGCGATTGCATCATACTGTAATACCCATCAAAGGGCAACCAAACGATCCAAGACCATGCCGAGCTGCGTCATCTGATGCCGCTCGCATTCCCTTCGCAACGGCCACGTCCGCAGCCTGGGCCAGAATGGCTAGAGGTCCACGACACAGTTCGCCTTCACTCTGGCCGTGGGCGGCGTGTTCCCTTAACTATAAGGACCCCGTGTTTCCCTGATTTTCCCTTGATCGCCTCCTCAGCGACCCAAGTGTGTACTCATGCGTACTCTCCTTTCGTTTCTGCATGGAGAACCGAAATCTCACGTGCTGGGAATCAGGAAATAAAAGTCCGCAGAGATTGTAAAGGGATCTTCTAGGACTTCCCTCCACTTCCGCACTTCCAGGGCTGGTACGGACTCGCTAGCGCTTAGCAACATTTCAGGTCACGATGCCCAAAGTGCTTGAAGAAAGCTGTTTGTGAGGAGCTACTGCTAGCCTGCTGAGAACCCAATCCAAGGCCAAAGGCCTTTCAGATTTCACACGCACCCATAGCTGCCATAGCTGGGGAGGCAGTCGACGCGCAGCGTGTACAGTTTCAATCAATCTCGGGATTGCCCGCGCTGGACAGGGCATGCTGCGGTTATTCTTTACGTGCATCCGACAGCGAGGCCAGATGATGTAGGCACAAGTCTGAGTCAGGCTGAGATCATAGCAGCAGACTCCGACAACGAAGCGCTATTTCGGTCAACAAACTGAAATGGCAGTGGCCTCAGTGCTCTCAAGGCTTTCAAACCCTCAGCAGTGTGCGGTGACATAGAAGGAAATGTGCTGTGCCAAGCGCTTCCCACTACTGTTGGGGTCTGCGAGAACGTACCTGGCTCTGCTTGCAAGCTCCGGGAGTGCACAGGCTACGCATTGTCCTACGAAACGTGTACGACAAGAATTCCAAACCGCATTCAACTGGCCAGCTGAACAGCAACACCAGCTCTCTGCCCTTGCTTGACCTGGCGACAGCAGCTCGAGCACATGGGTGAAAGATTTTTTTTCTCATTCTGAGCTCTTGGCGAGGAGAACTCCTGCAATGTATTTCGTGAGCTGCAAGGGGCCGCTTCCGAAATTTGACAAGCACTGCTCTGCACACTGTTCTGGCCTTGTTTGCTGCGATGCCCTTGCCCTCCTTCCAACGTCGGACCTTTCGTTGTAGCAGTGACAGTGACGGCGCGCAAACTTGCGCCAAGCGCTTCATGGTCTGGGCGTGCCTCGCGAACCAGCGGAGGAGGCTGTTGGTTTGTACTCCTGGGTAACTTGGTGCTCTCGTTAGAGATCTGCTTCATCTCAAGGCTGCAAGTTGACGCGTACAAACCTTTGTGCCGAGCAACGAGGTCGCAGTCTCTGTAGGTTGGGACCTCAAACATTCTTGTCTTCGTCCAAAGTGTGCTAAAGTGCGCTTGCTCATGACTCTGCTCTTGCGCATTCTGAGAATTTCTGAGACCAAGGGGCATGGTGGGACTGCCGCTGCCGAGGCTCATGGTGCTCAAGGTCGATGGCGGTATCTGCTGCCTAGCACTCAGTTCGGCTGCCCAGGTCTCACTTGCTGGACTGTGCGCAAGTGCAGAAAGCCTTTTTCAAGAGTTTGCCAGCAGAATCCGTCATGAAAGTGCAACAGCGTTGCGGTCGTTTATTCGGCGCATCTAGTCCTAGTAGATCTAACCGGGGGCTCTACAGTTTTGAATGGTAACCCTTCAAGAACATGTCGCAGGAATCCAGGACGCTATGCGGGAGATGGCCTGGCAGGAGCATGGCTCAAACTACCAGCTCGATGGAGCTCGCAAGCAGGTCCGACCCGTCTCATAGCTCCATCAACTGACTCGGCACAGCCAGCCGACGGCCGGCTGACGGCCGGCTGATGGCCAGCCCATGACCGACCGGCGGCCTCTGAGTGCTGATGCACTCCATGTCGCAGGGTCGGCTGCAGCATCTCCAGAGGTAAATCCCTGACCCTAAACCCGAGAATGAGGCCTTGTGCATGGAGCTCATGCTGAGTCACAACTCGTCCAAGGGGGGGCCAGCGAACGCGTCCATGGCTCGAAAAGACTCTGCACAATGGAGAGGTCATTTGAACCTGTGGTGGGCCCACCGTGTTTCTCATCCATTCAGGGTCAGAGGCCTCGCTTTTGCTCTCATGCAATCAACCTCGAACCTGTTCACTGCCCCAGCAGCACACACGGGCCTTCCAATGTACGGTCTCGCAGCAGCCAAGTATCCGAACCGATCGTGTCCTGCAGGCACACCGGACGAGGCATGGATGATCATGAATGGTTGTGGTTTGCACAAGTGGATGCGTTTACACCATGCGTTTACACCCCATACTACGTGCGTTACGGCAAGGCATCTCCTTTGCCAGCCTCACCAAGTGCAGGGATTGGGCGCCTGAGCTGAGCAAGCCAAAGCCAACAAAGCACGCTTTCGTCATCCTACAGATTTTGCCAGGATGCGCTGGGTCAAGCATGGCCTCCAGCCTCAGTTCATAGTCTCAGCAGAAAAATGAGCCCCTGTACCGGCACGGATCGAAGTGTAGACACCAAGTGATCTTGAGGACAGGACTTTTTTGCTCGCTCGTCTGCTCCAGGTGTGCCTTCCACCTGCCCATGCCCAAAGCGGAGCTATGGGGAAGTGCTGCAATACACTGCAATGCCATTGGCAGCCAGCATTCAAATGTCGCACGGCGAACTACATGAATAAACGTGTCCATGCCGCACATCGGGTTTGGACCTGTTCCCAGTACAAGGCAGCCTGAAGCAAAAACTACGCTGCAAGTCCAAGTTCACTGCCACGTATCCGCCCACCTCGTTTTGAGTCATACACGCTTCTGCCCAGCCTGAAGCCATTCAAAATGTGTGATGTGACTGCAGCGCCGGTCAGCTCTTGCACTGCTGTTTCTGGGGCAGATGGAAATTCTCTGATGTGGTATACAAACTCCTACAAACTCCTCCTAGGACATCACATGAACAGCGCTTGTTGCATCAGCAGGACAATGCAGAAATTCCGGTCTGGGCTGCATGCTCTTGGAGTTTTGGGAGAGCTGCATCGTAGCCTGAGCGTCTGGAAGCGACTACACTCACAAAGTCTGTCAGTAAAAGGGTTTAAAAGCAAGACAACAAAATGAAGGCAAAACAATACAAGGTAGCAGATGGTAGTATCGGAAATCCAAGCCGCTGGTGCCAGGGCAGGGAAGACCCGAAGCCAAGCTCCAAGAAGAGGCCTCTGCACTGTAAGCAAAGTGCTTGAGTATAAATCGTGCGAAATGCCGTGAAGCGCCGGCTAAGCCTCGGGCCCAGAGCGCGTCATGCCCAGATGGAGTTGCAGGTCGCCTAGCGCGGGCCTCTTCTGACAAGCCGCTTCAAGCTTAGTAAAGCAGGCTAAACATCAACACCGCACTCAGCATCTAGACAAAGTAACAGTATTTGAAACAGCGTTGCTGTCGGCAAGCGTTTCACAAGCTAAGCCATGAGCTTCCACCGATTCAACGGCAACACCTCCACAACACAATTGTCTTATTGCAGCTGATGGTGGATGGCCCAGGAAGAGCAACCAAAGCCAACGCGGCACCTGGAGGCCAAGCTCCCTCTCTTGCTCGTCCTGGAGGCCTTCACAATGCACCAATCCCTTCCAATCGTGTTGATATGTGATATCCCCTATGGCCAGCCTAGCTCTTGCTGTAGCATGGAGGCCCAATCATTGGCTGCATCTAGTGACCTGAAAGGTCCGCGGACTTCCGAGTATAACGCGAAATCAAGCCGACCTCACCAAGCGCGCCTGGCTTGGTTAGAAAGGTCTGCGGTCAGCATCATTGCACGCATCACCACCTACAGCCGACACAAAGACATGAAGGTATGCGAATCATGAGAATCATTGAAGAGAACATCCAGGCCTGCAAGATTGCGGCGCCTGGAGCAAATACTCGCAGTGAGTGTTCTTTAGTGTTTGAGCGGCGCACACCTATGCGCCGCACCTTCTTCAGAGGAATGATCTGCACTCTTTGGCGCATAACCTGCGCGACCACGCACATGTGGAGTCGCATGAGATCTCGACCTCACACACCTTGTCGTGCGAGGATGCGCACATCGTCAACCACGTCTCGATAACCTTGGCAGCTCTTGTCCAGCCATGTCCATGCATCCAAGACAGTTTCATTCAACAGCCACCCGCTTGCACCATTTGCACTAGAACGATGTGTAGCTGTGAGGAAGAAATGACCTTACAGCAAGCACCTTGCCGTAACATGGGAATGTGTTCGATTGCTTTGCGTAGTTGGGTACGAAAAGAGATGTGCCGTGTGACGGGAGTATTGCGAACTAAGAACGAAGCCTCACTCTGCACCTGACCAATGGCTCTCAAGCTAGCTTGGTCTGTGGCAGTACTTGTCTGTATGGAGAAGGAGGTCGATCATGAGCTTTCGCATCTCGCGGAACTCCTGTCGGCAACAGCAGGCCGAGAAACATCGAGAAACCCTGGATTCCCCCCCGGCACCCAAGAACTGCACCCCGCCCTCCGCCCTGGTGGGGGACCGGCCTGTGGTGCCACAAAGGGTGGGGTACGGTGGGCGTGAAAAGAGTGCCTTGAGTGGCATCCGACCCAATTTTGATTTTGCAAGCATCCCACGAGCACCCTACCCAAGCTTCACTTGGCAACAAAAAACACGAGCACAGACAACAGGTACTGCTTTACGGCTATCCCTTGCGCACACATACACGTTCCCCGCTGCTGGTTCAAGGCTTCGGGTTTACGGGTCGGCTACCATCTTCTTCCTTGACCTGCGATTTCTGTATCTGAGGGGCGCCGCTTTGGACCGCCGATGTCCGGCATCCTGTCCGTTGGGCCAGCCCGGCTGCCGAGGCGGCGCCCGCGAACGTTTGCAATGCTGTGCTGGAGTAGCATCTGTCCTCACTGGGAATGTGTCCAAGAACATTGTGTCCATCCTGAACAAAATCAGAGCAGCTCCCTTAAGCACAACACCATGCCGTCATGCTGAAGCGGTTACCTTCTTCAGAATCTCAAAAAGCTTGCTGCTGTGCATGTTCCTGGCTCAGAAATGGTGAAGAGACACCGAACTGCAATCACAAGCCATCCATTGCCGAGGATAGCAACATGCCGGTTTTGACTCCAGTGGAGACAAATCGTTGTAGCCTAGCTATCAGCAGCTGCATCTCACAATGTCCATGGTAAGCTAAGCAGTCTTTGAGCTTCCAACATGAGGCAATGGGATCGCCCGAGTCTACAAGGAAAGCATTATCAAAGCCAGGGTGGCCAATGTCAACCTCAGATTCACAGGGACATAGGCTCGCACTTCATGTTGTGTAGGCAGACCCTGCCATTCAATGTCGATTCCTTGTTTAGGGTTGTTTAGGCCTTGAGCTTCGGACGACAAATGCAGCCATGACAAGTGCGAATCGCTGGAAGTGTTGCAGGTTCGTGTCCCACGGCGCCTGACTGCCTGCAGGCTGACGTGCTGAAGAGAACGAACTCACTGGACATGCCAAACAGAACTAGCTTCACGGTATGCGCGGACATCAAATCATTGTAAGCATCAGCGCATTGCCAACGCATCGCTTGCAGAGTGTCGACGGCCTTGAGAGCATCCACAAAGTGTCTTTCAAGCAAGCTGCAAAATGTCAGATGACCGTCGAAACATGGCTGAGGTCGGAGCATGCATAAAGTTATGGAAAGCCACTTGCCGGTAAGCAGTTGATACACTCATGACGAAGTTCTGCAGCACCTCTTCCTGAGCCGACATAACGACATAAGAACTTCAGAACAACATTGGAGTAAAAAATTCTGGTTTCAGTTCGTGCCCCTTGGGGACACACCTTTCGTCCGCCGCTGCCGGTGAAGCTTGGGGACAAGAGCTTGTCAGCCTCGGCTCTCAGATGCGTCTCAGGGCTTCGGCATGTTGCTTGGATGACATCGCCCCGCAGTCCCGTGGTATCCCGTGGTCCATATGGGTTGAAAACTCAGCTGTCGAAAAATGCGCTGCGCTCTTTGTGAGGTGCGGCAGGACCCCCGATCGTCTGAATGGCCCCCAAAGACCGCCTTCCCGAGACACCGGCTGGAATACCGCAGCACGCAGAAACCACCAACCAAAGAGGCGGCACCATTAAATTTGGTCGAAGCACACTCACGCGACGAGCCGCCGAACATGGCGCAACGATTTATCCGACTTCCGTCCCTCTCCCACCAGCGATTGCCAGCGCCCTGTTGTTGGCACACGATGGGTACAAGGTTGGCGCACAGTTGGCGAGGCTGCGGCGAAATGTTGCAGTGTCGCCGAGTCGAGACCAAGCGGGTTGAAGTCCTGTGGCAGCCATGCACCGTGGTCCACACCGTGCCCTGGTGTATCATGCTTCGGATGCTCTTGTCTCTTGATGACACTCAGGCCAAAGCCCAGGTCAAGCTTGGCGATGAGGCCTGCGTGAGTTCAAAGTTCAAGTTTCACATGCAATTTTGCATGGACTACCGAGCAATCACGGGTACTCACACGGGTACTCACAGTCACGCGCTGGCAACAGACTTCCTACAGACTAGGGAGGTGGAACTCTCCGGGGAAAGGTTGGGCAAAGCCCGCTTCGCAATCTGCTTTCTCCTGCCTGGCTTACAGCGGGCTTGCCTTGGATGTAAATAGACTGCTGGCTTCTGAACGCGCGGCAATTCTATGCAGGTTCCAGTCTGATAGATTAGAGAGTCCAATTGGCACAAGTCCGTGTTTACAAAGCAAGTGCTAATGCTCGCCGCTTATGGTCAGGCATCTGCTCACAACGCACGTGCAGCCGCTGGATTTGACCAAGGAACTCGGGATCACGGGTGCCGAGCATGGCCGCGAGCCTTTGTCACAGTCTGCCTGGACCAAGCCAATCAAAGCCATCAGGGCGACCGGCAGCAGGACTCCAGGACACAACCCACGGCTCTGAGAGTCTGAGTTAGCGTCCACTGAGCATGACTGGCAGCTGCTGTTGCCCATGCCACACTTTGGCACCTCAATGTCACAAGGCAAAGAACCACGGTGCCTGGGCTTCAGCACAGTTCGACCATTTGGGAAGCTAAGGTCAGCACTAGGCTTCTGCCATGCCATCGTCAAGGTGTTTCTAGACTAGGTCGGCTAACTCACACAGCAATGCCTTCGTCCAGTTTTGGCCTATAAATAGAAGCTGCTTGCTACCTGCTTTGGTGCAACAGAAGGGGTGGCTATGGATTCGATATATGATTCAGATTCATGCTGGTTCTCTGCATGAGAGTGAGCAAACGGGATTTGTCACAACACATGTGTCTGCATGCTTCGTCAATCCATTGTACAGCAACAGCATAAGGGAATCAGCGGCAGGGCCTTGTGAAGGGCCTTGAGCTCGCTCGCCACTTGCACAGAGCCATCTGCTCCCCTGCGAGCTTTCCACATCTGGCTGCCCCTCGAAACCAAACTTCATGTGCACATGTGCTGGATGTACAACTGAGAAACAAGCCAGCCAATGTACAAAGGGATGATTCCGACAGGGTCACGCGCGACAACATACCTGGAGCGATTCGATTGATTCGAGCGATTTGCAATGGAAGATCATCAGAAATTACCCCGGCGCTACTCGCTGCAACCGGGCCGGAAGGTCCTTCCACATCTGACGACAAGATATTGAATTCAAGGCTCAACATATTGCAGAAAAACAACAAGGACCGTTCATGGCAGCTGTGGGGATTGTCCAAGTTCCTTGACCCATGCAAGGCGCCTGTGGTCCAGCTCCAGCTGAATTTCTGTCGTTGCTATGACCCCTAGGGCTCCTGAGGACCCCTCAAACACTGACCTTCGGACTTGACTTGGAGGGTCCTTTTGGGCCACCGAACCTTTGTGCCTTTGGATAGTGAAGTGCCCAAGTCTCTTTCTGGCAGGGTTTCAAGATGCCTGCTCGCAGAACACTCTGTCACAACCCTCTCTCCACGGCTGTCAGCGACCCCCTCGGTCGCATGTGGCCGCGGCTCTAAGCGATATCTGCCGGGCAGGGCACGAGTGGTTCTTCTTGTCCCAGATCGCGAAAGCGTACATGCCGCACACCTGAGCGCCAAGCTTCGCGTCGCAGTTGCAGGATTGTGCCAGAGCAAAACGGCCTCGCTCTTGCTCATGAAGTCAAGTCCATCCTCCGCACCGTCAATTGGCACATGACATTTTACCTCTAAGAACTGTGCATCACATGAGAACGAATGCATCGGTAGCAGATCAAGACCACCTCGGCGTAGAGGTGGAGCAGGACCTTTCCAACAGAAGCCAACACAGATGCGACAAGCCAACAAGCCAAGACCGAGTCTAAATGACTCGCCTCGCAGTCGCTCTTTGTGAGGAAGCGATGCTTGCCAGGGGCACGGGCCTGTCAAAGATGTCGCAGAAAGCTAGGCCGAAACCTCGAGGCCGAATACTCTCGCAGTTTTGCATGCTTCTCGCGCACACACGCTTTACCGGTCGAGACATCGAGACCAAGTTAGGTGACTCCAAGTCAGCACACGGTGCACAGCACCTTGCAATGTGAGGGCAGAAAGTATGGCTTGATGTGGGCGGGTGGGCGGGCGCCCCGTCCAGATCCTGTGCAACCATCCCCGCAACCCAATCCGTCATGATCCATCACGTCTTCTGCTCTCAGTTGTCTTCGGAGCCTTGAGTCTACTACATCCCAGAATATCTCCAGAACATCCCAGTTTTTTCGCAAATCCCAGCATTTTTTGTTCCACGGCTGAAGCTAGGCCGTGGAGCTTGGAACGGCTGAGAGTGACCAGCACAAGGCGCTTGGCTGATCAGTGCCCCACGCGGGGCAGCATTTACGAGCACTTCTCGCACACGTTGTGCCGTTGCCTTGAGTATAGGTGCCATCGAATGGCATGCCGAACCCGCAGAGGACGAAAGTTCCATGGGGCATGGCATCCGAAGAACAACGCAAGCAGGATGGGTCTTTCTGTCCCTTTACTGACCACATCCGGCCGCTTATGACCCTCAAACTCAAACACTTAAAAGCTGCTGACGTTTCCCTTGATCAGAGATGCTGCACACCTCCAAGTTCTTCTGGAGGTCTTCGTAGTTGTAGATCTCGCCGTTGACGCCCAGAACGATGTCTCTTGCCTAGGCAATGTCTTGACCCAGGGCTCTTCTGCTGGAGTACTTAAGCGATTCTGCAAACAAAACTGCTCCTGCAAGGGTTGAAAGGCTCGCAGGGGGCTCGAAGGGGCGGAATCTCAACTACAACGTCCCCGCAAAAGTGCAACAAAGTCTTGGAAAAACAAAAACAAAAACTCCGTCTATGACACTTAGCGCCACTCCAGCCAGATCCCAGATTCGGCTATTCAGAGAAAAAGTCAGGACCCCGGATGGACAGACATTTTGTCTAAAAAGCTGCACTCTAGGTCCAGCTGCCAGTGCCCCTCCAGTCTTCACTCATGTTAAACTTAAACTCAACTGTTCGCACTGGACGCATCCAAACCCCGCTCTCATTGTGCCCTGCTATAATTACTTTGTGAGGCCTAAGCCCAACACTTAGAAGCTCCAAATAAGGCCCTCTGATTTGAACGCATCATATCGGCTCTATATATTGGGCCTGGATCGTCCGCTCCGCCGTCGTCGTGCCAGCCCGGACGGGTAAAGAAATCCCCCAGAACGATGCAAGGAACGGTGGGGCTAGGCCTGTGGAAGAGGATAAAGAACAGATAAGGCAGACGATTAAAAAAACTACAAAAAAAACTACAGAAAATGATGGAAATAATGACAAGGATTCTTAAAAAAAACTAATAATGATCCAAAAATGCTAAACAATGATTAAATACCGAAGCCTCCTGCAAATTCCTGGAGCTCCCGACGAAACCCCGGCCACGCAGTTCCGGGCTCCCAAAAACCGTCATTTTTTATCGTTTAATTTCATTTCTTTATCCTCTTCCACATGGTCTGTCCATGGCTGCTGGGCGGATCTATCATTGCTTCTATCTCCGGGCGCGCAACCATCCCTGACCCGATCTTCCTTTCTCCGAGGTTCCCCCTCCCCCCCCCCCCCCTCCCGCCCTCAACGCCGTCAGGCATTAGCCTGGGCTTTCTGCGTTACATTCGGACATATATGTGACGCCTGAAGTAGTGGCATGCATAGCTGGGTAAGACGACTGTGGGCCCACAATGCAGCCATAAAGCGACGATAACCAATAGGTACAAAGAATGATAGTTGCAATGATGATGAGAATACGACGATAGAGGTGATGATAGAGCAGATGATAAATATATAATAAAATAATGGATTTCAACATGCATAGTCGGTCCATGCAAGATTGTCATACGTCATAAGTCTTGGAGAAGTGTAAGGAGGATTAGGCTTCTGAGGGCGGTCTCTAAGGAAGGGGGCGAGGTCGCATATGGAGAGAGCGAGGTCCCATATGTCTCTGCCTCGTTGTAGAGGGGCTGATCTCCGCTGTCGGGATCGACAATGGCCAGGCGCTCGTGGGCGATGATCGCAGACCCCTGGCAGCCAAGGCAAGGCAGCGCAAGTCCATTGTGCTGCATGCTCGGGACGGTGCACCACGGTGCCTCGCAGTAGACGCCACTCCAGTCAGGTCCTCTGTGCCCTAAGTCCAGAGATGTCCAGAGCCAAGCCAACCCTCATATATCCTCAGATCTCATAAGGTGTCGGCGCAGGAGCTTTGCGGCCTCGACCACCTGTTTCCTCAGAGGACCCGCATCCTCACGGATCACACAGTCGTCTTTGCAAAAAGCTGCAGGACACGAAGATCTTCGCCCGGAAGCTGAAGCCCCTCTCCTGAACTCCAAATAGCGCAAGGATTCCGCACATGACCTTGGCATGGCTTGCAGAGGTTCGACTTTGTCCACGCACGTTGAAAAAGTTCAAAGCTGCGCACACATGTTTGAGTGGACGTAACAGACGAGACTGTATCGCTAGAACAAGGCCCCGACGCAGAAACAGCGCAGAAGGCTCAAAGTCCGTAAAGGATAAAAGTCGAGTCGGGAGCAATCACAGCACAAATGAGCACAAATCGGTCTAGAGTCTGGACTCTGCAGTGAAGATGGAACCCAATGTGTATGCTGGAGCTGAGCATGATGTTAGCGTGGTAGAGATGGACTGCCGCCCAAGCCCGATGCGTGACAAAATCGTCCTGAAAACAGCAACGGCCAGCCAGCACAACTAGTCCGAGTAGCTCTTCTCAAGATCCAGGATGTTGCCTTCCTTGCCTTTTGCCATTGCAACTTCACACGATTCGCACTGGTGAGTCTTTGTTGTCCGCTCCCTCTGCTTCACACCCCATCTTGATCTTCGCAAGCGCTTCACTTGCCCGAACCACATGACAAGCTCATGCACTCGACTACACAGGCGCGAAAGCGAGAGCAACACGAGCTTCAAACCACGGAACAACACAGAGTCTCTGCCACAGCCGCCCCATGGCATGCTCTGCCAAGATGATTGCACCAGGACCCAGAAATCAGAGTGAGACATGGGACCCAGCGATAGTACACATACAGTACCGAAATGCTCCTGTTACGTGTGTGTGGGTGCGTGTTTGTTCGTGTGTGCTTCTACCGCTCATGCTGCTAGCCGTCAGTACATGGGCATGTCCAGTTCATGTAGATACATATTTGTGTCGGTGGCGATGCCAAGCTCACTGTTCCGCTCAGCTTCAACGCCACCTGGATACAAGAGGGGCTGTACCATGGCACGTTGACACGCCCTTCGTGCCTCAGACATCCCACACGGACGTCCACCTGAAGCAGATTGCTTCACGAGACACCTAGACAGTAAACCCTACTAGACCACGACTACTCCAGCCTGCTATCCGCCAAAGCCATAGATGGTACGACCCTGGCGCTTCAGAGCATACACAATGTCCATGGCCTGAGGCTGAACGAAATTTTTCGGTGATGTGAAAACCAAGGCGCATAAAACAAAAATCAACACATGGGATGAACCTTGCCGTCTAGTCCTACAAGTCGGCGGCCATCTGAGGCACTTGCCGTCACCGTTTTGCGTCTTGCATGCTCTGTGTAGGTAATCCTGAGTATGGCTCAGATTGACACGCACATGCCGGCGGTGAGAAGCTGCTTGAGACAAGCACGAGTCGCGCAGCACGTTCTCCAGGAAAGTTTTCAAGACACCCCGAGTCTCCTGTTGCATCTTCAAAAAGGGCGCAGGTCGAAACGTGACAATCGTCTTCTCACTACAAGATTCCCAGGCTTCTCGGAGCCAGGAGCGCTGGCTTGGATCGAGTGCGCCATGGCCATGCAAAGACCGAAAAAGATGTGGAGAAGGGTATCTTCCTCAGATAAACCGCCCATGTCCATTCACGTACAACAGGACTACTCCTGTTTCTGCACTACAGTGGCTGCAGCAAAAAGCAAAGACCGAGCAATCGCAATTGCGAGCGAAAGCGAACTGTGAGTGAGGAGAGAACGGGCTTTGTGTCTCTGTGTGCGTGTGCGTGTTTCTCCTCGTAGATGAGGCCGCTGATGCGCTTGACGCCACCACGACGGGCCAAGCGCCGGATGGCCGGCTTCGTGATGCCCTGAAGACACTTCAGCTCTCCACTCCTCTACTCCCAACACTTCTCCCATCTTCTCCCTAACACTGCACGCCAACCCACACCAAACTGTTTCAGCTCCTGGATGCTCTCGCGCAGAACCCGACGCTGTCGGGAGCCTGGTTTTCCCACTGGAACTTCTTCAGCCTCACCGATGCCATGCTTAAAGCATGCCACGAAATCATTAAGAACTGCATGAGACGTCAAGGCAATACAGCAAGATGCCGTTGCTGCGTGCTCTCTACCTGTTGATTCACACATGGCACGTCAGGTCCTGTGAGCGTGGAAGAACCTACTTGCAAAGCATGAGAGATAAGCACTGTCAACTGTCCCCTGCTCTTCCCCCTTGCCAGTGCCCAGTTGAGGAGGATTTTTCTTCTGCGTCCATCTTTCGAGATGCATGCCTTGAGAGTTGTCTATTCGGGGGCCCGCCGCGTTGCCGAAGCTTTGACTGAGTATGATTGGATTAGTCCATACCGTTCTGACCGTTCTTCAAAATTCGCTCCTGCGTCAACATGAACAGTAACATGTTCAAGGAGGAGGAGCGAGCAAAGAGAAGGAGAGAAGCCGATCAGCACCACCTAGAATTTTCCCAGCCTCCTTCCCAACTCCCGTCCCAGATTCCAACCCCATTTCCGTCCAATTCCTCCCAATAATATATTATACTAAAATATAATATATATATATATATATATATATATACAATAACGTATATGTATATAGAGTATAAAATAATCATATTTCAATATAATAAGATTTGCATATATAAATATAATATGCACTGTGTAATATGTAATAAGAAATATGTAATATGTAATGTGTAATATGTAATATGTAATATGCAATATGCAATATGTAATATGCAATATGTAATATGTAATATGTAGTATGTAATACGTAATCTGTAATATGCAATATGTAATATGAAATATGTAATTTGTACTATGAAATATGTAATATGGAATATGTAAGATGTAATTTGTATATATATATATACATGTATTTATTTATTTACATACATGACCCTCCTCCTTGCAAACCAGACGGCAGGCGTGACACTGTCATGCTAGGCACGAGTCTACGGGTGGACGTGATTGCAACGTCCGGCTCAAGTTCGCTGAGGTCGTGACAGCAGCCTGCATCAGAACATGACAATCTCTGAAAGCCGAGGCCAGTTCTTCAGCCTAACCGACTCTAATCATGCACCCGCCTTCAGCACCTTTGACTTTCGAGAGCTCGAAGTGGTCGTCTCTGCCATGGCCTGAAATTGTCTGCGGTGTTCTGCACTCCTCTGCCGTGCAGCCTGCGGAGTCCTGCGTCCCAGGCCTTTGGTGTCTGGTCTTGATACGCGACAAGATGGCCAAGTTAACAAGCAGGTGCCCCTCGTTACGGTATGGGAGCCCAAAGAGGTCACGGAACAGGATGAAGCTGCCGCCAAGGGTGAGCAAAGGACAGGATGCCAAGCTTGGGGTAACAGCTTCTCTCGGGTGTGGACACCTTTTTTGAGGCAGTCGGGCTCGGGTCGCGCTTGTCTGCGACCTCATTAACAAGCTCATGCTCTCCTCGTTAGCGTGCCTGATGAAAGGTGCTGCCCTCTTGAGGGCGATGATTCAATAAACAATGCCTCATGCTGTTCGCATGGAGTATCATGGAGTACCACTCAGGGTCATGGCACATCAGAGAACGCTCGAGCCTTTGAGGGCCCTGTGATGCTCAAGCAGGGCGAGCAAGCTTGCATGTCCTCATATTCTACACTACACGCAGGCTACCAGGCAGAAGGGCGGTCACAGGAGGGCTTTTCGAAAAACTCAATCTTGTACCTTTCATAGAAATGACTTTGGCCCACCACTGCTATGCCCGTATAATGCCCTGGCACCGATTCCCAACCCAGACGTCTTGGAGTGGACAATTCTCAGGATCTCTCTCAGAAGGTACCTGAAAATACCTGAAATTTTCTCAGGCGCTTGACATCCTGTCTATCCACATGAAAGTTCACCATAGCAAAAGAGACCGTTTTCAGGTATCAAATTTGTATGCAGCTCGCATTGGGCATTCGGCAATGCAAGCTCACGGATCCCCTCAGTAAGAGATACTGCAAGCCTTCCAGGACAGCGCTGCTTGAAATCGAATACAACCAGACGTGGAGTACTGATAAGGTTCTCAAACTAGCACAGGATGAGGCCACTGTCCCCTTAATACTTCACACGTGTGCTACATCATGTGTTGCATTCCTGCTTCAAGTGATTAGCATAATCATTCTTCTCCTGACATCGCAGACGCCAAATCACAGAAAACCAGGGCATGCAGCTGCCAGGTGCTACCAGCCTAGCCGCCGAAGCCATAAATCGTCCGGCCCTGACGCTTCAGCGCATACACGATGTCCATGGCCTGGCTGCAATGTCCGTTCAAGTCATGCACTCTGCCGATGTGCCCAGGAAAGTGATGCCAGATGCACGGTCACGGTCTTGCGCCGGGCATGTTCCGTGTATGTGATCCTTGGCTGCAAGCATGGTACTCCCCGAGTCGCGGAAGTGCTAAGATTGTTAAGGTGGGCAAACCCAGGCCCTGTCGAATCGCGCAGAACATTCTCCAGGAATGTCTTCAAGACGCCACGAGTCTCCTGGCAAGCCCGTGCGGGACGTTCCAGGCACATGCAATTTGTGCCATGAACACCGATGGTGTCGGCACATTCGGGCCCTGACGAGACCCACAGCCACATGCAAAAACATAGCACAGAGGCGAACGCAGATTTATAGGCGAAATGCTGGCATAAGCTGTACTGGGTTTACCCGGTGGACAAACGTACACGCACACGTGCTAAATCCTTCCGGGCCCTAGCGCACGATTCCATGAGAAGTCTACCAAGGTTTATACTTTAGAAGCTGACGGAGATCAGATGGTCCTTACTGCTCCTTACTGAAGAATGCTTGGCTTGCTCGGACATCCACCAGCCCTCAGGAAGGCGTATGTTGCTCCGCATTTACAGCTCCTCATATATGAGGCCGCTGATGCGCTTGACGCCACCACGCCGGGCCAGGCGTCGGATAGCTGGCTTCGTGATGCCCTGGCTTCATGAACACACATGCACTGCAGAACTACTGCACTGGGTATGGCACAGACATGCCTGGATGCTTTCACGCAGGACTTTGCGCTGCCTCCCTCCTTTGCCGACTGGGACCTCACCCTGAGAGCGAGTGCGGACAGAAGCGGAGATAAGGTACAAAAAATCTGTTGCTGCTCACTGCTACTTGGCTGAACTGAGAGCGGCGCAGCCTCCGCAGTAGCCTCTCACAAACACACTCACCCAGCCTTCTAAGGTCAGACAAAAGCATCAAGAGCACAAACTGCATAGAGTCTCTGCCACATCCTTCTGCAACTTCGACTTGCGAGTGCTGCTGGAAGTCTCAGTCATGGCCTTCACGGGCAGGACATTATGGATTTATGGATGCAGTGCCAAACCACGACATCCACGAATGCCTTCCAGCTTAGGCAAAGGTCTCGAAAATGAATGCTCCAGCCCTTGAGCCAAAGCATTGCCAGGATGAGCCTTCTGAACCGAGTTGCTTTCTGTTGCTTTTCACCTTGATGGCCCAACTCATGGTACGGCGCGCATTTTCTCCAGAGGTATCCAGATCGAGTGGCTTGGCCATGCTCGTGATCTTGACAACCCGCTTCTGAAATCTCAGTCTAAGCTAAACCGGGCGCACGCCCAGTTCTCTGATCTCGCATGGCCACGCTGCTGTTCAGCGCCGGCGAGCACCCTGCGCCCAATGCATGCAACGCACCGCAGTCCCAATCAGAATGGTGTGGATGACGTTGAGTGACGAATCAACTGGGCTCCTGGGTTCCCTGAACATTACGAGGGTAAATGCCGATCCGCTGCAAGGTGACGGGCATGTTCCTCTCAAACTGAATATGCTTTGCATGACCACTTCTGATGAAACAAAACTGCACACCTCTCAAGCCATGGAGTCCTGCTTCGTCGAATCATAGGAGACACCCGAGGTGCAGGGAGTGCATTTGCCTTGGGCAACAGATCCTTCTATGGCTGCCCATTGTGCACAGGTGGTGCTCTAAGCCGCTGTACGCCAGAAACACTGGCACCCGCTACTGGCAGAATGTGGCCTGGACACCGTTGTATCTAGATAACAATCTGAACAGTTGTAGATTGGGATGTTCCCAAGTTGTAGATCTCAAACTGGCGCATTGTTTGCCTCGTCTGCGTAGTGCTTCAGCCTGAGACATGACCTCCGGCAAGGGTCAGACACAAACACAAAAACAAAGACTGATATCCAACATGAAATGATGACGCTCCTACCAGCAAAGACGAAAAAAAAAAACACTCACTGAATACATTGGGTTCCTGCAACGATTGGCCACAGTACCGCATGATTCTGTGGGGCTTCCTTTCATCTGACGGCTTCACATGTTAACAGCAGCTGTTGAGGATGTTGTTTCTTCACGAAGTCATCCCTTCCTGTTGCGGGGCTTTTGCAGACACAACTGCAGCCCAACACCTTACTTCCCTTGTTTCAGAAGCTGGCAACGGCAACGTTGGACCGCATCCTGTCGCATATCTGGCCCATGGCACCCCACTCCCAAAGCGCGACATACTTACGCGGACAGATCTGGGACGCCAATTTAGGCACTACTACGCAAGAGAAACTACACAGGCTTGTTTAGGTCTACAGCACGACCTGGAACGGGACCCCAAAAGCCCCATCCCTAACGTCTACGTCGACCCGAATCCGTGAAGTCCTAAAACTCTCAATCGCAAAATCCTCAAACTAGTTGTGGGGCTTTCGACGCCTGACCCACGCAGATAACTTCAATAACGGGTGTTCTTGAAGGTGTGAAAGGCAAATAAAAACATGCGGCCAAAACGATGGCAGGAGAGATGTTCTTTAGGGACAGCGCATGACCTGCACGAAAGTGCAAATGCCGATGCAAGCGGCATGTTGGTTTCTCACACCTGGTGCCAAGCAACCCCCCAAAGCTCAACCCTCAGGTAGACCGAGGATCCCGCAGGAGGCAGATCCCGTGGTGCCTCGGAACGCTGCGGAGCTTGGGACCTCAAGGCGGAGCAGAACATTCGAAGGGGCAATGGCAAGGGGATCTGCGCTTCACTTGAATTTCCTGCGGCTGCTCTAAGGAAACGGCTCTTCCGCGCGCACTGCAGCCGTTTCGGGCGCTGCCCTCTCCGCAGGCGCAACCAAGGCCTGTAGCTAGAGAATGCAATTCCTGTCTTTGGCTCAGTCTCTCTTCTGCCTCTTCACTGACAGGTGGAAGTCGCCTGTCCACATCTGAAGTGCAAAAATGTGCAACATGCTTTGGGTAACGTCGGCCCGCCTTCCTGGCACCTCGCTTCGACTTGGGGATGGCGTTTGGTTGATGGTCTGAGGCGAGACTTCCTCCTGCCACTTACATGCCGCTGTGACCGCTATGTTTGTTTTCGATTCCATGCACAACCGTCCTCATGTCTGCTTTCTACATCTTCTCTTGGCAAGAGCAAATCGGCCTGAGCAAATGCCAACGACAGTCAGACGAGTCAAGATGCTTGGGGGAACCGAGCTCCCAGCAGTTGCTGATGCCTGTGAAAGAAGAGTGTCCATCTGGCGAATGATCTGCCTTGCTGGAGAGCACTGCGATGGCTTCTGAACTCTCCCAGGTGCGGCCTGTACGACATCATGACGTCGAGCATGGACTCCAGCCTCTCGTGACAATAGCAGCGACATGATGCCTTAAAACCTCCGAAAGTTCAACAAAAGTTCAACAAAAGTTCAACATGCTCAACTACACTGCAAGACCAAGGCTTCGGCCCTTGCCGATCTGCCTGCAAATTCTCCAGGCTTCTCCGGTCCTGACCAGATGACATCAGCACCCAGAAGACACTACAGGTCACTGCCAAAGCCGACGGGGCCTCGTCCAGAAGCTGCAGCATTGCTGTCATCATCCATCTCTGCCTCACCGCCTCGCACGCTGAGAGGGTCCGAGACCAGTTCGGGGTCAGCTTCACAAGCCCTGACCTGCAGGTTGCGCCCGAGAACTCCGAGGATGTGAACGATGTCCTAAGTCGCAAGGGACGAGTCTGTGCTGTATGCTATATGTGTTCAAGCCATCGAAATGTTCTGGAAGATGTGGAAATATTTTTGGTGCGGGAGGAGTGTGATTACCGTACTAATTATTGTCCTGAACACAATCTTTAGCATGAGAACTGGACTTGGTGATTGTTTGACGTGTCTGTGACTCCGGACAGAAGCAGCTGCCAGCGGCCCGAGGTCCACTTCGTGGACCTGTGAATGAAAGCCCTGATGCGGAATCACTCGTATGGGCAATGTCCGGGCAGGTCACCAGCTCATCCTCATCCAACTCCTCAAGCTTGCCAATGACGAGAGGCTCCTCCTCGGCAAGGCAGAAAGTGAGAAACGAGCCAAGAAAGGCAGCACACATTGTGCACACTAACCTACTGCAAGTAAGATACACTAAGACCATCGTCAGACCCGCCGACTGAGCTGCAGGCGCCACTCTCCACCTGGACATCGACAGCAGTGGGGCCATTTCAAAGTTCCAACAGCAGAGGAAGCGCTGAGGTACTGTTTTGCAAATGCGATGCCTCAGTGTCTTCGGTGAGCTCGATGATCCGACAAGCGGCTCCGGCCTCTACCAGAACCTCCCATTCGTTCGTTTGGACGCCCATGTGTCCATGCCCAATCTGCTCACGTAACACGTGCCGGCACGGCATGTCCATCCTCAGCCACAAACTAGTACAAATGAGCAAAAGCTAGTGCAGACAAGTACGAATCCTAGCCTATACGCTGACAAAGCCTTCTCCGCCCATGGCACACTACTGAAAGCAAGCGAAACTAAAGTCTCCTGAGCAGTCCACGGAAATGCTGTGATTTGTGTCCAAGATCCGGCAGACGCGACCTTTGGCCTCAGTCTTCCCATCTACAAGTGACTATGGGAGGCTTTTGAGCATCCTTGAGCTAGGTGACACCCACTTCGAAGTCGGCAGGCCTATGCAAAGGATTGCAAATTGCTAAGGCACTACAACATGTCACTTTTGACTTCAGACTTCGCAGATTTCTGGACTGGGTCTGGCACTGAACTAGCACAGCGAAGCCTGGGCTTGTTCTTCGTTAGTTCTTTGATGGCCAGGGATAGGTCGGATATTTGGTGGATATAGGCTGCCACCCTGCTCTCTGCTGAGGCCCATGCAGCTCTCCCTTTGGTGCTTCGAGTGGCGCAGCCTCTCTGTCTCACCCGACTGAGTGTGAGCTTGGACTGCGCTCTGCTTGTGCTGTGCTTGTCTTGCGCTATTCCCGCTATTGCTCAGCTCAGGGATGCGCAACTTTGGCTCGAGCCTGACCTGGCCAGGACCCGCACATACCCGCAGGGACCCGTAGGGCGACAAACTAGGCAACAGTGGAGCTGTGATGAGCTGTGCCTCGTGCTGTGAGCCAAGCCTCAAGCGCTGCCAAGCCTTCCAACTTACCGGGTTACCCGTCCCGCACAGCCGTGACATGTTATGCGGAAGTAAAGTCGGGCCTCGGTTCCTCCAGCAACAAGAGGTAATGGACCACCCAAGCCTTCAAGCAACTAAAAAAAACTTCCGAAGGCAGTGTTCAAAACCAAACCTCGGCCTCCAGCAGCATCGAGATCTGCGGCCTGGGCCCACGTCTCCCTTCGCTGAGACTCATAGGCGGAGTAGCCAACAGCCTCGCGGAAGGCATCCGAGGTTCAAAGCATGTGCCCTGACAAAGAAAAATCAAAAACGAAAAAAGAAGACTCTTCGTGTTTGACTCAAAAATCTCAAAAGCATCCGTCTTTGTCAGATTCTGTTAGGTTCTCTTACAAGCAGCTTCATCTCTCTCTCTTTCTCTCTCTCTCTCTCTCTCTCTCTCTCTCTCTCTCTCTTTCATTTGTCATGTCACGCCTTGCGGACCAACACCGCATGGGCAGCACTCACCTGCAACGACTCCCAGTCTTACTGCCCCGCAAAAACTCACTTCGACTTACTTAGCCTTCGACTTGCGGAGCCTATATTCCCAACTTGGAATGGCAGATTCACAACTCGCGGGTCTGGCAGCGATCAGAAGGTTCGAGCAAGCGCTCACCCCATGTCACCAATCCCCCGGCCCTTTCCTCCACCATGTTGGGAATGGACATGGAATCTGGCATGTTCTGAATCACAGCTGAAGCTGCACGTCGAAGGATTTCGGGATTGAAAGTTCCGCATAGACACCCTGTCTCGATGGTTGGATAATCCCTGTGAGTTTAGCCAGCTTTTGCATGCCGAAAGGCAACGCTTCCGGATGAATCAGCTCACCATAGCTCTCACTGTGCTGACCCTGCTCCCGTGGCCTGTAGCTCGCCTGCTTGTCTGACTTGACTTGCAGGAGCCTGCATGGCAGCACATGTCAGCACAATCGACAGCTGCTCGCCTGGCGCCTAAGACTCCGGCGCGACACAGCGGACACATTGGCTTTGGTTTGCGTCGTGTCTGTAGAGCGCAGATCTGAAGGGAACATGCAAAGGCATTGCGAAAACATGAACCATCCTTCGGATCAGGGCCCAAACCAAGCAAAAGAGATGTGGGCATCCGGGCCAAACCTTGCAGATGTTTGGCGCGAATTTGGCTTATGTGTGACACTTCAGTCTGCGTTTTTGAGCACACGCTGGCTGCCTAAACCCGGCGAGACTGTAAAAGTCCCGCAAAGGCACTTCAAACACTTGAAGCCCACTTCGTTTCCATCCGTCGGTCATGTAAGCGACACTCGATGGTCGGGCTTGCCAATCCATGGCAAAGAACCTTCTCTTTCTATTTCAGAATGTGCACAGGCAGAGCTTCAGCACCCTTCCGTTCGGCGTTTCTGCACGGCTGTGCCGAATGCATCATCTGTTCTGATCGGCAAAGCTCAGGGGGCCATTTCTTGGCAAGCCTGCATTTTGAAGTGTGGTTGGCAGGCGGCCCGCAGGGTAATTACGCCTCGGCTAATCCAGCAAGTGTTGAGGCAGTTCCCCCCAGCAGAGTTTCCGAGCACATGAGCATCTCATAGTCTGTAGTGAAGCAGAGAAGCAGCAATACGCTGGGCAATTCAGAATTTTCACGTCCATGTACTGCCGCCGCCCCTTGAATGATTTGATACTCTTTGCGTGCGATACCCACCCAGCGCATCGGCAGCTTCACCGGGCCAGGCCAGCTGCGAGCCCGACTGCTGAGGTGGACACACGAAACATGCAAAATGCTTTTACAGCTTGGCACTCACATGACTGAAACGAAAGTCGGCAAAAGTGTCTCAGAGGCAAGAACCACTGGCTCACAAAGTAGGTTCCAGCACACAGGGCATTGCTGATCCATGCCTGCAGAAGCAGGAGACTTATCTGTTCTGCAGAGCTACGCGTGGTGTCTGACTTCTCCTGCCTGCGCTGTGCCCGTCATTCATGCTTCTGCATCACATCCCAAGCGCTGAGGACTAAAGTCGGATTGATGATTTCATGTCATGTCATTGCCAAACGTGTCTGCAGACTCCGCAGGTCATTTGTCAATCTTATCCATGACATGAATGGTCGGATATCCGCGAAGGCCTGGTCTGGCGTTTAGGTGTCAAGGCACTAGCAACTAGCCCTAGAGCCCCCCCTCGAATGCACGACCTGAACCCGGGACCCTAGAAACCTCCGGGGATCCTAGGCGGTCTTTGGCAGAATACGTAGATGAACTTTTGGCTTCCTGTGGTTCCCGTACTTTTTGTGAAGGCGGGAGGGAGATGAAGAGAGAGAGCGGCCGCACGAAGTATTGAATTGAACACAGCGGCTTCACAAGTGGCAGTGCTCTGCTATGAGTCTTCGCACGCTGTTTCAACAAAGAAATAACAAAACGTGTGCACAACCCATTCTGTGAGGTCACAAAAAATCCGTACGAAAGTAGAGCCGAATTGCGAGGTGGACTCGCCTCATATTCAATGTCATGGTTCTTGTTCTGTTTCGAGATGACACCCAAACGCCGGTTTAAAAAAGATGAGCGCATTTTTGCTTTTGGCAAGACCGAGACACAAAGCTAATGTCGAAGGGAGCAAGGAGATGACAGTAAGCATTTGTGCCCTGTCGGTACCTTTTGGCCTCTTCGTCTTTGTTCTCTCTTGACTCGTTCATTTATGTGAGGGTGTCTGTCTGGGAGGCCCCAAGCAAGTCGCTAGAAACTTTCTTGGGGTGTTGCAGGGGGAATTCGAAGGGGAGGGTGTGCCGATGTGTGCATTTTTCAGGTTGTTTTTGTAGGTGCTTTCGCGTGCTGGCATGGGAAGAGGGTGTATTCTTTGCGGCCAGGGCGGTGGGGCAGCTATGAGTTTTGTTCATGGGGGCTTTCGTTCTACACACTCTGCACGGTGTGCTCTGTGAAGGTTGATGTCTATGGTCCCTGCAGAGCATGGCAACAAGAACTCTACCTGCTACTATGTCCTGCAAGCCAGCAGGCCACCAACTTTGCATCTAAAAGCTGATGCGATCAGGCGATCCGTCCAATTCAGATTTCAAGAACACTCAGCCACCTTTTTGATAGCGTTGCCACAGCTCTGGTACAGCTGGCTGGTGGCTGACTCAGCCTGCTTGCTGGAAAACAAGACCGTGATCACATACGTAGCGTTTCATCCCAACAAGCACATAGCCGCGCATAGCTGGGCATAGCCAGGCAAAGCCGGGCAAAGCCGGGCATGGGATACTGTACATAGCTCCATGCCGCGTGAAGGCCGAATGAAGCGCGCCAAGCCCAGGACGTCGTCACCGCCATCGGGCACAGGGATCTGCCCATGGCTTCCTTCTCACGAGCGTTAGCCGCACTGCATGGACCTCAAAAAGGTGCCATGACCGGAACCTGCGGACTAACGCACAGACATGCCACGGCGTTCCTGGTGCATTCTCAGGCATCGGCAGAAGTCGGACACGCGTCGTGCCCGTGGCACGCAGGAAGACAGCCTGGCGATTGCACTGTATGTCGTATCTTTGCGAGGGTCCGCGCACAGCGGCTAAGACCGGGTACCACTTGCCATTTAGAGGAGGCTCAGTTGGGCGATGGCCGGGCCAGCAATGCTGGAGCAATGTTTCGGAAGACTCGAAACGACTCCAAACTCACGCACAAGGGAGCTGTTTCGGTGAGCACTGCTCGATCGGGCACTGGCACCTTTAGAGTTTAGAGTCTGTTGTCGAGGACTTTTCGGGGTCAAGGCTAGAGGCTACGGGATCATAGAGCAGGGAAAGGCAGAAAGGCACAGCTCCCCCGGAATCACGATACGCAGCTTTAGCCACCTTTGCAAGGTCGAAATTGACGTCTGTGGTGTAGAAGCCGGTAGATGTGGTGTGCACCTTGCAGATTTCTTCGTTGCGAGGCCGAGATGATATTTGAGCTTTGCCAATTTTTAAACATGCGTTTTGGTGCCTCTGCATCTGCATCGTGCCCAAGCTCTGCTGCAGGATCCCTTGGTGTAGCATCGCATGAAGCTACCAGTACTGGACGCAGACACTGTCCAAAAGACCAGGGATCTGGCGGAAAAAGCCGGTGTTGGAGAAGCGTTGTTCGTTTCTGGGCTCCCGATCAAGAACTCTAAAAACAGACAACTCGGGCACTCGGTTCATCAATTCTTAAGGACCGCCGCCTCTCCCCAATCGAGCTGAACCTCAAATTCGATCTTCACGGGCAGGTCGCCAACATCTTCAGAAGCCACCTGCCCGAAATCGGCCAAGCTTTGACATGGAAACATCCAAGCCACGCAATTTGTTGAGACGTTCATTAATTCGTGACCAGTTGTCACGGCAATATGCTTGAATGAGGAGGGCCTGGCCGTTGACATGGAGTGCGATGGGTTTCGGCCTGGATTGCGCATCACGCGCTGCTTGTGGGCCATCTCCTCTACTCTCCACTCCTCCACTCTCCGCTCCACCGTACTGCGCTATTCACTCCACTACTCTCCATTCAAGTCCAATTCTGCAACTACTGCTAAGGTGCGTTCATATCCGGCTCTTCTGGAGGATCACCTGGCAGCAAGGCAGGCCTTTCAGCAACATGCGATAGCGTGTGGATAGGGAACGTGCGGTGACCTGGCTCTCTTGGCAGTTTCGGTTCAGCACGTGGTCTGCGAATCGTCACAGCCTAGGCACTCAGAACATGGGCACAGCAGCAACACCGCCCAGACTTGGTGGGCGCACTAGGAGGGCTGTCTCCTCGAAGTCTTCATCAAAGGCCAGTCCAATCTGCAGCGACTAACTGAGGCTTCGCACAGCGGACTCTGGACACGTTGCAGCAAGACAATACAGAACTAGTGGAACTTCACAAATTCACAACTTGCCGAGAATACTGAACAAAGCAGCGTAGGCATCGGGCTGTAAAGGTCCCGTTCGAATCAAAATCGATAGCCTCGCCTCATCGCTGTGACTTGCCGAACCGAGGTACATTGCCACCGTGGTCACCCAATGTCACCCAAGCACTGCATACAGTGAAGGTGAGTACTGCATGCTTAGGCAACCACAAACCAAGGCCATGCTCAGGTGAGTCACCTTGCATGTTGAGCTGGAAGTGGTGTCATTGATTGTCATTGGTGTCCCCGGCTATCTTCGTATCTTGCCTGACAGCCGTGTCCACTGTTGAGCTGGTGCCTCGAAACACCACAGGGGCGTGGCGATGCGAAGCTCCGAAGCCCACTGAGCTCGGAGCACAAGCTCCGCACTTGACCCAACGCCACCTTCGCTCGCCACTACCTCGGCGAGGAGGCCCAGAAAACGGGCGATGACAGAAAACGATTGGGGTGCCCAATGTCGGTGTGCCAGGAGTGCAGCAGCTCCAGAGGCATCATCTTTGGCCTCTTCGCTTCTTTGGCATAGTATGGCACCCGTGTTTCGTCAGGTTCTGAGCCTCGAAGTAGAGGTTGTCACCTTCCACCTCAGAGAGGCATTTGCGGTGAAGCCTGAGCATCATGTGATGTTCAAGAAACGTCCCGTGCACCTCCCACACACCTTCCTCCAAGGCAGCCTCCAGCGCTGTGAAGTCCTGTCCAGTGCTAGAGTAGCTGATGCTGACCATGGCAGATACAGAGAAGTAAGGAAGGTCTCCTGCTTGAAGCAGCTGTGCTCCTCAAACGTAGACTTAGTCAAGTGCTTGGCTTTCCTGAGGTGACTGTGACGTTGCTCGAGCCTCTGTCATCTTCAGACGCGAGCTTGACGCTTTCCAGGTCCATGATGCTGCATCTATTTTGGAACTCTTCGGGCTTTATGGAAGCACCATACGAACGACTCATGTGCAGGACCCCCACAGTCAACATGAAGATGCTTGCAAGCGGGAAGGGGTGTAGAACTGTAGGAGACCTAAGCGGCATAGACGCTGGCTGGAAATGCCTGTCGGCAACACACGACACATGCCCATTGATCAGACATGCCAGACAGAGCTTGCAAGGTCCATTTTGGCAGCGCCGCCAGTGCTTCACCGCGGTGCTGCTCACTCCGGATGGAGAGGTCCACTGAACTGGAGCGCAGGTACTTCAGTTCAAATCACTGGCGAGGAACAATGCGCCAAAGCCTCCTGGACCAAACGGTCGACACACTGCTGGCGCTTGTCCACGAACGTGATGACCTCTACCGTTCCGTTGCGCAAGTTTCAAACGTGCCATGCTAAGAATGACCTCTAGGTCCACCAGCACCGGGTTCTGCAACTCCAAGAGAACCTGGGCTACAAGAACAGGAAAGCGGAGGACCTGGTGAACGTTAGCTAGCGCGCTTTGAGTGTCCAGCGGCTTGCCGCGCACAGCGTGCTGCCAGGTCGACAGGGAATTGCCTGCACTTTGCATGAACGCTCTCGTGCTCTGTTTTCTGGCAAGAAAAAAACAGAGCTCCACGCTTTGCACCGGCACCCAACAGTGGAGAGCAGATCCGCCGCCTGGTCCGGCGCCAGTCCCAAGCTGGAGGCTAGAAGCAAAGAAATGCGGGGAGGCATCAGACATCAACGAACATGAAAACATCAGGCATCAGCCGCTTGACTGCAGGGCAGGCCAAGCGGCACGGGACCGCCGGCTGTTGCAGCAACAGCGAAAGCAGAGCTGTACGCCTCTTGGTGCTGTGTGTCAAATTGCGCTGCATCGTTGCCAGCCTGGACAGCAGGCCTGCTGCAACAAGCGTAGCCGTCGGTTTTGTTCGGGCAGATCCAAGTCCCCGGCCTTAGATGAAGGTGTTTGATTTCGTGCAGCTAGCCTGGCATCCGAATCTGATCTGAGCATCTTGCCCATATGGGCGCGACCGCATGCGCGACATACTTGCACTGCTGAGCCTCACTGACCACGACATCTCATCACTGGGATCAAGGATGCACTGAGCCAGCTGCCAGCTCGCTGTCTTCGGGCACCTATAGCAAACTGCATCTTGTGAAACAGCTCTCATTGCAGGGACAGTATCAAACACGGCATCAACCCCGGTCTTATCCCAGAACTTCGACTCCACCCTCCGAAGTCCAGCAAATGAGTCAGTTGACATTACCCCCACCACCACCACCACCACAGAGCAGCATGCAGGGTTTGAACGCAATCCCTTTCGTGTGGGCTCCTTCTTTAAAGACAAGTCTGGGCGTCAACTCGGTCGGTGACCCAGGTGGGTGGCCATTAATTTAGGGTGCTCACCGGTGACGGGGACATGAAAAAGAGGTTCAAGTGGTAGGACAGGTGCTTGCACTCGCCGTTCGGCATGACCGGTCTCTGCTGACACAGCTGCTCGCGCTGGCCTCTGTCAGGCGTGCTCCGCCGATCTCGCAGCGCTGCGTGTACGGACTCGGAAACGGCCCATCCGGATCTGAATCAGGTGGCCTCGCAGCAAGGGTGTCCACCGGGGTTGGTGTGGGCTGCAAATGCGGTAGAAGGTAAGCCATGGGCAACTCGGGCAGACGCCGGCAGAGTCGCCCTGGAGTGTTTCTAGTGGCCATGCCGTGCAGAACGAGGTTTGAACGTTTGGCAATCTCAGGACCAATCCACCTTCTTACTTCTACACACTGTCGGATGAGTCACATGAAAACAATCAGCCTAATGCTGGTCCGCCAGCTTTGTGGACTCGTCCATCGACCTTGTGGCTGATACGCCAAGCAGATGCTGTAACAATACCGGTGTTCTGGTGAAGGATGTGCTTACACATGAGTTGCACTAAACAGTGCTGGACTCTTGTGAACAAGAACAAGTAAGCACATCTCTGCCAGGGTCCCCGTCTACATCATCTTGGTAGTACACCTCGCCGCTCTCGCACTCCGCGCCTTAATCAAATTCGGTCAAACTGTACCAATCTTGACCCGGGATGTCTGATAACAATCGAACTCACATGCTGTGGCACGCACCAATTGGGAAGTATGGAAAAAGCCTCCAGCAAGAGACAGAAACCCTTTTTCACGACATTTCAATCGTGATGTGGTGTAGGCAAAACATCTGAGTGGGAAACGGGCCTTCAAGCGTCTCATTGGCAGAGTTCAATATCACATCGCACCCTAGTCAAAGAAGAGGAGGCTCTCTCAGATGTTGGAGGAGGCCATCCGCAAGTGTACCGTGCCTTCGGACACCAGGTCTCCCAGTCGAACCTTTCGATTCTCACATCAGCAAACACAATAAACACACACCTGAAAAGCGCCCCCCCCCAAAACGAGCGCCTCAATCTTCGCAGAGAAGGCAGCACTGGGCAAGACAAAGCTCGCAGTGCTCGCAGGCACCGATCCTGACCATGGGACAATGAGACATAATGAGACGACAGTTGAGAGCCGAGAGTAACTGAGTGGAGTGTCGCGAATGTCCTGCAGCGCAGCGCGCAGAGTGCCGCAAATGGCGCACGCTGACATAGAAAGGCCGCATATTGAACAAAGATAGGTTGGGACCCTGACATGCTGCAATGCTCCTATCTGATCTCGTTGACCGAGGCATACTTTGCTGACAATTTGAACCGTTTCCCAAGGTAAAAGATGCCTAACATTGATACAATGATACGAATGCGACTTGTCGGAACAATCTTGTTCACAAAGTGAGTTAAACTACTATCGCGACGGAGAAGGGAAGGAGATAAAGCTCCAAGCATATATGAAGCAACTAGAAAAAGATGTCATGCTGTTCATCCTGTGTCCACCAAGTTGATCATGCTCGGCTTGAGACGTGGACGCTAGCAGAGGCACGGTGCAGGGATGCACCCTGTTAATCAAGCAATGCAAGCTGTTTACCATGCAGGCTTAGACAAGCCCACGGTGACAGCCTCTACCTACAGCCTCTGCCTCTGCCTCTGCCTCTGAGATCTACCATTCTTGCTTGGATTCGATGTACTCGGGGGGCGTGGAGCGGGGGGGGTGGGGGGGCGGGGGGGGAGGGCGCCCTCTCAGTGCCACCATTTTCAGGGGTTGCTGAGAGCCGTGGTGGAGCGTGACCTAGTATCCAGTAAAACCGTTCAGCTGCTTGATGTGACGTGTAGCCGCAGGTCCTGATACAACCTTTTTCTGCAAGGGATATCGCAGTGGTTGCTGTGTAAGTGGAAGGTCTTTGCCTCAGCAAACACAATACAAGCAACTGCATCGGGTGGCAGCTTTGCTCAAGCGATGTAGATTTGGTCCTGCTCAATTGCGCGGCTATCCAAGGTGAATGATGGTTAACACCGTGTTACACCTGGTACTGTGCAATCCGCCACCAGTCCTGCTTCCCAAAGCCGGATCTCCCTGGTGGTGCATACATGTACCTTAGTCAGTCTGCTACAGCATCAAGAACAGAGGTGTGCGCAGTCAAAATAAGGTCAGTGCTGCTCCGGGAAGGGGTGTAGGTACGATGGTGCTGGCATTTGCCACGGTCCCGGGTATGGTGCATGTGGCTGGAACCTGAGTAGCAGTAGCAGACCAACTCGACTGTGGTGATGCCAGGCCTGGGGCATCCGACACCATTTCTTCTTCAGAATCCGAAACTTCGCAGCAGCCCTTCTGGTGAAGCTCTCTGCCTCAGATGCCTACATCTAAGAATCTAGGACGCCACAAAACCTCAACTTCCGGAAAAGGGCTCAAGTGCACATGTCAAGGACATCCGAGAACACTGCCATGCATGCCGGTGAATCCGGAGGGGTCTCGGTTCTCAAAACAGCACAAACCCCAAGCCTCGTGTCATATACGCAGCGCGAGAAAAGCGAAATGCCAAGGGCCAAGGACAGCACCATACATACCGGCTGGGTATGGGTATTCCTGGAGAGAAAGGTCAATGCTGATCCTCGTGCGGTTGCAAACATCTTGACAGAATGGCCTCCTCGTGAAAGAGCTGTGCCCTGAGTAGCCTCGTGCGTGCTTTCGCTCGTGTGTCAGGCTGACTCCCCCTGCTGATGTTTCTTCTTCTTCTTCTTCTTCTTCTTCTTCTTCTTCTTCTTCTTCTTCTTCTTCTTCTTCTTCTTCTTCTTCTTCTTCTTCTTCTTCTTCTGCTTCTTCTTCTTCTGCACGCTTCGAGTGTCCCTCCGTCTATCTCTCCCTCCCTCCCCCTGCGTGCTGATAAGGTGCCACACACCGCATATTATACAAGCCAGGACCTTCGGAGCGATTCTTCACATCGTCTGTTGAAAATTCTAAGCCGACTGCATCACGCAGTCGCTCTCGGATAATTCAGGCTGCAACCAGCAGAGTGATTGCGATAATCCAGTAGATGTTGAGCCTTGTCGGACTTCAATCTTCGTTCCACGATTCCGCGATCAGTAGCCGAAAGATACTGAGAGCTGAGAGGTGAGCTGCTCCCAGGAGGAATTCCCCGCCATGCCTCCGCAGTCTCCAAACAAGCCCTCTGAGATGCGAAGTTGCCACCAGAGCTGTGCTGGAGCCTGCGACGGCCGTCAACTTTGGAACGGCGTTTGCGTCAACATTCATCATCTGTACCATCTGAACTTCGCGAAAGCCCAGGTCCTGAGCACTTCGACAAAAAACAAAAACTCACAAGAACTGTCATGAACTGTCACTGATCTCTCCCGAGCCCAACGCCTGAGCAAGGCGATTGTTCCGACCCCACCGACTCAGCAAGTCGTGGGTAACAGCACGAACCGAAACTTTTCTTGGAGACACATCGATTCTGAAAGTTCCTTCACAGGCGCATCTGCACAAAGCAAGTTGCTGTGCTAAGGAGCTGTCCTGTCCCAAGATTCGGAGACTCCCGTCGGCAGTGTGCTGTTGGCCTTGGTGTCTGCGAGCCGTCAAGTTCGTAAACTCCGCCTTGCCCGTCGCACGGCATCTTGTGCTTTGGCATCCCACAGGGGCCAGTCTGGAGGGCTGGTATCCGCTGATGCCTCGAGCTGGCTAGCTGGCTCTAGATTTTGAGTATTTTTACGAATCCAACAGCTGAGCTCTGTGCTGGACCGGAATTGCTGAAGCTGCTGAATACCAAGGTAGCCGGGCTCCATAAAGACCTTCTCCAAGGCAACACACAAGCTACGCAACGGCTGATACCAAAATCTCGGGGCTGCGCAATCCACTCGGCACGTTCGCAGGGCGGAGTCTGAGCAGATCAGGCTCATGCAGCAAGCAGAATCAAGCAAACGCAAACAAGCACAATCCAAGCTTTGCAAGGCTGCTCACGGTCGTCGACCCAGTATACCGAACATAAGACCTGTCCTTGTCAGTCCAGGTCCATGTGTGTCACACATGCAGTTTGCTCAGACCCAAGTTTTGCAATTCTTCGATAACAATCAGACAACGTTACCTAACACGACCAGCCTCCACAACCAGCTATAGTTAACTTGCTGGTCACCACACTTGCTATCCACACTTCGCCCGGCGTCTGGAGGAGCAAGCTCCGAATAAGGGTTTGCGATGAACACAGAGGGAGCCTGAGATGCCGCTGTGCTTCCTCTGCGCAACAGCATCTTTTGAACAAAGTAGCAAGATCTGCCAAGTCATTCGGCACTACTCCTTCAGGCGCTGGCCCCTTTGCCATCGACTGGCATGGTTGACCAGATCGGGGTCAGAAAGGAATTGCCGACCTTAGAGGAGCGCTTTAGGAACTTTGGGCTTTCTCAGCCTATCAACTGCCACCGCTGCCACCGCCTCCAGCAAGACCAGAGGCAAGTTTGAGCTGCCGGCATTTGCAGCGAGTCTGAGACTAATGGAAACCATAAGCACCTTCTGCTCACCCTGAGAGGTCAGTTGCTGGATGTTGCTGGTCTCTGTTGCGTGAAGGCAGAGTTCTGAGAAGCCAGCTCCAAAAAGGGTCGTAGCCACGTGGCGCATCTGGATCTCCATTGCGTTGTGGCCACCCTCTACCTCTCTGTCAGAGAGATTGTGAAAAGCAAGCTTCGCGATGTTTCGAAGACTTCATGAGACTTCCCCTTCTGACTCTCAGAGTTCAAGCGGCGGTGTGTTCTGATGGGGTCTTGAAGCTGATGGACTCCAGCTTGTAGTCTAAACCTTGGACTCTTTGCCCCCGCATTTGTTTGCGCCCCCCGGCAACACGCAAAACAACACAGTGAGCACCTCTCTGTGGGTCGAAGGGAACTGCTCTCGAGGCTCTCGAGAGAGGCACATTCAAAAAAAAAAACTGCGGCCGCGGGACCGCCAATTTGAACCACAACCGCTTCTGGATTTACCAGTCTGACATCCCATGTCAGCGGCCCTCGAAAGTGGCAAGAGGTCGCGAGCGGGAAAGCAAGACAGAGGCACACTTCACACTTTGCTGCCCCAGCCTGGATGCAGGGTTACATTTACTGTCTGTGCCGCGAGGCTCCAAGCCTGCGCAAACGAGGCATCGAATATTGATGCGAATGTAACAGGAATGATGCCCAGTTCCGAGGAAAGTGCAAACGGCCCAAGCCGTTCTCCAACTCCTGCTGCCAAGCGCCTGGCAGGACTTAGACTTCGCGGGCCGGGGGCCCACACGTGCGTGTGGCAACCGTACGAAGCAGGGACAGTGGTACGTGAGGTTGGCATGGTCGACGTAGGTCAGCTTCCTCGACTCTCTCAACATACGCACGAGACGAGCCAGTCAGAGATTCAATCGAAGCCCATGGCTTTGGAATATCGATCGGTGATTGATACGTTGACCTGGCTGCTTCCAGAAAATGCAGATTTAGGCAAGAAGGTCAAGATGGTCAAGCAGGCTGGCTCTACCCGCACTGCGCGTCAACAATGTTCTTCCAGTATCTTGGGAGAAGCGACGGTCACGGACCAAGTGGTAACCCAAAAACTGACATGATTGACCGCTCCAAGGATGACTGAGCAGCAAGCTGCTGCTCGGGATATTCGTACTTCCATGTCCTAAGTTTCTGGAAACATGAGCGAATTTGCATGGTGTTGCCACTGGTGCCAGTGGTGCGTTAAAGCAACTTACAGGCTCGCCGGCCAGCAAGTCACCCATCAGCAAAGACAGCGTGCGCTAAGTTCGGGAAACAGAAAGGCATCAGCGGAGAAAGAACACAAGATCAGTACGAGTACCGTGGACCACCCGCCAACTTGGCCGAATCCTAGCCTGGACCACCCTCCAACTCAAGATGATAGCAGTGCGTATCTGGGTTACAGAAGTGGAGTTGGCCCAGCTGTGGCCATTCCACAAGTCCTCTGTTGGAACTGTATCAAGCTAGGAACTACCAAGGAGTCTTAGGCAGACGCTCAGGTGTTGGAAACTCTTGCGCAGCTACGAACCTGGGCAAGAACACCAACTGCCAGCCGATTCAGGTAACCGGGTAGACAGCTGTGGCAGATGTGGCTCACATGTGACTATGCAAACCATCTGAGCAAAGACAATCTCCGTGCTTTATCATCTTCTAGTGCAAAACTTAGGTATTCCTAGGGTCGCTGGCACTCGCCTGTCTCAAGGCATAACAGGGTTTACATCTTAACATCAACCTGCCGCACCTGGCAAAGAGCCATAGACAGATGGCAGACCAAAGTCCATGCCCCATTGCCGAACCCGAGCCTGCTCTGCGCATACTCGAAACCAATGGACCACTTCCGTGCTTGACACAACTTGACACGCACCCGAGGGTTGAAGAGCTCCTGCTTCTAGGCTGAGCTTTTGTGTCTCTACTTGGGGCTGAGATGTATCACTTTCTGGAGATGACTAGCTCGGCTTGAAAGGTGGAAACACACCATGTCCGTGTGAGCCGAAATGCTACTGAGTAGCTCCCCAAGAAGTCACGTCAAGCTCTAGCTGACGTGTGCCTCTTCCGGCGAGGCCGAAATACATCAATCGGATGGATGCTCGTCTTTTTCAAGCGACTGGCTCACTGCAAGACCTGGTGGCGGACTGGGTAGTACGACCTTGGCCCCATTCCAGGAATGTACACCAAAGTATGAAGCCCACAATGCGCTACAATGCACAACAATGAGGTCTTCACACTTGTGGTGCACTCTGCTGGCCGCATTGCCCTGCATCTGCGCATTGCTTTGCAGCCTCTTCGTGCGCACAGATCACGCCAAAGCGACAGGTCTGAATAAATCAAAGAGATGAGAGAAGGCAGACTACAAGCGCCCTGGGGCTGCGCACCTCTTGTCCTCCCAAGGATTCGACTGACTCAGGCCATGGCCTGAGCCCAGCACACTCCCAGAAAGTGTTCCACCTTATCTGAAAAGCCTGCCATGGCAGGCCCATGGCGTGCCATGTGGCCTCGGGCCCTTGCCTGAAGGTATGAGCTGCCGCCAGCGCAATAAGAGCTCTCGAGGATTCGAGCTGCGAAGCAGCGAGAACGCCAAGCGTGGCACAACTCGCATGAAAATTCACAGCATTGCTGAGCTCCAGCCTGATGCGCCTGGCGCAGCGCCTGTTGGACTTGGTGCTGCTGCATGATGCACATGTGAGCCTCGAGGCAATTCGTCAAGGGCTTTTTGCGCCTTTGCCTGCCTGGGCATGCCTGCGCCAGTGTCCCTGGACACCTACTGACAAGACTGACAAGCAGTCTGGCTATAGTCCGTCACCAATGACTGCTTTGGCAGTCCATCAAGAGGCTGCGCAGCCAGCTAGCGTCCGTATTCTTTGGGCTCCACCGACGGCTGATGAACAAAGCGGAATCAGCTCCGTTGCCAACTGCTCTTAAAATGTCATAATGCGTCCACTTGTTCATGGGGCTGGAGGGTACCCTAAGGTACTACTAGGTGTTTAGGTATCTTGGTGAACTCGAATTTCTTGGCCCAACCTGACAGCTTGGCAGCAAAGTCCCCCCTCAGTATGTCGTCTACTTCAACTCCATCTGTCTCACTCTCTCTCTCTCTCTCTCTCTCTCTCTCTTTTTTGGGCTAGGATTGGAAAGTGGTTCCGCTGAAGCAGACTCTCCACCATGATCTGTCACAAACGGAAACTCGTCTTAACTTTCTGTTTGAGGGTGCCATTCACGGAACCCTGCTGCTTGGGCAAGAGAGAGCCAAAAGACCTTGGAGGAAGTGCCCTGAAGCGCTCAATAGAAGGAGCAAACGGCTCCGAACTGCTCGAGGCCTGCAGCTGCTGCTGGGCAACATGAAGACACAGCTGATCCTGGCACATGGCACCAGAAAGTTCCTTCCCGGATACATCCCCTGACATCCTATATGTCTGAGTATAAACAAGGAAACTTCATGTGTGAGGCAGTGTGGGGTTGTGCTTTGTGGCTTTGGCAGACATCTTGGCGAACCCCTCAAAGCTACTTTCAGCCTTTCGTGTCGAAGTGATAACTTTGTGGGCTGGGCTCCTGGGCAGACCAGTCCAAACTTGTTTTTCCGTTTCATTCCTGGTTTGGTTTGCTTTAATGGATGTATTGGTTCCTTGGACCAATATGGGCTGGGGTTCCCGGCCTCATATGCACATCTACAATACCGAGATCCATGTGACGCAGCTGGCTGAAACAATCCCAAATGGCGACTTGGGCACTTGAACTCTGAACATCTCTTTGGATCTCAGGGCATGGTATGCGACAGAACGGCAGCTTGTTCAGACACGCGCGATGTGAGCGCACGGTAGCCCACCAGGAACTGCACTCCCTATACCCTGTGAACCCATAGCTGAAACGCACAAAAGCGACGCTGAAAACAACCACAGACTGAACAGAACATGCAAGGCAAGCATCTGTGCTATTTGCATTCATTGCACTTGCAAAGAAAGCTCAATTGTTGGGACATAACGTTCCTCCACAATTTTCATCTGCTTGCTGCACTGAGTGCCGGACTCGAGCAGACCTCCAGATTTCTAGATTTTTTGCGTGTGCCCACCACATGCCATTCTTCTCTCAGAGCCGAGCATATCCGCATCATCAGGAGCTTCAGTGTCTTGGTCATCAGCCTGGAAAAAGCAACGGCGAGCGGATACGAGTCCTGAAAGAAACTCCCTCTTATCAGATGACATCTGTTTGTCTGCTGAGCTACTGCTCCGAAGGCAAACGGCAACAAGGCCCGCATGGCATCGTGCCGTAAGCTTCGCACACTGGTTTCGTAGAGTCAAGCCAAGTGCTCACAGCAGCGATACAACATGAAAAAAAGCACCTCGAGTGCTGCTTCACCGGCACGAGCTCGGATCGCAAAGATGTCTGGCCGCCTGGCAACTCAACGAAGCTCAGACCGCACTACACCGCCAAGCTGGCACGCTTGCTAACGCTCGACTTGCAGTTCGCCAAGGATAGCAAGCTTTTGATTCCAAAGAACTCCTACGAAAGGATTCTGATGGCACCTCCATGTCGGCTCACTCACTCCGTTCACCCATGAAAAAAGATTGCATTCATGTTGCTCACTTATAATCGTGTTCCCTGGGCTCTCTTCGCATGCCTTCTGTCTCAGCAACAGGCGCGGAATAGCTGCACAAGTGTGTCAGGAAACTGAAGCCATCGGCACATCTTCTAGCGTGCCTCTGTCCTCTCTCCCTCGGTGGCTGCAACTTTTCCCGAGGAGGCCCCTGCAGGCACTCTCAGAGCTACTCGGAGAGCCACGAACAAGCATACATGATCAGTGGCTCGGCCATCCCCCCCCCCCGAGCGGTGGGTTCGGGATTTAAGGTTTGGGGTTTCGGGTTCAAGGTGTAGGTATTCGGTTTCAAGGTTGAGGGTTTAGGTTTTAGGGTTTAGTCCACCCCCCCCCCCCCCCCCCACACCCCGGAGGTGTGGTTGGGGGTTGGGGCTGGTGTTTAGGGTTTAAGGCTTAGGGTTTAGGGTTTGGTCAGGGCTTACGTTGGCCTGGGCCCGCAACTCACAAGGCCCCTTTACATCACTGCGTAATTGGTATCACCCCACCCTCCCAAAATCCCATTCCGTGGATATTTCTCGGCACGATGCTTCCAGAAGCTTTTTCAGTCTCAGAGTGTCAGAGTGTCAGAAACACTTTTGGGAGGCAGAAGGCCAGGCTGATCTGGCCAGAAACCACCTGGCCGGGGCCTTTGAGGGACGCCTCTGAGAGCTCAAGAAGACCCACAACCAAGATGTGTTTGAATAATCACAGGTAGAGAAGGTTTAGGGCTTGGGGTTTAGGGTTTAGGGTTTAGGGGTTAGGGTGCTGCGTTTCGGTGCGAATGCGAAAACACTGCTGGTGCTCTAGGGGTTAAGGGTCAGGGGTCAAGGGTTAGGGTCCTTGAGGTTTGGGTTTTTGAGAAAGCGGGTTTAGGGTTTGCGAGGGAGGGGGTAGGGGCTGGCGAAACCGAGAACCCGCATCGTATCACATATTCGCGTCTCTGGCTTGAGAGGTCAGAGAGGTCAGTCTAAGTGCCGAGCTCCACTCAGCATGTACTCGTAGCACGGCCTTCGGTCGAGGCCGAGGTCACTTGCGTGTCAAGCAAAATCGAAAGCACTGCTAAAGCACTGCAATGACTTCAAGGCAGCAAATGGCAGCCGGGGGCCTGCAAAGCCACTGCTTCCTGAGCTTGGAGAGTCACAACTTGAATACTCGGTAGGCTGCAGGGCTCAGGCTGATGTTTCAGGCAATTCCGGCCGCCTTTCCAGGCATCATGGTCCTTCAAGGCCGAAATTTCAGAAGGGCTTCCGGCAGAGAAAAGCTTGCTTCTTTCATGTTTCCTCTGACATGAGCCATACCTGAGGCCCAAGCACACTCCTGACAGGATCTCCAAGCCACAGCGCGGCCCCCAGCCTTGAGGATGCAAGCTTTCCCCGCATTTGTGAGACATTGTGAAACGTTCCGTCATGTTCCGTCACAACTCAGCCTGCGGCCCAGGACTGTACAAAGAGAGACTTCTTCTCCGAACAGGCCTGGCTCACTTGGCCTCAAGGAAAGCACACAAAGGGGTCTCACCGAGAAAGAACACGAATTGAGCCACGGATTGATTGAAACTGCGTGCCAAGCCATAGCTTTCAAAGTAGAAGTCGGACGGGCTAGATCCTTCCACTGCTCTCTTGGGACCTGATGACTCCAGAATCGAAGTAGCACTGTATGACTTCATACATAAGACATGGCACCACCCTAATTACAAATGTTGTACTGAGCTTCTCGTGATTTACACGACAGGGCTACTCGGTGTGCCCCGGCCAAGCGTCCAGCACCTTTGTTTGTGGTCGCGGATCCAGCGCCAAGTCACATTGATTCGAGCACCTAGTCACAGCACGCTGAGGACTGCGGAGGGAGGTGGGGCTGGATGAGGAGGCTGTGCGAGACATGTTCACCATCTTCATTCGAGGGCCAGGCGGCGTCCGTCGATGGGCTCCCGCGGATGTGCCGCATTTGCCACATTGCGAACGTCGCAGGGCACGAAGTGCACGCAATGCTTCTGGCAAAGTCCCTGCAGAATCATGGCAGAAACTCTCTCGACTCTTGAAGCCCAGATCGCACAAACACACAAGGCAGCTCAGAATTACGCATGCGATGCTTCAGCTTTCGAGCAGTTACGCTGACGCCCATCTGTACATGGCATGTTCGAGGCTCTGCCACAGATGTTTGCGCAGTACTGCTGTCAGCCAATGTCCCTGCAGATCCATAGGTCAATTCGGTCCTTTTCAACTTCCCACAATGAGAATCCCGAATCTGACCTTGCTTGGCCTTTGTCCCCCCCCCCCTCCAAAAAAATGGCAGCACCAAGGCCACCCCCTCAGCTGCTAAGTTATCGCTCCCAGCCTTACTCCGTGAAGCCCATTTCCCCTTTCCATGGCTCGTGCCAAGATCGATGACATCAGTCTGAATCATGTCAGCATGATTGGTGCTCGAACATCACATGCAAGCCTCCATCGTCAGCACATCTCCATCACGCAAGTCCACCTATTCCCCACCAAGAATGACGCAGTCGTGCAAACAACAGGCTCTGCCCCGCTCTCGCAGCAGCCGACCTCGATGATGCTTTTGAGCTGCGGGTCCATGCAGTTGTCGTGCCGCAGGGCGAGCCAGAACCTGAAGGCCGACCATGAGAGTCCACAGTCCATGCGCACGTGCACCTCTTGATTTTGCATGCAGGTGATCTCAGGCGAGCTCTCCCTCCTTGCACCCAGGGACACCGAAATGATGGGACAATCACGGTCACGGCCTCGGCGGAGGTCCACCAGCTCAGGGAGTGCTGGCAATGCATATTCTGATTTCAGCCATGGGCCCATAAACAGCGACTCGTCATCTGCATGCCAACCTTCACTGACAGCTTCTGACAGCATCTTGGCACCAGAGACTGTGAGACACTGTGAGGGGATGTGAAGAGCCGAGGCCAGCACCAACAGACTGCCACGCTTCCGTGTAGAGGTTCAGATTTGCACTGTTTGGCCACGCATCTTTGGGCAGCCAAGGACACACCCGGCCTCGGAGCCGAATCACGGCGCATGATTCTGATGGAGTACAAGACAGTGCAAGTAGCAGGGTACAAGTAGTATGATTCGTAGGCTCCTGGCTCATCACCTCTTCCAGCAGCGTCTCCATCGCCTCAAATGCTTAACTTGGCTTGGAACTTTGGCACGTCGGAACTTTGTGATTCCGTCACATGACATCCTTAGGAAAACACCGCTCTGAACGTAGCTGAAGGCTTCTTCTTTGCTCTGACCTAAGTTTACCAGCATGAGTCCTCTGGACTGAATGCCATCTTTCATGCGCACTTTCGTTCCACACAGAGCTTTGCACTCTTGCCATGCCATAGGTGTAGTCGCAGCGACACCCTGCTCGAACGTACCAGCCTCGGCCACGCGCCCTGATGCACCCTGCAAACTGCCAAAGAATGCCAAAGAATGACAAAGACAGTGACTTCCAATTTCTTCCAAGGCATGGACAGGTCTCCCGAGTGACTTGGCCCTTCTTGCTGTGGAGTGCTTCCCATGGCCTTGTTTGCTACAAAGCAGCAGCGGACTTAACTGTCATTTTATGTCATTCTACTCTGAGGCTTGTACCCGTGCTGCAGCAGCAAGTCGAAAGCGTAGTTGCAGAAACTGGATGCCAGAACTCCTGGCCTAAGCGCCAGGGCCGCCAGAAAAGGAGGCGGGAGGATCACGAAGGCGCTCTCCCTCCAGAGTTTACACATTTTGCACACGATTCGCAACCCAGACAAAGAGATGAGGAACGAGCCAATGAGACGCAAAACATCGGCGGCCCTCATCCTCGGAACCCATCACAACCCTTATGTGACATCCTTATGTCCTCCTTGTGACGCAAGAGGAAGATTAATGAGTTTAATCTAAAGCTCTCCTCCGGCTTGTCTATGGAGCTGCTCCGGAGCAGCAGAGCATCCAGAGTTGCTATTACATGATGCGATGAGCTGCGGCAACTGAGGCGACCGCCCACAAAAGGATCGTCCTCGTGCACTCTTTGCACTCTTTGTCTTCTGTCTCCTGCAAAAGACACAGGTCTGAACCATGCCTAGGCCTGCGCATGCCTAAGCCATCCTGCACACCGACAAGTCTCCTTCAAGCCGTCTTTGGGCACGAAGTCTCCCAGAAGAACAAGAGGCTGCTCTTCTAATGACGGTTCCAGGCTCCTCAGGGCCAAATACGCGCACTCAATCGACTCACTCCCACCTCTGCCACGAAGGATCACAGGACCGGACGTCGCAGGATTCCAGGACTGCTTGGCCACTTTCCTCTCTTGACCAGGATGGGATGATGGGACTCATGGAACCTAAACAACGGTGCTGTCAACGTGCTGTCCTCAGGCTGGCCTTGCGCTCTGCCAGGTCCTGGGAGGGAGAGGCAGAGAGAGGCGGAAAGAAAGAGAAAGAGAGAGAGAGAGAGTGAGAGAGAGAGAGAGAGAGATCAGAAGTGCATCAAGTGCGAATGCGGTGCATACGAAGTCCGAAGTGTCCACTCTGAAAGGAAAAGAGCGGAGGGAGGTGCTCTCTCAGTGGAGGTGCTCAGAGTCCCGGCCCGCACGGCCACAACTCGTTCGGGCGGACGGCCTCCTTTGGTAAGGGAATTGACTCAAGTCTCACTCAGAGGCAAGAAAGCAACAAACATGTGAATGTGTAACTACTAAACAACAACACTTTCTGGGGAGCCCCTTTGACAAGCTCAAGCGAGGCTGGAGTGCGCTGGCCATCGATCGGATTCACCAATCCTGGCGGAGCAGGCTCCTCGCTGCAAGAAGCGTGGCGGGCAAGACAGCCATACAAGGTGTTTCTGCAGCATTCTGCAGCCTTGCCCAGCTTCTCAGTGACAAGTGGTTTCGGAGTTTGCGTCGTCCTGGCAACGTCTGCTATGTCACTCTTCGGAAAACTCTGGCGGCACACATGAGTTGTTTGGGCCTGGCTTCGGTCCCTGCAGAAATCTGGTCTTCCAGCTGGCATGACAGCAGCCGCCGGCGAACTGGCCACACACCACGCACATGCACATGCACATGCACATGCACATGCACATGCACATGCACATGCACATGCACATGCACATGCACATGCACATGCACATGCACATGCACATGCACATGCACATGCACATGCACATGCACATGCACATGCACATGCACACACACACACCCTTCTTCTTCTTCTAATTCTAATTCTAATTTTAATTCTAATTCTAATTCTAATTCTAATTATTCTTGACTCTTCGTTCTCGCTCTCACTGCAGGTGTGTGATTGGAATTATTTGACGAGATGAACTCGACGGCACGTGGAGGGAAGAGTTAAGCTTAGTCTGGCAATGCTGCTGACTCACCTGGGGAGACTAAACTGGCAGAAGCATGAACCCTAGGTGGCTACAAGCAACAGCGAGGAGAAACCGTGAACACGAGCCATGGCAATGCATCATAGACATCACTAGACTACGCTGAGTTTCTCAGACTCGGTATCCCGTCACTGTGGTAGCTTTGTTGAGTGCGATGCCACGGGCATGCTGAAGCCCCATCGCCGACCTCCGTCTTCGAGAGCCTGTGCGGCCTGTGTCCCTGCCGATTGTGGGCCCGGCAGCAGAGGGCTCCTGCAAAGTGCACACTACAAGGCCTATCAAGCCTACCATATCTATCAGGCCCAGCCACTGAGCTGTCAGCTTCAGCGCGGGATACAGCGATGCCATGCAGGCAACAGGCTGACATCCAGTCCATGTTGATGTTGAGAGATACGTCGTGTTGAGTGGGACTTGCATGCAGCGGTCTGAATTTGCGCGTCTTTCTTTGCCTACTATGCCGTGCTAAACATGTTTGAACTAAGCTCCTTGGTCCGGTTGACCTGCAAGCCTGACGTGTCTTGGCAGCTCTTTGTACATAGAACCCAAATGAGACTAAACAGTAAGCCCTTTTTTATCAAGCTTCATGACACATGCATTCTTTATGTGTTGATGTTCATGCCGGTAAACATCGTACGACAGCTAGTCAGGAGTATCAAGACGAAAGTGAATGAAGGTAGCTGTTTGCTTTTACGTTTGTCGTGACTTCGGACGCCGAGCTCAAGCCAAGCTGCAGTTGCTTGGAAGTCTAAGCAGCTTTGCATCTGCTGCAACTGTACGGCATGACCAGCTGGTAGCATTTCTCGAAATTTGGATGGCTGCCCGATATAGATGGAGAATACGGTTGTGGGCTGGAGGTGTTTACATTCGCCCAGAGTTCAGGGCTGTGGTAGGTGCCCCTTAGCTCCGCAGCTCATTTTCTGTCGACGGATTCCACCTTATGCCGGACCCCAATTCGTCGCAGTCCAGTCTCCTATGTTCTTCATGTGCGAAGGGGAACTACCTAGCTTCTGCCTTGATCTCTCAGCCTGCAAACCCCCGAGACAAAAGACCCGGCATCTTACAAGCCTGAGGAACGCCATCGCCGGGAGCCTTGCGCTGGGCCGAGCTATTTTGGAGAGCTGGGGGCAGCTCTCTGGGCCAAAGGCCAACATTTCTCCAACTCTCCCCCGATGCTCGGTGGAGTTCCGCTGTGGCGTTGCCCTCGACTCTAAAAGGGGGGAAACTGTGCGTAAGCCAAGGATGCATTTTACAATAAACGGTCCTGTTGGACAGACTTTGTCTAGGGCCCCACCACATGAGAGGGCGAACCCCGCAGAAGCCACAAAACGCTCGATTTTTCAAGACAAGAAATTCTTTTGGAAATGCCTGCGGCTCCGTTGTGTGACCACCCGTCTCTTGGACCCCACATAAGCCTTGCAATAAGCAGTCGTGTTGGAAAGGCCTGTTCCATGACCACCAACTGAGGAAACTGGAGCGAAACTATCGGTTGGGCAACAGTACTTTATGGAAAGCCTTGCGCCGGAACCCCAATAGAAATGATGGTGGTATAGTGCTGGCGGTGGTTCGTGCTGGTGTTGGCGCCGTTGGAGGAGGGTGGGTAACTATGAAATCGGTTCAGTAGTATGGCCACCGCCACAGCGGTGGGGTGAAACTCCTTAAGCCCAGAATGATCGATGTCGCAATCCGCACTCCTGTTCGACAGGCATTGTCCAGAACTCTGAAATTTTACAGGTTTCTGGCCGCCGATCGCTCTTGTTGGAAAGGCCTTCTCTCGGATCCATGAATTCAGTAAGTTACCAGGTTTCTGGCCGCGGCAGCTTCTCAAATGGAGGAAACGGACTAGATGCTCGACTATTCAATGTCCATTTTAAAAACGACCTTTCCAAGACCGCCAGTGGTGGAGTGGGGTGTGTTTGGGGTCTTGGGGTGAGCTTCCTTGCGAATTCCGGGTATGTCTCGGGCGGCTGTGCCCGAGGCTTTTTCTACCTATGGCTTGGGGGAGTGGGGTGGGGGGTGCCGCAGGGCGTCTTCGTGACAAGTGCACGTCGTCGATTTTTGCACCACCCGAAGGCAGCAGTTGCGATCCACTGCCCTCTATTCTTCGAAGTCAGAGGATCCTTTGCCTGCACGCATGTTCCAGCATGTTCCATGGCATGCTAAGTCTGCCTTTGTGACTGATGCCCGGCCTCACACATGTCCGGCGGTCGAGGGTCGAACGACACCTCCTGCTCCAGCTTCGCAACGCGCAATGGGCGACGCAGATTTCGGCCAACGGATTACAAGAGATTCTCACCTTTCAGGCATAACATAGACCGGAGGCATCCAGAGGGGGACAGTCCTGCATGCACTACTCGAGGTCTTTCTGCCGTCAAAGGCCGAGTGTTTCTGGAACCTAGTCAACTAATCAACAAACATCTGACTTGCTGGTCTGATTTGCTCTGCACAACTTCAAGGATCTGAGCTGCCAAGCTGCCGAGTCGACTGTGAGGACTCTGATGTCGAAAGCAACCCCCGGTGGGAGGAAGGAAGCGTTCTTTGTCCTGCGATTCCTTTTGCCAAGAGCCATCAGCTTCCACAGCTCCCTGCAGCAGCACCATCGCCAAGCTGGCTTGACCTTTATCTTGCTTTCGTTGCAAAGGCTCGTTGTCTGTATCGTCTCTGATGTAGGAGTCCTCCTCAGTCATGGGCACCACATTTCAGTTGAATCCATGCGCCACGCTTTAGCATTTCGAATCGAGTGCGAGACGTTGCTACTGGGCGACTGGTCGTCCAGCCTCACTGCCGCTGCACCAAGAAGCACGCGCACCAAAGCAGATGCATCTAATGTGCCAACATTCTCGTGAGCTCGCTGCATGTCTATCAGCTGGCGATCAGGGTCTAGAGGTGCCGCAGGCACCTGCCTGGCACAAGCCATCATAAAGATTGTGCCCAAACAAAAACAGTAGTCACAGGAGTTCTGCATGCAGCGAACTTGCCACACCAGCTGGGTGCCGTACTGCTTGTGCTCCTGCACACTTCACCACGGAGCACAGCTGCATCAATAGCCGGTATGGAAAGCCAGTATGTTCGACAATTAGAGCCACGGACTGCAGAAAGAGAAAGAATCGAAGATGCACACAAGAATCGGTGAAGGCCGTGAAGGCTCGGATGGTACTGTGCTGTGCGTGTACCAACAACGGATCGAAGGCAAAGAAAAGGCAATTGTGAAGGCTAGGGAGCGCGCATGGGCCAGCGAAGATGGAGGGAGATATGGCAAGCAGCCTTTGCGCACCTGTCAGCTGGATACAAAGTTATTCGAAGCATCATGTTGAATCTATTACACAGCAACTTCATCTTGGCCAAGTACCCGGGCTCGACAAGGCCTGGGAAAGGCCGGAGAATTAAATTAGGAGGTTTGTTGTTGTTTTTCTGGGGGGTTTTTGTTTGTTGGGTTAGGGTTTAGGGTTTAGGGTTTAGGGTTTAGGGTTTAGGGTTTAGGGTTTAGGGTTTAGGGTTTAGGGTTTAGGGTTTGGGGTTTGGGGTTTGGGGTCTAGGGTTTGGGGTTTAGGGTTTAGGGTTAGGGGTTTAGGGTTTAGGGTTTCGGGTTTAAGGTTTAAGGTTTAGGGTTTAGGGTCTAGGGTCTGGGGTCTAGGGTCTAGGGTCTAGGGTTTAGGGTTTAGGGTTTAGGGTTTAGGGTTTAGGGTTTAGGGTTTAGGGTTTAGGGTTTAGGGTTTAGGGTTTAGGGATTAGGGTAGTAGTAGTTGTACCAGTAGCAAGGAGAAAAGACAAAAAAACCCAAAAAAAAACAAAAAAAACCCTTAAAAAAATAGACCTCCCCTGGGAAATGTGCGTCGTGACATGCCACGAGCATCCACCAGCTTCACAGTTTGGATCGAATTTGCCGCTGGGGTTTCGACCAACTTCCTGCTGGCTTCGGTACGCACGACACATCTCCTGCCTGACAACCGAGACTGGCAGACGTTCAAGCCTACAACTCGGGGATACGAACATATATACTCGTCAAACAGCCGCCTTGTGCGTGCCCGAAACTTGTATCCGGATCTCCTCTTTGACTGAGAAGCCAAATACTGCGAGAAAACACACAAAAACCTTCAATCTTCAATTTGGGCACAAGGCCTCGGCAATGAGCATCGCCTGCTTCGCAACATCCAATGCCTTTTCGGCAGCTTCCTGCGGGCGTTCAGGCTTCAAAAGTTTTCGATCAAGAAACTCATGCGCCGACATGAACACCGCTTCAGCACCAAGTCATGAACACCGTGGAGAATAAGAGAAGGTAGAAATTCGCCTCGGCTTGCAGCCGAGAGGCGTCTAGAAAAAGCAGACCAGGATTCTGGTTTCCTTCCCCCTTCCCAACCCGCTCAACTACGGCCGAGAATTTCATAACAATAACGGTAACGACAGAAAGCTATTGCAGCTACGACTGTCAGTATGATTAGCTGTTGTGTTTGTTGTTGTTGCGTTTGCATTTGCATTTATCCTTGTACTTGTGTTGCATTTGCTTTTGCCCTCAAGGCCCCAAACCCTCTCGCCCTCCGCTCCCTTTCTGACGAAACACGCCTGAGCCCTGCATCCGACAATACCTTGTCTGCTTCGGCCGTGGCCGGCTGTGGGCGACAGCCCAGTTCGAAAAGAGCTGTCAAAAATTGTCTGCAAGAAGTGGTGTCCTGTGCCTTTTGAACAGCCTCGACATGTCCAGCGCTCTTTCTGTGTGACTTGCAAGATTGGCAATGCTACGACAAGCGCAAATCTAGCCAACACACGTCCACAGGGCCTCATCTGATGCTGGAGCTTGGGCCTTGTCGCGATGCTGCTACCACCGATGATACAACAACGCAGAAATATGTCCTTGACAAGCCGCACCCACGGCCGACGCCATGGAAAGCTTTGATGCTGCTCTTTTGGCTTTGGGCGCCTCCCCTGCGAGCGGACTGGATGATTAGTGTCGGCTGCGCAGGGATTGGCCGAGAATAGAACATAGGACTGGGACATGACAAGAGACACTCACACCGTCCGTCTTTTGCAGGAAGAGCCAAGTCCCACGGCTTTCCAATCGTCGTCAAGCTCAATGCTTTAGCTCTGTTGCTAAACTGCTGCATGCAAGGGTGCCCACGCATTCGCAGTGCAAACATGCAATCCGGCGAGCGGAAACACGAGCGTGCAAGCGTGCACAGCACGATGATGTACGATCTTGGCACGATGCAGTATTACAACGATGCCACACCAGTGGCCTTGTGACATGTCGTGAGCATAGCGCGGCAGAACATGCGGGCGTGTATGTGAACCACAACATGCGACCATATGCGGCCGGTGCGCCGGCCTGGGTCTGGCTTTGCCGCTATGCTTGTGGCCAACTCCTCCAAACTTGCAACAGTGAGAAGTGAGAATGGACACGGATGGCCAGGACAAGGCATTGCACCCGAAATATCTCAAGACTGAGCTACTGGTGGCCATTGGCAGACTTCCTCGAGCCCTGAGTGGATCATCCGGGCATCCGTCTCCGCCTGCCCCGAGTGAATCGATGCGATCGCAGAGTACAAGATCAGTCAGGTTACAAGAAGAACAGTACCAGAACAGGAAACATGCCAAACGTGCTGTTCGCCTCTGCCAATCGCTGCGCGAGCTGGACCAGGTCGGAAGAGGCACCTTCCTCAAAAATGATAGCAATGGAAAACCCAATTAAGGCATCAAAACAAGCGCCGATGAGAGCACTAAGCACAGCTTCCTTCCACTCTGCAAAGCGCGACGACTCCGTCTGCAAATCTTGTAGCCCTCCCGAGTCTTGATGTCTGCGTCTTGAAGCACCAGTGTCAAGTGGGCTGCTCTCTTCTCACGCCTAAGAACTTTCAATGCTTTGAAAATAGAGCCTTCCTCACATGCGGCACTTCGCGCATACAAGGCCTGCAGGTGAAGAGGCATCAACTCAACAGCACAAAGTCGCATCAGTTTTGCGCACCCTGCGCCTCCAATTCTTGACTGCGCGATGCGAAAAGGGTGTGTACGGCATCATGGTTGGCATTCGCAGCAGCATGCAGGGCCGCTTCAAAGTCACTCAACCTGCTGAAGCTGATGCGACGAAATCCGTCTTGCCAAATACAGTTGAGAACATCATGAAAACCGGGGAAAGCCGGCCAACCTCATGTTCATGTTTTCCTCAATCGTCGAGAGCTCCTGCTTCATGTTCCTGATGGGAAGACCATGAAGACCAGGGTTCGGGCCGGCTTGCACTTGCATGCAAGAACCTCCTGAGGCTTCCGCTGCTGCATGGTCAACATGAGGCCCACTGCTTCCCTGCACTCCTTTACTGCCTGCAGGGCACGTGAAACAGTTTGTCTAGTGCAGGGCACGTGAAACAGCGTTTATCATGGTAGGATCGCACCCACGCCATCAAAGCATTTTCAACATTAGGGCTGCTAGGGTGCTTAGCAACGAAGCACCCCTAAAATCCCTTACTTCGCCAAGGCGTCTGGCGAAGTACGGAACCTTGATTACTGAACAGCCTAACCGAGCCCAATCGGGCCTAACCGGGCCTAGCCGAGAGGTGACAACGCGTACCAGTAATCCCATCTAAGTAGGCGATTTCCGGCGGTATTCGGACGGGGCGGGAGGCATATCTTGCCTGCGCTGTCGATGTGACTGGGCTGGAGTGCTTCATATGAGGAATGAAATGAAGACTCAACTCCCATATTTTGTGACTCGCCACGGAAATCGCACTCCCAGTTTTGCTCCAAGGGGGTTTTGCTCCAGGGCATCCCAGAGCGCTCCGACCAAGCCCAGGTGAGTGGCCAACATTCCAAGCACGTGTCAGACGTGCCCGATTCGACGTGAGACACTGCCTCGCTCCATCCCACTCTGCCACGCTGCCTCGATAGATTGCAGACATCCTGCATCCTCCTGCATAGCTCGTCTCGCCCCTTGTGCACAGAGCTGTGGGCTGTCGTGCCATGCCATGTCCCGACCCCCAAGTGCGCATTACTTGACTCTACATGAAACAAAAAACACCTGTTTTGGGCGCGCCACTGCAGCTCTACATCTCGCAGCCATGCTCGCCTCATCTGTGGGCTTGTCAGAAATGCTCGGCGCCGGTCTCGGCAAGCTGCATGCCTCCAGAAGCATCAAATCAGATGCAAAACAACCAATCAGAGGCAAGGATCTTCGGCACAAGCCTTTGTCGGCCTCAGACGCAAACGTTCTTGGATGACTGCGTAATTAGAACAGGGTGCAGGGCCACGAAGGCAACTGAGAAGCGTGCTGCGGATTCAGCAACTCACCGTTCAATCGGTCCACTCGGTATTCCAGAGTCTGCGTGCGAGCCTGCAGTCGCAGCTGCAACAAAAGATGTGTACGTCACGTACTCCTCAATCAGCCGGACGCTTGGCGTGACCACTTTGCCCGTCTTTGCTGCGTGTTTGCCCCGTCTTGGCAGCCTCCGCAGCCTCCATCCGTTGAGGCATCTCAGTCAACATGGCCTTGGCTGTTCGAGGACGCGTTGTGAAAGACCGCTGCACGCCGTCCCAAGGCGCGCACGACGGCAGAGGCAAAGTTTGCCTTACCGTCCACTATGTCTGCACTGAGACCTGGGAGACACCAATAATGACACAAGGATCCACCGCGGGTGGAAACTGTTTAAGAAGCTGCAGCATGTCTTGGGGTGCAAACTCTCCTGCAGCTGGACGTGGGCTGCAGCAAGTCGTGCGACAGCATCCCGGTGGCTCCTCGAACGCTGCATAACGCTGCCAAGCCGGGCCAAGCCTGAAGCCGAGCTCTTGGTGTTCCCTTGGCCTCTCGGCTCCTGAGCTGCTTCGTCATCCACTGGGCGAACGTTCCCAGGGCATCCTTCGGTTCAACTGAGCCCAGCGGAGAGCAGCAGAGCCCCAACGATCTGCATCTCAGACAGCACTCTATTCCAGAACCTTTTTGCTTGAGGTCGACATCGCCGTCAGGTCCCATGAGCTGCGCTCGAAGCGCATGACACAATCCAGCACCTGTCCGCCTGTCCACCTTTCCGCCTGTCCACCTCTCCCTGTTGATGCTTTTCTCCATCACATTCTAGGACTCTGTCAAGCTGAGCCCTGTCGCGCTTGCGGCTTGCAAGGTTCTCTTCTTCGGCCCTCAACTCCTGAGTTTTTGGTTTGAGACCCGTTTGTTCCTGTTCTGGGCCTCTTCTTTGTTTGTTGATTGTGCCAGCCTGCTTCAGGACGGTGCGAGTCTGCATGACATCTGTTGCTGCGTATCTAGACTCCCAGGCCGCACGAAGCGCTCCTTCTCAGCGCGTGCAACTTCTTGGAAGTCGAAGGGTGGCCCCCAGGGCTGCCAGTACCCGTGATCCTGGACTCAGAGACACGTGATCAGCCGACGCAACATGATGCAAAGAATGCAACGAATGCAACGAATGTAACCCACACCGTTTCTGGGCTTTGCCCGGTCTCTGAGCGAACGACAAGGCCATTACCACCTCACGATGCATCTACACAAGCCTTGCAGCTCTCAAAGTGCCAGACAGACACAACCCAAAGCAGTGGTCCGCCTTTCGTGCGTGCTCCCCAGAGAGCTAGCTCCTGGCAAACTATCGCGTTTCCTTGCCAGTTGGTGGTGTCCAGCATGAGTCCTTGAGATGTGCTCCGTCCGAGATCGGTAACTCCGGAAGCTCAGATGACATCTGAAGCAAAGACGGATGTTCAACACAAACGGATGTGGAAGCGAAGCCCTTTCTTGATTGCTGGCCGCCTTTCTCCCTGACGGTCCTTGCGTTGGAGCTTCATTGACATGGGAATTTTGAAAATTGGATCGCGACCAAACCATTCCACTTGCAATCAGCCCCTTGCACTCAGCGTCTCAAGTCCATCCGCGCTGGATGGCTATCGAAGCTGCGTGTTGAATCTTACCCTTGCAATGTTCTATGATGCCCAAAAAGGACTGCCAAGAGGATCAGATACCGGCTGGATTCCCATCATCATTGACATGGTGAAACCTGAGCCAAAATTACACAAGGCATGCGGCATGAGAAATTGCAGAGAGTGTGTGTGTGTGTGCACGTCGTCATTTGTCCCCAGGCTAGTCGCCTAGCATTCCTGCGGACTGACCTGGCACAACTCTACGCCCCCGCTCGTGAGGAAGGGACAAGGCCCATCGTGGGTGCTACCTGCCTCCGAGCTGTGGGAGGCGGGCGAACGACCGAGGTCGGCTTGCACCATCGAGGAGGGGCTTAAGCGCTGTCGGCCCCCGCACCCTAGGGGGGCGGCGTAAGCCTTGGGTCTAGGGTTTGGGGGCAAGGGTTCAGGGCTTAGTCATTTTGCAGTTGCTTGTACGAAAACGAACTGCTGCACCCCAACATCACGAAGACCCGAATCACGACGTCCTGGAAGGCAAGGCTGAATTCGACCCACTGATGTCCTCTGCGCTTGCTTGGTACTCTCCACAATGCCTGTGCAACGGTCATTGTAAACCGTACTCGCCCACTTGAAAACATAATGTAAAAAAGTTGGCACGTCCTGCTTGTCAAGATGTACGCATATCGAAGACACATACCGGAACCTTCTCTGAAGGCGTCCAGTAGTGAAACTTGTAGAATACAACACACTCCCGCAAGGTGCCACTGCACAGTGCCCCCTCCAGAAGAGAAAAACCGATGGGCCGATGGGCTTGGCTTGCAGAGTATCTTGATCTTGACTCGACTTTGCTGGTGCCGGTGATGCTGGTGCATCACTGGTTTCTCACTGAGTCCCTCGCAGCTACTGCGAAACTCATCGCAGGTCTGTGTGCTCGCACACACGCACGCACGCACGCGCGCGCGCCCACACACACACACACACACACACACACACACACACACACACACACACACACACATCGACTGGCAATCGGCCTGACTTCTGCCTCCTTCTGTCCTTTGCCCAGGCGCCTCGGCGGAAAGGGCATCAAAACAAATACTGTGCACCTCCAGCAAGGACCACCTCCGAAGATGAGGAGAAAACTTCATCGCCTTCCATGCTCCCTGGAACCGTTGCCTCGCAGACCTCTGTCCGCATATTGGAAGTTTACATGGTTTTGTTTAAGTTTTTTAAAAGGTTACCTTAGTTTGCAGAAGTTTACAGACACCTTCTGACGATGTGAACGGAGCAGAATGCCTGCTGCTGGAAGTTGCCCGCGGATCTGCCCCGCCATCCCGTGGCCTCCATGTGTGCAAGCGTGTGCAATTAAATGGGAGACAAAGAATAATGCAGAATGTGAGGATCTCCCACTAAGCGTCCCGCGAAATTGCTGCTGGTGACGGGCTCCGTGGTGAGTAGTAACCTGCGTTGGCAAGAGTCTACGCAGAGTCCTACACCCAGGACTTGCACAAATACTGAACTCCGAGCCCCCAAAGGCGCCCGTGGATGTTCCAGAGGGAGATGTTGATCTGCCAGACGCAAGAAGCCGACAACGACGAATCGACCTTCGACACTGCGGCCTCTGGTGCGGCGACTTGGAACGACCTGATCACAAGAACAGTTGGAAAGTCTCAGCTCTGCAGCTGCATGACCTTTACAAAAACCCAAGTGGCCGAGTGGAGTTGGAGTCTGCGAGCGCTCGCGGGCCTCCAGTCGACTAGCTGGCTCGGTTCCAACAACACCAGGTCACCAGTCACTTGGCGAGCCCACGAGCACCGACGATGCAGCGGCATCACGGGTCTCTTGAGAGAACTCTCCTTGCCGAAAAGGATCGCTTACTCGGTCTCTCAATCCCTCCCTTCCAGTCTAGCGCGGTAGTCTACTTGAATCAAGGACGTGTGAAGTAAATTCAAAGAAAAAGCCGAACAAGCAAAACAAGCAAACGGCTACCCACCCCTGGTGGTGAGCGTCTGAGTGTGCAATCCACCCCTCATCCGCAGCACTTCTTAGCTCAGTTTGGAGATTTTGAAATGAGGTTCCTCATATTTCTTCATCCTGACCTAGGTGACGAACTCTGTTGCTGGTCGCTGCTGGGCCGCTGGCCGCAGGCCGCAGCTGATGCAGGAAGGGGTGGGCGCTGGCTGGTAGCCGCGTGCCAAAGGGAACCGTCCCAGGTCATCATGGATATGCACGAGGTGGTGCAGTCCACGAGTCTCAGAGTTCAAGGGCTCGGGAGAGCAGCAGACCAGGGCCAGAAGAACAGGAAGCGAGAGGACAAAGGAAGTGGAAACTATTCTCTCGTCAAGAACCGAAGTTCGACCCGATTCTCAAGCCGGAGGGAACTCCCTCGACCTCATTCAAGGACCCCTACCCGCCCTACCCCCACTCCCTGAAAACCCCGAAGTGCTCTGGCTTAGCCCCGACCCTTGAACTACACGCATTACACGCTCGACTTCGAGCCCGAAGTGCCTGACTTGGTAGATTCTCGGGCCAGGAGGCGGTGACAGCGGTCGACAGCGTCGGCGTACAAGTCTACACAAAGGCGTTGAAGGGGAAGCAACGGGGTCCTCGGACTTTGGCAGCGTACCGGGCCAGCTCCTCAGCCTTGGAGAGGGTATCGCAAAACTTGTTGCCAAACATTGGGTCAAAATGGGCCTAACATGCAATGCCAGCTCCGAGAAAGCACCGTTTACCGGGAGTGTGCTCTCACTTTGCTCGTGCTTTCCGTTCCTCACGTTCCTCACGAGAGCCTCGCAGTGCGAGCTCGGGTCTCCTCAATCAGGCACTGCGAAAGCCTTTGGACCTGCCAGCCACATGCAGTTTCAGATACGCCTGAAGTCTCATACTGAGAGAAAACCGTGCTGCTCCCTGAGCAACTTTCAGAACATAACTCGTCTACGCGATTCTACACGTTCTGACACGAGAGCAGCGGACCTTGGAAACTACTGTGCGAAACTCAACAGATGAGTGGTGAAGAAGGGCATGTACACTTTGCAAAGCTGAGGGCGCTTGTTGTGGATGGAGCAAACACACAGCAATCTTCAAATGCCAAAAAACTCTCAACATGGCGAGGAAGGTAGGGGTTGACTTGGAATAGAAAGCCAGAGAGCATGAGGACACACATCTCTGATCAGCGAACAGGATACTGAACATGCTCGACTCTGGCAGAGTCCAATCGAAAGGGCACTAAGAAACTGCCACTGTAGGCAGACGGACGAAACTGGTCATGAGAAACATGGCTGGTTTGCAAGAGTCACAACAAAATCGTGGTGGCAATGCCGCATTGCCCGGCATCTTAGGAAGTCTACCGTTGGATCGGGCAAAGGTGCTTCAATCCAAACGAAGACTGAGAGAATAGACGTGCAAGGAAGCTGAGCTAAGCCAGCACGTTTTGCAATTTTCAGCGGAAGACAAGATTGACTTCATGTTGTACATTTTTGTCGCAGCGAGTAGAGATCTGTGTTGCCGGAAGTGTCAACATTGTCATATTGTCATAATTTGCAGCTTCCGCATCTCAGCTGCTAGACCTCTTCCAGCCGTTTCTCTGCGTTTCGGCAATCCTCGAGGGAGAGGCCTGTCCCAGTGGAACCGCAACTATCAGTAGGCGCACGTCACTGCGCACAGCGTACGCAAAGGGGCCTCCGAGCGCTTTGGTTTGCACACGCTGTCGCGTCACTTGCATCATGGAGTCAATCCTCAATAGAATGAAACATCTCGCATGGGCTCCCACGACAGGCACAAAGATCGCAACAGAACGCGACTGCAAACAATTGAGGACGCGGCGCACGACTCAGTGCCTCTTGGTCGCTAGCGAGGTGGTCGTAGATCTGACATTCGAACAGACTTGAAGCAAATGAAAGCTGGAAAAACACAAAAGCCTGGTCCAGCTGCTGCTTGCGTAAGTAGTCAATGATGACCTTTGAGGAATAGACAAGCACGTCAAGGCAGCACTTGCCCTCACAAGATCTCACTAGCACACGAACTGTGGCAGGCAGAAAGCGGGCCCATGGCATACATCCAAGCATGCGTGAGCTCGATGCCAAGTTCTGCCTGCATTGACATGTCCACACCATGTGCAGCAGCTGCTCCTTGCATTTGCCCGAGCCGAGCGCGACGAAACTGCTGAGCAACGCTGTTGGAGCTTGCTCGACAAGACCTCGAAAACTCGATTGCAAGAAAAGACTCCTGCTTCAACCTACACGACTCAACATCTCTCTCTCTCTCCACACGCTTAGCCCCCCCCGAAGGAGGAGCTGCCCCGCTCTCTCTCTCTCTGTCTGAAGCTCTTTCTTTGTCTTTTTTGTTCTTTCATTGGGACTTAGGCCGAAGCCCGCACACTTGGTGCGCCCTGGTCCAAGTTTTGATAGTGCAACTTCTTGTTCCCAAGATGCGAGGCTTATGGTGGGGTTTCAGAGTGTTGTTGAACAGCTCGCACTCTATCGTTGCACCACGATGTGGGCCAATGAAACTGGCGGTAAGACACCTTGTGGGGTTCCACGGCAACATTGCAGCAGACTGGAAGCAAGGACCGTTCAGTGCATTGTAGACGCAGTAGCGAACCCAGTGTGCACTACAGGTTCTGGCTTCCAGTCAGGCCAGCCGGATCAAAGGTTCCTGCTTCGTGGATCCCAGATGCAACACGCTCACAGACCGGCCCGGTCCCGGGTGTGAGGGTTGCTGGGTGCTTGTCTCGAGCCCGGGGCAACATCATGAGGTAGGCAGTCTCACAGTTTACGGGCATCTGATTTTGAGTTTGTCCTTAGTCGTCGCGAAGAGTCTGCCCTGTTCGAACGACATGCTTCCTGTCTGACCGAGCAGTCATCCTCAGGAATGTGGCGACATTCGCGTTGGATGGTTCGTTCCTGTGGGGCTGTGGGCGTGCAGGCCTGCCGTAAGATGCGACTTGTTACGCGATGCGGCATATGTCAGTAGCACTTGCTCGTTGCAG